GGATAAGCTTTAGTTTATTATTAGTATATATATATATTAAATTTATACTAAATATAATCTAAATCTAGATTAGTTCTAAGCTTTTTTTTTTATTATTAGATATCTTTTTAATTATTTCTTAAATAGTTTTAATAATTATTATTTAAATACTTTTTATAACTTTCTAAATTATTATTTCTATACTTAGTTCTATATATTTATATATTAGCTCTATTCTAAATAGAGGTTTTATAATTTATTATATCTATTAGACTACTCTATTAGATATTAGTTTAATAATTTATCTATAAGCTTTTCTTATAAGATCTTTTTTAATATACTTTTTTTCTAGATTTATCTTAGGTTTAATATATCTCTAATCTAGTAAAATATTAGAAAGATCTTTCTAAGAATAGTAAATACTTAATTTCAGACTATAGTACTTATTATTAACTTCTATTAGATAGTATTCTATACTATTAGATTATCTTTAGTATAGTATTAATTTTAGATTAATTTAACTTTATAAAATTAATTATTAGGTTTATTTTTAATTTTAATTAGCTCCCTATAGCTATATCTGGTTTTAAGTTTCTTATATAAAATATTAAATATATATTATAATAGTTTATAATATCTTTTAATCTTACTAATTAACTAATAAATCTTAATTAGTATTTATTTATACTTAGAACTAATAATTCTAATATTTATATAAAATTAATTATTTATAAATTAGATTTTTATATTATATATAATATAGTTTAATAGTTCTAAATAAATATCTAGTTAAATTCTTTTTAATACTTTTTATATAGTTTTTATTAAAATATTTTTAAAGAATATTATATTTTAAAATATAGTTACTATATATATAATATATAAAATAGATTTCTAATTTAATAGATATATAATATTAATTATAATTTTATAATTAAAATTAAGATTATTCTATAATTTAAATTTAAAATATCTTAGAACTAGATTATAAATCTAGTATTAATAGTAAAAATATTTAATTCTTTTTATTATTTTTCTATTTATATCTCTATAGCTTACTCTTTTTAAAAGCTAATATAATCTCTTTATTAATAAATAGTTAAAGTAGTAGTAAAACTATTTTAGCTCTAGTTCTATTAAATAAACTATATTAGTTATTAGTATATACTTTAGAAAGAATTATATAAATCTCTATTTTCTTATAATTAGAATAAAAAAACTATCTATAGTTCTAATTATTTTATTAATTATATTTCTAAACTTAATATTTAAATAGTTTATATTATAGAGATATATTAGAAAAAGAGTTTCTAAGTATATTATATAAAATATAATAGATCTAAATAGAATATATAGTTCTATTATATTAAGTAATTCTATAAGCTCTTTTCTAAACTTAATACTTTTTATATTAACTATAATATCTAGTTTAATTAATAAATTAATCTATTAAAATATTTTAAACTATAGTTTATTTATAATTAAAATTAATAAAATACTTATATTTAGTATAATCTTCTAAAATTATATTATATATCTTTTTTTAATAATAAACTATAATAGATTTTATAGTTTTCTTTAGATTTTCTCTTTAGAAAATAAATATTAAAATATCTTATTAAGTAAATATTATATTAATTATTATTTATTATTATTTATATACTAGTTTTCCTTATCTAGATTTATTATAAATAAAATAGTATTTTCTCTAGTTATTTCTCTATAGTTCTTAGTTCTAATTAGTAAAACTTCTATTAAATAGTTTACTCTATATATTTTAAATATAGTAGAACTATTATTATATTCTATTTAGTAATTTCTAAATATATTTATATTACTAATTAATAAGATATATATTTCTTATTATATTTTAAGCTATTAAAATTATTAAGCTTTATTCTAATTATTTTAAAAGGCTTATCTTTAGAGCTATTATAAAACCTTATATTAGAACTTTAGTATTTATATATTCTCTTTAAAATATTATTTCTAACTTTTTTAAATTTTTATATACTCTTACTATAGTATTTTTAAGGTTATTATTCTTTTTATAATTATTTTTAAGTACTTTTTATACTCTTATAAAGATTATAAAAACTTTCTATAATATCTAATATATTATAAGATCTTTATTTTTTTTATTTATTTATATTAAAATAATATTAATCTAGATCTAGTTATAATAATATTATTACTTATTAATAGTATTATTAAAGTATTATTTTAGTTTAAAATATATTTTTCTAAATATATATTCTTTTTTAATATATTAGAACTAGAAGTTCTATATATTCTTTTTAAGAATTTAAAAAAAAAAAAATTTAAATCTACTAAACTATATATTATAGAATTTATATATATTTAATATTATTCTAATCTTTATATTAAGTATATTATATAGTTTCTTTCTAAATAAATACTTTTTTTAATTATAAAACTTTTAAAAGATTATAAATTCTTATATAGATATAGTATTTATTTTAAAATTATTTTCTAATAGAAGATTATAATATAAATTATATAATCTAAATATATAATTTTCTAATTATTAGTTTAGAATTAAATTCTAAGAAAATAGAGATATCTATAGAATTAAATTTATATTTATTTAGAGTATTTCTATTTTATTAATCTTAATTATATAAATTATACTTTTTTCTTAGAATAATTATAATATTAATAATCTATATTCTTAGAACTTTCTATATTATTTTTATAATTAAAATATCTAGAAATCTAAATTAAAAGTAATTATAAAAAATTATATATTTTTTAGCTATTTTAATAAATTCTCTAGTTCTTATATATTATTAAGAGCTATTTTAAAGATATTATTTAAAGATTTAGTAAAAATACTATTATATTATAATATAATTTTAACTCTTTAATAGTATTAGTATTTAGAAATATAAATATTTCTAATAATTAGCTTTTAAAATTATATATAAACTTATTTAATAAGTTATTACTATATAGATTAATATATTTATAATAGTATATATAAGATATTATATATATATTAATAAGTCTAATAATAATAATCTAAGTTATTAAAATTAAATAATTTATTTAATTAATATTATTTATATAGATCTTTATTAGTTTAATTATATTAAAAATCTCTTCTATTCTATTATATTTAAAAGAAGATAGTATAGATAGTATTTATATTAGTAGTACTATTATACTTACTTAAAATATAGATTCTAGAGTATATAATAGATTTAATAGTAAAAGTATATAGGATTCTACTTTTATTAGAAGAATAAGAGTTTCTATTTAGAAGAATTTTAATAGAATATAGAGAAATTAAAATAATAATAAAATAAAGATATAAGGAATTTTTTATTTTTTTTAAAAATTAAAAAAAAAAGAGTATTTTATAAAATTAAATTCTTAAAGTTAAATAGTTAAAAAGAAAAATAATTTTATTAATTACTTTTATCTATATTAATAAGAAGATATATATAATAAAATATTCTTTAGAGATATTTTTAATACTAATAATATTATTAGAGAAATAAATAATCTTTAAAATAACTATTTAAAGTATATAAAAAATAATAGTATTATTATATTATATATTATATATAGTTCTATAGTATAAAACTAATATCTATAGAAAAACTATATTTCTTTAGATATTTAGAAAATTCTATTTTTTCTTTTTTACTAATTTATAGCTACTATATAACTACTAATTAGTATTAGAAAGCTTTTTTAAAATATATACTTATAAATAAAATAAATTATAAAGATAATTAATTAAGTTATTATTCTAGTTATAAAACTAGACTAATTATAAAACTAGTTCTAGAGTAGTTATAATTAAATAAACTGCTCTATTTCTAGCTTTTAGTTAGTAACTACTATATAGAGATATTTAGTATACTAATATATATAGATTATATTTATTTAAATTATATAATTCTAATACTTCTAAAAAGTTTAATTATATAAATTATTATATATTTCTTTTTTAAATCTAATATTCTATTAATCTAAGAAAAGAGATATATTTATAATAAACTAATCTTATTTTAACTAAGTATATTATATTATATAATATAGTAGTTTTAATATAACCTATATATCCAGAGTAGTAAGAAAGACTGCTATATAATTAGTTAGATTAATTTAAAGAAGAAATAGAAAAAAAAAAATTCTGCTATTTTATTCTAAGGGATTTATCCCAGGTAAAATAAAATCTAAATCTACATATATATATCTATCTATACTGATAGATATCATAGCTACCAGGTATCAAAGGGAGCTAAAAATATGGTATTATTCTGTAAGAAAGAAGAGGTTATAAATACAAGAAGCGCTAGTCCACTTTGGAAGTCGTCGTACAGACGAGATCCACCTAATGTGCAAACAAACGAATAAGCAAGTGAGCGAGTGAGTAAGTAAATAAAAATAAAATAGCTAGCAAGCTGGCCCGTATATATTTATTATTCGAGCTCGATCCTTGCGTTATTTTCAGCCTGAGCGCTCCTGGTAAAGAAAACACCGGCTTCTCGTACATCCTATCCAGCGCCGCACCTTTCCGAGCCAAGAAGACACAATACCTGAAGAAGTTTTGAAGTGCTTCCTCTGCGCTGCTTGGGAATCACCGCAAGTTCAGTAATAGGCTCGCCTTCCACATCGACGGCGGCCTTCTTGAAGGTCGCCAGCTCCTGTACAATCAAGTCTCTACTTATCGCATCGAGTAGCTTATTAGCAGCCAGCTTTACGCAGACCTACGAAAGCGCGTTTCGGGCTTTAGTAAGGTCCGATTCCGGGGTCTGCCCCAGGAGGAGAGCGGATAGTGTAGCGGGTGGTTCCAGAGAGACGGTATCGTTATTAATCTGAAAAGCTGAATTACGGGCTGATAATTTAGCTATGAACCTCTAGGAAGCCATCTCGTGCTCCTTAACAAATATGGTTTTGTTGGGCGAAGTTGAGCTTGTGCTGAAGTGGACTGGCAGGTTGTACTCGTACGGTAGGTCGAACAGTTCGTGGCAAAGTGGCCCAGCGATCTATGGCTGCTCTAGTAATTTGGCTCGGCCGGATGTGAGGCCGAAAGAAATTTCGAGGTCGACGTTTTCCCTCAGGTGCTTGAAGATGGCTTCCTGGTCGTCAAGGACTCTGATAAAGAGACCACTCAAGTAATAGAGCATTGAGCGATCTATTGGCTCTATGATGTTCTCTATGAAAACTCTGACGACCGTGATGATGGTGTCTGCAATGTCAGCCGAAAGCTCCTCGTTCGCTTGTTCAGAATCTTCCGAGACTGAATCTTGACCACATATGTGCCTCCAGTGATTCATGAGATGAGTCTTTGTCGAATCCTTCTCGTCTGAGACTGCGCGGAAAATGTACTGGTTATATTTGTTGGCGATGCTGGCGCGCAAGTAAAAGATGAACCGGTTTTCAATGTCAGTGGAGTGAAAGTATTCGTCCAACTTTTCCATATGGCTGTCATTGATCCCTTCAGAGATGAAGCTCGCAGCCGTATTCCGCCGATAACCCAATAACAACGTTCTGGCCTCGTCTTGGTCCCCGGTTTGGGGCACAATGGGGCACAGAAAGCTCAAGTAGAAGATATTTGCTTCATCTGCGCCGCCGGAGACGTCAGGCAGCGCAGCTTCGCGAACGCCACATCATAGCGTCTGTCGCATGCCTCAACTGCTCTGCTGAGGCCCCATTGAAGCCCATTAGCTCTCTGACTCCTTTCCGTACAATTCTTCAGGGAGCTGGTATTGCTTTCCTGGCAGCGGGTGGTTTCGACCGTGACACGTGCGCGGAGAAAGTCAGCGACGGCAAGGCAGATGCTATTGTCATGGGGAGATACTTCATTTCGAACCCTGATCTGGTGGAGCGGTTGAAGCAAGGTCTGGCACTTAACAAGTACGACCGGTCGACATTTTATGGCTGAGACTATGACTTGCGCAAGGGCTACGTTGACTACCCGTTTTACGCGGATGTCAAGGCCTAGGTCTAGTGGCAGCCAGGTTGCTGTCTTATACAGTGAAAAAAGCCCAAGAGAGATTTCTTTTCCTGTCCTACTTAAAAAGAATTATGAACTTTTCAATGCCATCAGATATGGAGCCAGACATTTGAAAAAGTGCACCCCAGCCAAAGGCAACTAGCTGTAAGTGGTGAGCGTCCTGTGGCGTAAGAAGCGTCAAGGGTGGGTTAATTCGTGGATGGAAGCCCAAGACAATGAGATCATTGGGCAGGGGGAGCGCCACGTACATTAGGCAGCCAAAGGCGATAAGGGCAAACAATCAGACTATAACGAATATGAATTGAACAAGCACAATGTAAAATAAAAGTCCAGACATCTGGACTATACAGTTGGCGCACGTATGAGAGCAGCGTGAGGCGATCGACATAGTGGATGTTGGGGATGGAGATGGACGTCATTGGTAACGGCGCGTAACATGTAGATGCGCTTTGATTTCTCAATGCGACTCAGTGAAGTCTGCGCAGCTTCAGCCACACTAGCTGAGCCGCCACCCCCTCTCAGCTTCAGCTCCCAGTTCTTGAAAATCTCGCTATCTGCACTTTTTGTCCTTCACAAATGGAGGGCCGGTGGGCGACTGGCGGCCACTTGGACTTCACTCGTGCTGATGATGCCCCGATACGTACCAGCGAGCACCGTTCGCGGGACGATGGTGCCTGAGATGGCAAGCCAAAATCTGCTTCCAGAGCTGGTACGTGACGCGAAGCTGCAAGCAACCATTGAGAATAAGCGCACAACCCACACACGACGATCTGGGCACCGGGCAATATCCTCTGAATCATGGGAGTTTGAAAAAATCCTCGGACATGGCGGGAATGGTATAGTCTTGCTGGAGCGGAAGGTGAAGGATGATGACGGCCCGGCGGAGCTGCGCGCCGTCAAAGGCATCCAGATCTCACATGGCCAGTCAAAATCAGCAAGCATGAAATACATACGCGAGCTCGAAGCCTTCGCAAAGTTCTCTCAGAAAAGAGTACGGCCTCTTCACGCCAGCCCTGTCTTTGTGTGTGTCCCGGATGGCTAATCCTCTCCGGGTGGATAGTATGCCGATTCCTTTGTCAAGCTCTACGGTTGGTACGAGAGCCCCGAATGGCTACATATCGCCATGGAGTATTGCGAGCACGGAGACTTGGATAAGTACATGTCCCATGTAAAGACGCTTCCCGAAGACCAGGTGCGCGGTATTACTTGGCAAATACTGGAGGCTCTTACCTTTATGCACGAGGAAGACTTCGCCCACCGGGATCTCAAGCCGGCAGTAAGATGTTGCAGAAACTCCAATTGAGATGACGTCCATGGTGCTAAAGTACCTCTAGAACATCCTAATCATGCGCAAGCCGCCTGAGAAATGGTGGATTAAGCTCTGCGACTTCGGGCTCTGCAAACGAAGTGAATACATCATGGGGTTGACCACGGTACAAGGCACTCCGGCCTTCATGGCCCCAGAGATGATCGGATATCCTTTCCGCGGCGATCCGAAGACATCAAATCCTTTCTATTCTGACATGTGGAGCTTGGGCGAAACTATTCACTTGATCCTCACCGGCCATTTCACCTTCAAGGAGCCCAGTAACCTTCGACTTTTTCAGTTAGGCACTATCCCGTTTCCCAAAGACGAGCTGCAGCGAGCCGATATTAGCGAAGAGGCAATTGACTTCATTCGTCTTCTCATGCTACCTACTCCTTGGCAGCGGCTCAACACCGAGAAGGCCTGGGAACATCCATGGATGGAGATGGAGGCGAAACCCGCCGGCAAGGTAGCTGCCCTAGGACAACCACGGAACCCCCCCGACGAATTAAATCCTTGGACTGCCATGATCCAGTCGCCAAAGCATTCGAATCTTACTTCACCATCCGGGCGATGGACCACTCAGCCCAGTCCGGGAGGAGCACCAAGCCTGGATAATCCTACACAAAGAGTCGGTACTTCTGGGTCTGAAGGTGCCCAGATGAGCGTCTACGCTCTGGCTGAGAATCTCCATTCTCCCACGGCCAATTTTATGCCTCCTCCATCTTCCCCGAACCAGCTCAGTTTTGCAGCCAACATCTTCACTACAAATGCCACTACGACTAGCCAAGGCCCAGCCCCTGCTCCCGCTTCAGCTACTCGCATGGACACCGCTGTTGATGAATGGGGTGATGAGAATATCCATCCTCTATCCTTTGACATTCTTGAGACGCCACATGCCGATGATATGATCAATACATCCATCAACCGCAGTGTAGCTCCTTATATCAATCCGGCCGTGTCTCCTCGCACAAATCCTCACCCCACCGGCCCCCAGTCCAGCACTACTTCTTTCACAAGCAGCACTAACCCCGAGACGGCCGGTGCTACGCAGCAGGCCAGGGTGAAGTCGATACTTTCCAAGACCGGCTTCGATATTCTCAAGTGTCTTTGGCTTGTTGCAACGCGAAAAAATTCCAAAATTCAACTTGGTGCGGTTGACTTGTCATGTGCCATCACAGTTTGCGATGTTACAATGAACGACTGCCCGGTTGTCTACGTCTCGGACAATTTTCAGAATCTTACTGGGTATAGCCGCCATGAGATCCTTGGACGAAACTGTCGCTTCCTCCAAGCACCCGACGGCAAGGTGGAGGCGGGCGCTAGGAGAGAGTTCGTTGACGATGGCGCGGTGTTTAACCTCAAGAAGATGATCCACGAACGCCAGGAAGTTCAACAAAGTCTAATCAATTATCGAAAGGGCGGCAAACCGTTTCTTAACTTACTATCAGTGATACCTATTGCCTGGGATACAGAGGACATTCGATATTTCATCGGTTTCCAAATTGACCTTGTTGAGTGCCCGGATGCGATTGCCTCTGGGCAAGGGCTTGGGGGAGTTCAAGTAAACTACAAGTCTAGCGATATTGGCCAATACATATAGACTCCTCCCCAGCCACCTCCGGGACAGTGGGGGCTCGAAAGCGGTCATACTCTTACTATGGACGATGTATCGTCTCTACTACGTCAGTTCAATCGTTATGACCTTGCGTCTGGTTGGTTTCAGCAATCTTGGGATTCGATGCTAGTTGAGAACACCGATGATGTTATCTGCGCTATTTCTCGTAAAGGCTTGTTTCTTTACGTATCGCCTGCTTGTAAGCGGGTGCTTGAGTATGATGCTGCTGAGCTTGTCGGAACCTATATCTCCACTATCTGTCATCCATACGACATTGACTCCGTCATCGACGAACTAAAAACTACTACCCTGCAGAATCATTCAAACATGATCTACAGGATCCGAAGAAGATACAGTGGCTATACATGGTTCGAGAGTTATGGGTCGCTCTTTGTTGACCGAGACAGTCAGCAAGAGTGCATCATCTTAGTTGGCCGTACGCGCCCTGTATATTCACTTAGTCGCCGGAACCTAGACGCCAATGGTGGTATTAGTGACGGCGAGCTATGGGCCAAAATCTCGACTTCAGGCATGTTTCTTTTTGTTTCGTCGAATATCAGATCGCTTCTCGACCTACAGCCCGAGGCATTGATTTGCACAAGCATCCAAGATCTCATGCGTAAGGAGTCGCGGGCCGAATTTGGGCGTTTGATAGAGAAAACTCGGCATGGCAGAACTATCACCTTCAAGCACGAAGTTCAAAATCGGCTTGGCCAATTTCTACAGGCACAGGCCACGCTCTATCCCGGCGATGTCTGCGAGGGTAATAAGCCATCGTTCTTACTAGCTCAAATCAAGCTCCTTGGGGTATCAACTCGGAGTGTTACCTCGACAAGTCCCGCAGCCAGGGTCGGGTCCTTCCCCGCGACTTCAATGTCTGACCCTAAAGATGACATATTTGAAGAGCTAGGGACCACTAGGAGCTCCAGCTGGCAGTCTGAGCTGGATCAAATCAAAAAGGCCAATCTTCTCCTAACCATAGAACTGAACGAATTGCTCTTCAAGTAGCGCAAAGGGAGACGTCAAGAATAAGGGCTACATTATCCTTAATCTCCCGCCGGTGTGTACCAACCGTGCTGCGTATTGAAGCTTTAGCTACCAAGGAATACTACAGGGTAGTTGCATAAAGAGCGGGAAGAGGACTTCACCCACAAACTCTTTCGAGTTGGTGAGCACCTGCGGCGGAATGGCGATTCTGTCTGCGAACAGCATCGCACGATGCAAAAGAGCACGAAAGAACAGCGACGGCGGAACTCCGTACAAGTTGGCCTTTGCATTGACATTGTCCAAAGAAGGAATAAAGGCGGTGAGTGCCGAGCCCTCGCGCCTCTGGCATGTTGGCTGCTCTTCAGACTTAGAGCGGCTCCCAATGCCTAATTCGCGAATTAGGTTTTTAATCAAGTTAGACGACTGCAAGTCGCCGACCAGATACGCAGAATTCTGAGCAAAAGCTAGCGCTTCACGGGCGGCGCGTGGCTGTGCGCCGCACAGCAATAGAAGCCCGTACAATGAGCTAAGGACCCACGATTGGGCGTGCGACTGCTGGTTGTTCAGATTGTTGTTGAAACTCTGGTGCAAATTCTTGATTATTGAACACTGCTGATCAACTTCGGGGCAGATTGAAGCGCGTTGGTTCTCGCTGAGTTCAATAGCTAGGATGTTGTGGAGTAGTTTGGCGGCATTGCTGCATTGTCGAGCTGCTACAAACTGTCAATAGCCAGCGTGACGGTTCGCTTCGCCAGTGGTCAAGACTTGGTTACCTGATCTTGTCTATGAAATTCCCTCAGCTCTTCTTCAAGAACGCTGTTCTAATCCTGTTGCTGGCTTCCTAAAAATCCAAGTTTCTTGAGTATGTAGCCTTGAGTTGAAGCTCCGTCGCAGAGCTCGATCAGATCAAGGATAATAAGTTTGTACCAGGAGGATCCTAGATTATTACTCCAATTGAAGATATCTTTACGAACTCGGAAGGCTCTGTGCCCCATTCCACCTGTTCTCCACGCATTGACCCGTGCAGAAGGCAGAGACCATGGTCGCCAGTATCTGCGGTCTGCAGCACGTCAGAAAGTGCTTTTACGCCAGGCTCGACTTGGTCAACGCGTCTTTGAAGCCATACAAGCCGTGCTGTTTCCTTGTTATGGACCATTCGAAGGTAGTCCGTGTTGTCGTTAAAATCACCGCCGCTGTAGCAGACAAGAAAGAACACACTTCCGACGAGAAGAGTATCCAGAATGTCGACTGCGTAAGAGGGAGGGCCTTGCTGCCTCTGCAACCGGGTATCGATGCAGGTTTCCGGCACATGACAGAATCCATAGAGCTTGAACAATAATGACACCGTTTTTCCAAGTTGAGGAAGCAAAGCTTGCGCAAACTGGCAAGACTTGGGGCCGCTGACCACCAGAACTAGCCTTTGGGTAGTGTTGTGCATGTGCTCGACAATTTCCGGGCCATCGACGTGGCGGTTGCCAGTGAGCCGGTACACGTTTGCCTGAGCTTTCTCGAGCGCGCGTTCAATACAATCGTCAAAATTTGTTGTGACGACTGCGGCGGCGCTCCCATCCATGAGACACTTTGCCGCCCACCTGTGTGCGTGGTTGACTAGCCAGCCGTCATCACTCCTTTGTGTCCCAAACACGTTCAAGAGGCGAAGGTAGTCCTTTCCGAGGCGACGTGCAATGGCTTCGGTGAACTTGTAGTTGGGTACTCGGTCGAGATTGTTCCACTGGAGCGCTCCGGCGGTGCATTTCTTGAGTTCGTTCCTGACCTCTGAAGCAAGCCTGTCAGCGCGGTGCCATTCAGTCGTTAGGAAGACAAACCAGTGCGGTCGTTTTCTTCGAGCTCCGCAGACGCAACATCAATCAGGGAGCTATACAAGAGCTCGATGAATTTATCCCAGGCCGGGAAGTCAGTCGGCCTGAAGGAGGACGCTGCAGCACCTAGAAAGAGAGTCGTCCTGTTGTCAACCATTTCCAACATGCTCTCAATCCTGGGGTGCAAATTTGTCCAGCCACGACTTTGTGAGGTATTCTCTTCGAGTATTCCCTCATTAAAAGCGGATGATATAGGGTTGACGGACATTGTTGGCATTGCAGACGGGTAGCATTCTTTAGTGACAGATAGGAAGGAAGTCAGCAGGATGCTGGGGATGAACTCGAAAAATATATAGATGAGTGCAAGCAAGATTGATGGGTAGTCTGCCTAGCTCAATATATCAGCCGGTGGCTGCTCTAACTATTAAGTTGCTGTTAGTAATCTCGGATATCTTGGTAAACCTCTCCTCCTAAAATCAGCGATATAAAAGTTTGGCTTGTGATACTGATTCTATCCGTATACGTTGAGCTTCTTCTCCCCCTTAGCTTATAATGCGAATTCTAGCTTGCCAACTAGCAAACCTTAGAAACGGAGATTTCCGCGTAGCGCCTCTTCATTCTCATTGCCTTGGCGAGCCTTGGAAGATATTTTGGGACACCAGGCACTTGAGTCTGGACAAACAGCGATGACTATATCCAGTGTGACTGAAGCTAGGAAGATGCATATTGGTAAAGTAGGGCAAGGGTCCACTTCAAAGGAGAACATATGGAGGGAAATTATAGTTGCCCTAAGAAGCTTGAAAGTGAGAATCTGCGTATGCGATAAACTCGACAGCCTTTAGCCGGTTTGTTATAATTTTATCAGTATCTTACCGATTACCAGGCTATAACGGAGGGCTTTAGAAGGCAGTAGGTTATATATATAACAAGCTAATGCATAAGACTATATTAATAACTGGATATTATTAGAAATATTAATCTAAAGCAGAGCTACTTCTAACTTTCTTTTTATATTAATATTATCCAAAGAAGGAATAAAGACGGTAAGTATAAGACTTGATTACCTGATCTTCTCTATAAAATTCCCTTTACTCTTTTTTAAGAATACTATTCTAATCCTATTACTAGCTTTCTAAAAATCTAAGTTTCTTAAGTATATAGTTTTAAATTAAAGCTCTATTATAGAGCTTAATTAGATTAAGAATAATAAGTTTATATTAGGAGGATCCTAGATTATTATTTTAATTAAAGATATTTTTATATTTTTATAAACTTAAAAGATCTATTACTAAATAATTTAAATAATTATAATATCTAATATAAATATTCTAATTTTTTAAAGTTTAATTTATATTTCTAATAAAATTCTTAAAGTAATAATAATTATTATTTAAAATAATTTAATATAGTTATTTACTAATTATATTTATAATATATTTTTATAATTAATTAAAAATCTATTTATAATAATAAAACTACTATTAACTATATAAATCTAATAATTATATCTATTTAATTTATTATTTTATTATATAGATTACTATTTATAGTTATTATAAATACTTATAAAGAGTTAAGATTAGTTTAAATAAATATTATATTTTAAAATAATTATTTTTATATATAAGTTTACTATAGTTTAATATATAATTTATAGTTTTAATATATTATATACTATATTAAATTAATAAGAGTAAAAATAGCTTTTAAAAATTAGTTTATTAATTAAGCTTTTTATATTTTAGAATAATTTAGATTAAAATATTAATTAAATTAGATTAGATTTAATATTAATATATTAGAGTTTATTTTTATATAATTTAAATTATATTTATTTAGAAATAAGAAAAAAATTAGTTATTTAAGATTATTTATTAAATTTATATCTATAAATATAGTATATATTTACTACTATAGAAAACTTTTATTAAATAATATAAATTTAATATTAATTTAATATCTATTTATATATACTTAGTTATACTATATAATATTTACTAGTTTTATAATATTTATTTATTAATAGTAACTTATCTTATATAGTCTATAATAATTTAATTATACTGCTTAGAATAATTCTTAGTTTAGTTCTAACCTATCTTAGATCTAGTTTAGTATAACTAGGCTCTTATAATAGCTTTAATTATCTAATAATTCCTAGTTATTTATTTAATAGAAGGTAGGTTAGCTAGTCTGTTTAATTTTTATAGGGATAATATATAGAGAAAAACAGGGAATCCAGTGGAGCTTATCTTGCCCGAATTTTGCGAAATTATTCGGTAGACATCCTAGCTCATTGTCCATTGTATCCCTCAGGCTATTGATTCCAACCCCTGTTTGCTTTGTTAGGCCAAGAAATAGAAGTGCCAGGGAGAAGCTGACATGGACTTAAACCGCCCAATCAAGACAGCGGTAACCCAGTAATCCTCAGTGGCACGGATGATGTGGTCGGTATCTAACCCAACACTACTTAGAGACCATTTGGAGGAGACAATACGGGAGAAAGTTTAACTATAAAATTAAGAACAGCAATGAATGGTACAAAACTCAACATCTCAATGCAACGAATATTGAAGGGAACCGTAGACTGACCTGAGGTTCTATGGCTGCAGAGTTGCCAAGAGCGAGTGCAATAATCCGCAGTGCTAGTGCTCAGTCAGATTCCACGCGTCAGGTTGGGCAAGGGTGAATAAATTAGCTAGTTTTATCATCCATAGAAATCATGATCCTTTTTAACCCTTTTCGCATGTTCTGTAAAATCCCTCCTTGAAAGATACGTCTTTCAGTGACTTTGCAGCAGCTACAATAAGTCAATTGACTAGACGTAAGTATGGGCTATTTGATCAAATGAGACTGCACACACACCCCAGCACCCCATTTAGATAATAGCTATTGTGGAAGGTTGTTCAACTATGGTGTGGTCAGCAGCTTACATTTCCAAGTCGCAAGCCCAGGTTCCCTTGCCTTTCCGATATTATGGCCCGATGCTCGCAGAACCCTTCCCTATGTTGGCCATTGCGAGCGGTGTAGTCACACAAGGGCGTCTTGCGAGTACAGCAAGATATACGTCGTTTCAAGCACCCCTCAAGATACATTACACATGAGGGGCCTGACGCTCCTGGATGTGCCCTGAAATGCCATCAATTAACCGAGTTTTTGAATCTGAAATAAGTAGTGAGTTTTTCAGGTGCGTTAAGATTGGAAAGAGACCACCCGCCCAGGAGCGGTTTAGTCGCCAAATACCTTTGTAACGCTAGGGGTGGCAGAAACGATGAATAAATTGGCGGCCTCCCTCTTGAGTTCACTGTTGCGCCATAGATTGTGTCTTCACTATACTCTAGTGTCATGTTCGATCAAGAGATACACAAAGGGGGTAAGAAAGGTATTATTCAAGATTGTCTTTCACAACCCCGAGTAGAGCTAGGGAAACCACGCATAGCGGTGGAGATTAATCATAAAGCTGTGGCACATTTTCATTGTAATAAAGATGAGAAAGATGCTTATATCCCGAAAGTTCCCGCTCTTCCTATTATTTCTCAAGGAAGAACTGTAATTTTCTCGTAAGATCATACCCTCATAGCTCTTTGTCAAATTAATAACTAGGTCATGTCAAGCCAAGCGTTCCAATTCCGCTTTGTGTGCTTTAATTCATCTCCTCACCCCAAGCGAAAAAGTCCGAGACTGGGGTGCCTTGAGGTTAAGTCATGAATTCTATTACCATCCTCTTGTCGTGGAAGGTTCTCAAATGAGTCTTCAGGAAACAACCAAAATCCCGCAGCAGATTGCTCTTGTCGCTGCCTGGCTTCAGCCTGTCTGAGAAATTGGGTCCAAAGATTTCGACGACTTAGATCGTTCTTCTCGTAAATTAAATATCGTTTCAAAGAATCAGAATCGCAGACTCGTCGAGAGACACAGACGTCATGAGACGTAGATACACACAACTCATGATTGCTGGTCCCATCGACAGCAAGAATATAAGAAATTTCCCGAAGTAGCGGTTCCGAGCCTTCCTCCATGTTGATTGCGAATCTGGCTTCCATCTCCTTCCAATAAGTTACAACCGGTCGGGGGTCTAACCCAATTATTATGTTCTTGAGATCAGATATAATAGGACGAGGGTCGGGATTTAAAACCTCGTAATCTGTAACTTCAGCAAGAATAGGAATGGCGGGGATCAAGCCTAGTTTGAAGTTCATGGGTGCTGAGAACGAGCCCAGCATTATTCGATTACAGTCATCAAGGAGGTAAACCCCCCAAAGCGACCGGAGATTTCTCAAACTTCTCACGAAAGATTCCATCTCTACTTGAAGTAAAGTCTCTGGTCTGATTGATTCCAAGCATTGTAAGATGTCCGGAGATCGACAGTCAAGCGCCAAGTGCAGCAGACCGACAGAGCCACTATCGTAAGATCGTAGATCATTTAAAAAGCCTAACAATGTTTGAACTGGCGCTTTCAACGATTGGATGTAGATACAATCATATTCCGGGTTCATATGCAGTAACGGCCCAACTCTTTCTCCCAGCCCTTTCCTGGACTTCAAAGGGACCTTGATGGGGTATCGACATAGCACAGAATGTCGCGCTTCTCGGTTGACCCGTAACAAAGGACAAATGTACAGCGGATCCCTCGGAATTATGTCGTAATTGCATCCTGATACGATATCTTCAAGATGGTTCAGATTTTTATATTTAGGGCTTTGTCCGAATTTCCCGCGCCAGGAGCTCTCTTCCGCATTGACGACATGCAACAGCTTTATCGTGACCAGCCGCCGCATCTGGTGACCAAGGTAGAGATGCCAGATCCGAAGCCTAAGCTCTGTAGGAAGTTCTTGGAAAAATTGAAAGACTGTGAGATCCGACCGCTCTTGAATGCATTGGATGCACTGGGAATGGTCGCCAAAGAAAGCCGAGTTGAGCGTGCCAATTGGAGAGCCCATGACGCAGGCATACCACCTCGGTAAAGCAGAAGGGAAAAGAGAACTAAGACTGGACTCAGCAGCCCGGCTCGGTCTAAAAGTAGTAGATATAGATTTATTCATGCTATCGCTAGATTGGGGGCTAGCCTCAGCTAGGTCGGTCTATGTTACGTTGGGTGGTGTGAGCATGGGCGTCAGCTGGCGATCTCGGGATTCCTCACTCAGCAACAAGAAATTGAATCCGTATAGGGATATGGATGGATTCATGCCCCGCCTCACCACGCCATATTCTTTCAGCTGACCATCGGTAGCGATTAACCATCGTAACCTTACCACATACATTACCCCAGTGTCAGCCTCACCTTGGCACAGCTAGCTGTGATGTGGGACTGACAGGTGCCTTACCGCAGGAAGTGGAAAAAAGGCAAGGGTCCCGTCATTGTTCATTGGAGCGCAAAGCTATCTCTATACGTTGGGACTGCTCTGTTGGTCTCCCAACCGATACCGTGCCTTTCCACGCCGCCAAATCCATGATGATGTTGAATAGTGTTTCACTTTTGCACGACTTGGTTTGACGGCGATTGATAGAGCTAGGATAGCCGTTTTCATCTTTGAAGAGCTCGAAGAGTGAATCCTTGCTAAACGCCGCGGATGCAACCGCATTCGTGATAAGGTGATTGAAGCGGTCTAATCTCCGAGGAGAATCACCCAACCAAGGGACCTCTTCAACACCAGCATGGTCCAGAAGCAGGTGGTTGGTATGGACCAAAATGCCTTCATTATTCAACTGAAGTTCCTTTATACCAACACTTGTGCACTCCAATCCGAGGGCCTCTGACTGATCAGATACGAGAATATGGCCGCTCCCGGCTGTTCCGATGAGACTAATAGCGTTGGCAGCTGCTCTCGCCGAGCCGGACTCGAGCGCTTTTCTCAGTGCGACGTGGATGGGGTATCGGGAGACATCTACTCCCCGCGCTCTTATTGCGTTCAAACAAACTCCCACGCCGCTCGAGTTGAACCCAATCTTCCCGATGACCCCGCCCTCGGTGACCATGGAAATGTCGGGGAGCTTTGAGCCCGGTTGACTGATGTGGCAAACAAAAAGGTTGGCAGCTTGTTCCTTCTGCCAATCCCAATTCTGGGCGAGTAGAACGTCGCCTGTCTTGTTCTTGTATGCCACGCTCGTGCACCCGTCGCTTTGCACAGGCAGTGACTGATCTGCAGTGAAAAGTCCAAAGTTGATCTCGGTTCTAACATTCAGAGCAACGATGTCCAGGATGTCCACATTGGCGCCTTTGGCAATGCCCTGCATCTCCTCATAGTATCTAGGGCAATCTCCGCGCAAAAACTCGACGTATTTGGCGGCCTCTTGGAGAACAGATGCCCAATCCAGACGGCAGCTGGACTGAAACAAGCCTCTGTAAAAGGCAAGGGATCCTTCTACCTTGTCTCTGGCGGCCGTACCATGCTGGTAGCCGATCTGCAAGTTGAGAGCCATTAGTCAGATCCAGTCCACGACGTCAGCATCCTCTTTCACATACCTCAAATGGTGTTCCTGAACACCGTATCTCAATCATGATGAGCGTTCGGCTGTTTGATTGTGCTGAAACTTAATGATTGAGGTTCAAGGTAACTTTCTGTGCACCCTTTGAAAGTATTCTGTTGCCTTCGTACCGGCGACTATGACGTGCTTTAGGCCTCGGCGCACGAATGTCCAAAACAATGCATCCATGGTGGATACGTTTCTCCAAAGCCGAATGGGTTCTGGGGGGGACAAAGCAAACGCAAACCTTACCATAAGGGGATTCCGTTCGTACCTCCGATCTCGCTGCATCCTCTATTAGGCCTAATTTCCCCAAACTTTGTCTTCTCAGAATAAGAATGATCGAAGGGCAATCAACCAGCTTCAACCGTTTCCAGATATTTGAGTGTTGTTGATTGGTCACGACAAATGGTGATGGTAAGCTAAACTTCCTTAAAACTCGACCGATTTTTTATTTCCCAATGGAACCTCAGCCGCTTTATTTTCAAGCATTTCCGTGCTTGATTTTCCTCCGGTGCACCTGCAAGCGTGGACAATTGATGGTGGGATGATACTATAGGGTAGGACGTTTCGCTGGAGTTGATAATACGTATACGGTGAAGAATTATCCTTAGGATCGCGCCCTCAGGGCAAATGAAGTTATTGAAAAGCCTGGAAATAGTCATGTTACTTTGGTTCATTTTCGACCGTTGTCTCAACGGTCTGTTGATCTTCGTTGCATATGGCATATTTGCTCGATTTGCGCCGATCGCCTTACCATGGATGAGAGATGCTCGAGGTTAAATACGTTCTATGACGGGGGAAGATACTCAACTCTAAAAAGAATTTATCCAGAGTTGAGGCATGTATTAACTGGGTTCAGAGACTTGTGGCAGGTCATCTCTCGCGCAGCTTCTGAACATCGAAACGGCGTGTGTGCGTGCGTCAACTGATGTGCTGATGAAATTGAACGGACCTGGCTACAACGAAAACAACACGAAAGGACGGTCGATCAGATATGCCTCCCCCTTCGCCCAATTTTGTCCGTTTTTTGTTTGAACCGTGAAGGAACCCACGTTCTCTTTCTCGTACGATGACCCGCGTTACGTCTTTGGCATGATGCGGAGGTGTATTTCTCAACGAATTATTCTGACGAAAGAAAGCTTGCGAGAAACGGAAGGGAAGAATAATAGTTCATGCATTAGGTTTGTGTTCGTAAAACCGTTCCCTTTCCCCCTACCTAGGAGAACAGGCATACAGCTGCAGCAGGGTTAGATAAGTCCAGAACGGACAATCGGAGTACCGGGCATTCAGGGATTTGATTTTTATTGGGGGTACTACAGCTAAAAAACTACAAGCAGGTCGATTTCGGTCTTTTCTGACTTTTGTCTCCGGCCGGAACGTCCGGGGGATGACTGGCAACGCTTACCTCCCGATATCACCTCCGAAGCGTCGGCCGAGTCATCTAACCGAGACTCGCGAGGTGGGTACACCCTTGTTGATCAATTTAAATTACTCTCTAAAGAAAACGAATACGTCATTAGGCTCGGGTCGCATTGACTCATTAGGATCTACAAGCAGATAGACGGGGGTAATGTGTCTGGTGATGCGCGTTATTCTCCTCAGCCCTATCACCGAACACGGTCCCCCCCGACACCGCTTAAGAGGTGGACAAGCTTGATCCGACAAAGGGACCAAAGCGGGTCTACTTGACAAATCCTTTCATTTTCGGTGATGAGATGATGTGATCTCGCAGTCAGTTTCGAGCAAACTTTGTGACACGTTCCCACCGTGGATGCCGGAGACTGCGGAGAGGTCACGAATAAGCGGGCACCGCTCGGCTGCAACGGAAATCAAACGGCCAACTATCGTGTGATCATCCCACATTCCTTGCTCCGGATTTCTCAGCGGCCAGTCACGCCGAAAAGGAGGTGAGCACACATACTTACAAGGATATGAATACCCAAGAATTTGCCCATTTGTAAACTTTGGGGTTGGCATTCAACCAAAGCACCTAAACTGCTCGTGTTTATGATCGTTTATTTTGCTCTATCATGCCCGTAGCTGTTTCACATCCTGCAGCTATCGCTGCCCCTGTGGACAGCCAAACAACTCCTATAAGTGGAAGCACGCGGTCTAGCGAAAGTGTCGATGAGAAGCCTATCAAAAACGTAGGCCGGGAGACGGCAAAACAACGCGATGTGGACCGCTCTGCCTCGACTAAACGATGGAAGACATTTGTCCGGTCTTTCAAGCACATCTACAATCTTACACCAAAAGAAGTTCAGGATTTTATGAGATCCTATAGAATATATGACAACGATTGGGCGGATGAGGAGAAGATGATTTCAGCTTTTGGCCCTGATTATCAACAGCAAGTTGGCGACTCTCTCAAAGCATACTACTCGGTTCTGAACCATCTCTGCAGCTTGGGGGATGTCGAGAAAATGTACATCCCGCCTGTCATGGACAAGAAAGCATCTGTCCTCGATAACCAGCTCTTGAATGAGGAGGCAATTGCAGAAGAGATTGGGTTGACGCCCTCAATGAAAGTGTTGGATCTGGGCTGTGGCCGAGGAAGAGTGGCGGCACACATGAGCAGCTACTCAGGGGCCGAGGTCACTGGACTCAACATCGATGAGAACCAGATCAACCAGGCGCGACAATGGAATGAGTCCCTCGGTAACATGAACAAGTTCGTGGTCCATGATCAGAATGATCTACCCCTGCCTTTTGAGGACCAATCTTTCGACGCATTCTACGAGATACAGGCGCTTAGTCTGTGCAAGGACCCTTCACTATTGTTCAAGGAGATACACAGAATTCTCAAGCCTGGCGCGAAATTTCTTCTCTTGGACTGGGTAAGCTTGCCCGCCTACGACCCCGAGAACCCGACCCATGCGAGCTTGATGCGCCGGGTGAAACCCCTGATTGGCGCCGTAGGTACACCGACACCAGCAAGCTTTGAGAAGGCACTGGTAGAAGCAGGGTTCACCATCATAAAATCAGATAATCCGAGTATAGACGGCCGCCAAGCCGCTCTCATTGACAAGGTCGACTTTTATTTCCGTTCTCTCAGACGGATGATTCACGGATTGGTCCATGCGCATCTCCTACCGCCTCATTTCACTATGCTCATCGATCGTTTTTGCTTAGATGGAAAGGCGTTTGAGCAGATGGACGACATGGGACTCGTTACGACTACATATAGAATTGTTGCCCAAAAGATCTGACCTCTCGGCTAAGCATCATGTTTTCCCTTCCATTTTTAACAAAAGATGTTTTTTCTTCCCTTTGCTTAACAGTGGGAATTCTATTCTAACTTTTGAGGTGATATAAAGATATGGTATAACCCCTTATGGAGCAGTTTTACAAATATATAGAGCGGGATCCTTTTTTTTTTTTTCGTTTTAGTTGTTTGAGGTGTTAGAGAATACTTAGACTTATTCAAGATGTATTCACATTTGTGAGAATAGACTGTGAATGTGTGTTGAGAGGCAACAAAATTAATTTAGAAGAAACTCATCCTTGAGAAGGTAGGTTCCAAGTTAGGTATCCAACCTCAGAGTGAGCGTTCCTAGACTATGGTATCGGTATTGACTATCAGCCCTCACGTTGGCCTTATGTGTAGGTATGTATCAAAACCATTATTTTTTGGGGGGCTCCAATGTATCCTATTTACTCTTTTCCTCTGTCGCGTTGGAGTTTACGAGGAGCCATTCTATTGGCCTTTAATGTCGATTTCGAGTGCAAGTTTGATAATCAATAAACGTTCATCCAATATACAATGTGCTCTCGAAATATTTGCCCACTCAATATCATTGCAAGGGCCAGCTAGATGAAGGGAGAAATCTCGGTATCTCTCCAGATCTTATTTGAAATAATAACCCTTATACTCATTTTCGGGCTGGGAAAGCTGGGGAGCTTTCGACGTTGTGTATAGATGGTCCATCCCATTCCCCTCCTCCTTATCACGGCGTTTGTCGCGACACCGTTTGATCATCAAGCCGATGCCTACTAACGCGGCTATTGCTGCAGGAACACCAACTCCCACGCCTATTTTGCCCGCAATGCTCAGACCGCCGCTATCGTCATCATTGCCTGAGCCCCTGCCTGCCAGTATTGTTGGGTTATCGATTGATGATGTTTCTGAACGTGGAATAGGTGGAAGGTATGTTGCCAGGCAGCCTTGTAGTAGGCAGAGAAGAAGATATAAAGATATCAGTGACTCCATCGCCATGTTACGCGGCATGTTGAATAGATGCGTGGCTGTTTACTGTTGTATGTTTGCTGGTCTTCAGTAAAGGAAGAGATTTTGGTAGCCATGTAAAATAGGAGGAAGAAGTGAATGATCAGAAATCTGTGCCACGACTAACCCAGCATGAAATACGTCTCCTTTTCTATTGAAGAGAAGATCCTGGCCGGGAACACGGCGAGGAGCACATCGAATACTATTAACCGCTGTCTCCACTTGCCTGCAGCCATCATTCTGGACACTCCAATCAGCTTGGAGGTGCTCCAGCCAAGCCGGTCCAGGCCTTCTTGCCGTTGTTCCGGCCTGCAAGAGCTGGTGATTGCGTATAACTTCAAGTTTCCAGATACCCTGCCCTCCACCTCGTTATCAACATTATAGTGACTTGATTTTAGAGTTTCGTGTCTTTAGTAACTATAAAATCACTCCTCAAACCAGCTGACGCATCAAACTCACAGAGTTGGTTGAATGGGCTTCGAATGTATGAACAGCCGGAAATGCGTAGCGGATATAAGGCTGGCCGATCTGCCGATTAAGCGCCCAACTTTCCACTACCGAGTGCTAAGATCCGGCTTTAGGCTCTGATAGGGTATTTGATGCCCCTCAAATTCAGGGATCACATCGCATTTCCGTCTCTCATACGCCTGAGCCTATTGGACTTCAGTCCAGATGCTGGAGTCCATGGATGACGCGTCCTCTCAGCTATCAACTGCGTACCTCACGTCATGTCGTGCTTTTTCAAAGCCGCCCTATAATTAGATTGTCTTTGCATATGTGTACTCAGATTTCAGCCAGTAGAGGGTTTCATAATCGCCCGAAGCCCTTCGTATCGGAGAGAGGGCAAGATCTTCTATATAATCTTCTCATTGTGGAATCAATCTCAATATCTTGATACCATAATTCTTTTTTTAACTTAGACCTGGATAAGTCGCAATCTCAGGGTCCAGTCAAGTACCACATCCTTAATCCGTACAGACCATCGTGTCTACTGGTTCCTACTATGTGCTCTGCGCTTTAGGCGAGCGTGCCGTCTTCTAATTAACTTTCGTATCAATGACGGAGCTTCCCACGTTCGCGTGGCCTGCCACCGGAAATTCATTACCCCGATAGTACACATTTACCTAATCATTGCGAGGTAAGAGGCTGACATTTGGAAGCCCTGGGTCAACCTCAAGTGTTCCGTCATGCAATGAAAAGGATCAGGCGAGAATGTCCTGAGGTTAGTGTTCCAGGCCACACTGTCTAGTCACATCCCATAATTGGGTTTGAATCAATTCATACAACAGATCGCAGTCTGAAAGAGAGATACTGAAAGCAATCAGCGGATAAGCTACATAGAACTGCGCAAGTATACAGAGAGCAGACAGATACCGTTACATCTGGCTTAGCCGAGCAGCTATCAGAACACATTCTACATTCACAAGGGATCTCAGTTCCTAAGCTGCAAACAACCGCGTGGTGACTATGGAACTGCCGCCCAGACAAGTACATCCTGCCCTCCTGATCATCAAAGCCGAAACCAAATCCGGCGCACCCTGTCCTGAAGACCGGCCATCAAATTTGTATCTGGTCAGTTGGTAGGTTGGTGACGTTCCAGTTACTCCTAGCTACGGTTCAGGCTTTCACCATACTGAATGAACTTCCCTTGCCTCTAGCTCGATGTTGCTAGTAGGCCCGTCCATCGAGAACAGATAGGTTTCAATAGCGGCGTCACTTGGGAAGATCTGAGCAGTAATGGAGACTTCGCCCTGCCCACCAAATACCTCAACGGAAGACCAGTCGCTGAGGACCCGAATCGTGACGGTGCCGTCTCTAGAAGGCAACGGCGCAGAATACACTCCTGGAAATGATCCATCGAAGTCGGCCACTCCTGACAGTGTCCGGTTTACAAAGAGCTGCTCTGTTGTGAAATCGTACCCGATACGGGTTTGCTCACTAAGATCCGCCGTAGCCTGAACGATGATGCCAAAGTAAGTCGACTCTGATTTAGTAAATGTCAGAGTGGTGTCGAGCGCCTTTCCCGTAAGCTTGAGTTTCGTAACTCCAGCGGGCACAGAGTCCCAATGCTGAGAAAAGCATGCTCCCGGGTCCAGAACCGGACTCTGCACGAGAGCTACAGTATTGTCAATAGTTCTAAGCGAAAGTTTTCGTGGGATGCTCATTGCGCTTCGCCAAGGATCAGTCGGTATCACCCCGCCGTACTTCCAGTTGTTCATCCAGGCAATATCAACTCGCTCGGTATCAGGAAGACCCGAAAAGCTAAGAGCTGCGTAGAAGTCGGGGCCCCAATCGAGCCAGTTTGTCTGCTGCAGGCTTTCAGGATCTGCGGTAAAGGTTGTTCCATCGAAGTCTCCAACGAAGTATTGAGTCCCTGATCCAGGTGTACCTGGCGGGCCTCCTGGGTTGAGCCCGACCTGCGCAACCCATTTCACAGTACCATCCCCATCAACAGGGAGAGGGAATAAGCTGGGACATTCCCACACACCGCCAACGGCATTTTCTGGTCCGAATTCGCTGGCAAGCTCCCACTCCTTAAGATCGTCCGATGTGTAAATAAGGAGCTTGTGTAGTTGGGCCAAGGAGATGACTGAAACCCATTTACTACTAGCAGCATGCCAGAAGACGCCAGGGTCGCGAAACTCGCGGATCTGGTCGGCGTACTGGGGAGGAGGACTGAGTAGGACAGGATTTCCCTCATCATAGGTGGTCCAAGTCAAGCCATCATCAAGGCTGTAGGCGATAGACTGTGACTGCTGATTTACCTCTACTGACTTCCCACTAGGTAGGGTCTGTGCTTGAGGGTACTGAAGGCGAAAATTGGTCAGATATTTGTTTGTTCCGCTAAACATGATAGAATACCGCTTACATAAGATGTATACATTGCAACTAGAGGAGTCTTACCACCAGCACCAAAGCCGCTCGTGTTGTTGACATCTGCCACAGCAGTACCAGAGAAGAACATCTCTGTGATATTATCCGGGAAGCCACGAGCTTCGAGCGCGACTGGCTGGTGCTCCCAGTGAGCTAAGTCGGAACTGGTTGCGTGGCCCCAGGACATGGCTCCCCATGTTGTGCCGCCTGGATTATACTGATAGAACAAATGGTAGATGCCGTCGTGAAAGATCAAGCCATTGGGATCATTCATCCAGTTTTTGGCTGGAGTGTAATGATATTGAGGGCGATACTGCTCCTTATAATCCTGGGCAGAGACCATCTGCAGCAGAAACAGGCCCAGAACCTGGGCAGCACGAAGGCAGGCAGTCATAATGGTGAATGCGATGGGTGAGAGGAAGTGTGACTCTGACTGTGCTGGTCCTCTTCATTTCGGAGAACACAGTCTTCAGGCCATATATATAGATTTCTGGTGTTAGTCTGTTTTGTCGTGTTTCCCATCCGTGCTTCTGTAGAACTGTTTGAGGTGACTGTCTGTTGTGTCCACACAGTGGAGACTGCGAGTCTAGAGTCGGGATTTCCCTTTAATGGAAGGAGAATGGTCATGGCATGAGAGACCTTGGCTGCCGATCACTGAGTTATCCTGCTTTCAACCCTGGAGTTACTGTAGATGACGGTGGCGGTGTTACACGACCTCTTAGCCACTAGTGAACGCTATTCCCTACTTTACCAGTATGTCCGCCGAGCATACAGCCCGTCATGGTCCCGTTTCGACACTGGGAGCTTAGGACACAGATGTATATGTGATGACATGCCACATGCCCTCCACCCTGCATCCCAGTCCGGGGTCTGTGGAGGCAGCGTGGTTTCCCGCTTCAGGCAATATCCGCTCCCCACAAACGAGTACCCCATATTGCTACCCCGCGCTTCCACCTGTAACCCAAAGTTCTTCAGCAAGGGTATTGAGATGACGAGAGTTCTGGAGGACATAATAGGGGTTGTTGGATGATGGCCTTGGACCTGTATTAGCAGCTTAAAGAAGGAAGCGAGGTGAAATCCAGGGGCAAGAATGGAGGAGTGAATGGCTCGATCTTCACCAGATGGACGCGGTCCTAGACAATATGAATACTAGCAACGATGATCCTGATGCCCGTTGGTCTTAACTTGGTTCAATAAGCTTGGAGCTTGACCCAAATAGTAAAAGCAACGAACCACCGCCCCATTCCTCCGCAACACGTGTGTTCAGAGTTCGACATTTACGGTAATACGCGACCAGTCCCTTCCCACTTCTACTAACCCTCCAAGTCCAAGTCGTCTGGTAACAGCCCAGGATTCATAAGCAACAGTTATGCTATTTCCACAAATCTTGCGGGGTAAATGCGTGATTTTAAGAAAATAAAGTAACGGCGTACGATATGCTAGACGGGATTTCCCGTTTATGGAAGGAGAATGACGATGGAACTCTGACGGGAACGATAACTTGGGAAGAATGATTTAACCTCGGGGAAGATCTGTGCCTGAACCACTTCAATATATAAGGAGGGCTCTGGATGCGTTGAGTAAAGTCACCGCCCCTAACCGAGTCTTCCATGAGCCCCTTGGAACTTCTCGAATGTCTGGTCGATGGTGAGTTTGGTCTTCAAGGAGATTTCTTCGATCTCCTCTACCGTACTTGTATAAGCTGGTGCGAGAAGAACGTGGTCTCCTTTCACACCATCCTTAGTTCCGGTGCCGGGGTATAAGCTTATCCCTTGGTCCTTGAGCCCGACTGTATGAACAAGATTGGCAACACCAAATGAGGGCGGGAATGGGTCTTTTGTCTGCTTATCAGCAACAAACTCGATCTTTGGCTCTAGTCAGCATGTCTTTTCTAACAACTTAATTGAGGTCGAATAGCTTACTCCCCAAAATAGTCCCCTACCTCGAATATTGCCAACATAAGGATGGCCGTCGAGGTATTTGTGCAAAAGCGAACTCAAAAGCTTCCCGCGCTCCTTCACGTTTGTGAGGAGATCATCCTCTCTAATAATGCGCTGGACCTCAAGCGCGGCAGCGCAACTCACGGGATGCCCCTGATATGTATGACCATGTGAAAACGCTCTGATTGAGACATTAGCGTGGCATGAATATTATTTCAACCTACTTACCCAGTCCCGTTCTTTAGGGCATCAGCCACTCGGTGGTTGATTAACATTCCCGCAACAGGAGCGTATCCTCCTCCCAAGCCTTTAGCAAGGGTCTGAATGTCGGGAACAACACCTTCCTGCTGCCAGGCATGGAGTGTCCCGGTTCGACCCATGCCAGACATGACTTCTGTAAACTAGTTAACGCAAGAGTTTCTACAAAGTGAAGGGTATCCCCGTGAGAGAGTGCAGAAAGCCTACCATCTAGAATCAGAAGAGCACCGTACTTGTCGCAGACACCCTTCATCGCTTTAAAGTACCCTTCCACTGAGGGAACACACCCAAGAGCCTTAGAATATCGTGTTAGAGTAGAGAATGTGGCTCTATCGTGGGGAAACATACTGCTCCAACAACCGGCTCCGCGACGAATGCGCAAACTGTCTCGGGACCAACCTCCTGAAACTTTCGATCCAATTCGTCCGCTAGCTGCGCGACATATTCTTCAGTTGTTTGCCCCTTCTTCATTCCGCGGTATGCGTTACAAGCTGAGACCCGGTGGACATTAGGTAGAAGCATGTCCAAAAAGAGGCTACGGCGAGCAACGTGGCCGCTCATGGACAAACCACCGATTGTTGTTCCATGGTAAGAGCCTTCTCTAGCAATGAAGTTGATCCGTTTGTTCTCCTGTGGACTTATTTCGGTGAAATACTGCCGCGCCATCTTCATCGCAGAGTCCATAGCCTCAGATCCTATCATCGGCAAGCTTCCCGTTAGTGTATGATCAATGCATCAAGCCAGCATCGGGTACTCACCTGAACACATGATGTAAGCCTTGGCCATGGCTCCTTCAGTGCCCCGGATCAATTCTGCGCACAGCTGCTCGCCTATTGGATGCCCAAAGAACATAGAATTGCAGTACGAAAACTTGTCAATCTGCTCAATCATGGCCTTCTTCACTCGGTCATTGTGGCTGCCTATACATGCCACGGCAGCTCCGCAGGTCGAGTCAAGTATCTCATGGCCATCGGAAAAAGTCAGGTGTCTCTCTCTAGCAGAGACAACCAGCATCGGCGGGGTTTTCAGGGACCGGTGCAGAACGGCACTATCTTGTTCTGCCGTCGAACTAGCAGTTGCGGCAATAGATGCAAATGTTCGTTGCCGGCGAGGCATCATTAATATCGGACTAAGCGAGGTAGAACACAATATCTTGGTCCCCAACGTAGCCCTGAAGGGCCGTAGAGCTACCTTTTGGGCAATCATCTTGGCTTGGAGGAAGCGGTCTCTGAATTGATCCAAGTGACGTGATGCAGATCGCGACTTTGTCGCCTGTTCTAGTGAGATGGCAAGATAGAATGACCTAATAATGCCACGTTTGTGATCGGGAGATTCAAATACTATCTTGTCAATTCGGAGATCACTCGTTGAGATTGTCGTAGCTCAGATGCCTGAAGACTAGGAGATAGATATTCCACGATCGGCGAATGTCTTGAGCGTGTTGGGCGTATCTCGGGCGCCTGACCAGGTCGATACCCCGCCATCTCTCTTCCACACATCCAATTGTTTACGAGAAAGCCTGCATTGCTCAGATAATGCTACGCCAAGTCAAGTTAGCATTGTCTCCTCCCGTCTCTAACTTGCATACAACTGCGGGGTGTTGGCTGGGCACCTAGATAAGGGGCCGGCTAGCATCGGATACTCTGCCCCGATCTCGGTGCCTATTCTGGGGTGATGCATCTTCAAATCCTGCTCTTGTTCAAGTTTCTGTCATTTCAACCCATTGCCATTCAAGGGCCTATTTCTTCCTGTTTAAGCTGGATCATTCAAGTCTCCCTCGGCGCCCTCTTCTTGATACCACACTAGATTCTATCCCCTGCATTTTCATTAGAACAATTATCTTTACAGCTATGCCTGCTTCATCGTCTTCTGCTTCTTCGCACCTTTCGGTCTAGTATGCCAACTCCGCCTCAGGTCAGCAGACGTAGACTGTCGAACCTTCCGCAGGCTTGTCAATCAACATATTTACTAGAAGCTCTTTGATTTCAAAGCGCCAGAAAATTGTAAACAGCTGTACTACAGCGGCTCAAACTAGTCCAAACTACAATATCTTGCGATCCTAAGCATTGTTATCTGTCGTATCCGTGTAACGGGCAGTGATAGCCACAGCATTCAACACACCAGCAAAACGGCCGCCTTGAATGATGATATCAGTGACTAAAATGACCGTGGACACATCGTCAGAAGTCGTGAGTCTGATACAGGTTCACGTTGTACGTTAAAGTGCACACAAACCTCTAGAAATTCTCCCTTGGGCACCTCTAAGGCTTATAGAAGTCCACAAGTACTCGACGCTCCCTCCGCACCAACACTTCGTCGACTTCACTCCCTTCTGGGACTAGAGGCGCCTCAGCTTCTCCAGAATCTCATCCCGCAGGAGTATCCCGGTCTGCCGCGATATTCAAGCCATCGTTTAGTGTTTCCATAGCCATTCTAACCCTGTTTTAGCTCCGATCCTGACTTACAGGACAAGGGTAGGCATTCAAGACATTGTAGGCGCAAAAGCCCATTCGGCGGCACGTTTTCTAAATGGTTGTTTCGTGAGTAGCTCTGGGGCCTTCAAAGGCTACGTCCGGTCCCAAGATAGTGGTTCGTGCCCCGTTTCGTCTGATATCTACGATGCCTCGCCAAGGGTGTTCTCTTCTCGAAGACTTCCAATGATTCCTTTCGTAGACCCAGCAGTAATGATTTCCGACGTCCCTTTCTAAGCCTTGAGCCATTATTCATCGTGTGAATATCTATCCCGAGTAACGTTTTTCAAGTGGGTGAATCTAGTTAGCTTAGTCAATAGAACCGGCAAGCGAAAGAGAGGGACATAGCAGAGGGACATAGGCATGTTTGAACAATCAGCAATATCGCAAGAAGATACCGTAAACCAGTTTTTTATATTTAAGACCATTCTCAATCCAAAAACACCCTCCCGAGAACTCACATATCACACCCTTGATGTCACCCCCCTTTTGCCCTTTCACCCTGCCTCCAACTTGCAGATCTAGTTGGTTCCACTCCGGTACGCCAACCCGAAAGAGGGAATGATGGTGAGAGCCACCAGCAGTCAAGTCTTGGGAGAGCCTGTCCATCAATGCAGAATGGCCATGCCTATCCGATCCTATCCTTGATAGGCCATCCGATTAGACCTTGTCGGCCGTTCTAATGGCTTTGGCAAGATCCTTTGTCGGGATCGCCTTCCGATGCCAATGGATATGCCTATACCCAGATCAGCTGATTCCTATGGATAACTCCCTACTCGGGGACCCTTTTTAAGCTTTCTCTCTACTCGCTACCGAATGCCCCAGAGAGGCCACTCAGCGGTGAGTCTACCCCAAATCCCGTCTTGGTAATATTGATGAGCGCCATAAGAGCCATCCTCCGCCTCATATCCGGAATCGGGGCCGCGAGTGTCGGAGCATGGTCATTATTTAGAGTAGATCAATCAACGTTTGTTTCTCCTTCATTGATTGCCCTTCCATGCCGTGTTCCCTTTATCCATTATTTCGCCTCATTTTGCAGTGAAGTGCCACAGCATGTTGGACCTTATCGTCATCGGTGCCGGCTTCAGCGGCCTGCAGGCCGCCTACTCAGCCCAACAAGCCGGTTTGTCAGTCGTCGTCGTCGAAGCTCGTGATCGGGTCGGCGGCAAGTCATGGAGCGTGCCATTGGCCTCAAACCGAGGAACCGCTGATCTCGGCGCTGCTTGGGTCAATCCTTCCAAGCAGCCTCGCATCTGGGGCTATGCAAAGCAGTTTGGCATGGACAAGAACAACACGGTCCAACGGCTCACTGGAAAGGCTGTCATGAACGTCAAGCCTGGCGAGAGAATTGTGTACCCATTTGGTATCACCCCAGAGGTAAGTAGATCGATGCATGATTTATGCAGAAGTTTCCATCTACCCGTACCGCTGCTGACATTTTTTATGTACGTCGTAAAGTTCGCGCCCGAGGTCAAGAAGAATCTCGAGTACATCCGTGACCATGTTCAGGCAGAATCCCTTAAGCCCGGCCCTCCCAAAGTCGAGGACGACAACGTGTCTATGGACCAATATGTCCGCGCACTTGGCGCTCTGCCTGAGACCTGTAAAATGGTCAATGTATGGACGAAGGCCATGCACGGTGTCGAGTCTCATGAAGAGTCTGCAGCGTATTTCATCGACTACTGCCGCAAAAACACTGGCCTCTTATCTGTCCGAGGAGATGATGATCAGGGTGGCAATTATATGCGACTGCATGCAGGTACGATGGATAATGCACGATACAGCCTTCAAACACAAAGACGTAGCAGCTCCAGTTAACCATTCATGACTCGCGTAGGTACTCAGAGCATTGCCAAAGGCATTGCGCGACTGATTGGCGCTCACAACATCCTACTCAGCAATCCCGTCGCTTCAATAGAGAACCTCGACAGCCACGTAAATGTGTACACCACTACCGGGAAGACCCTTCGTGCACGTAAATGCATAATCTCTCTCCCCAGCACCATGTGGAAGGAGCTCACTTTCAACCCACCCCTACCTCAGGAGCTCAAGACAATCTCCGACAACACCAGGCTGGGCAATTACAACAAAGTCATAGTCGCTTGGGACAAACCCTGGTGGAGGGATCTTGGCTTCAACGGATTCTTTATGAGTTTCGAGGGAGGCCCCGTGGCGCTTGGCCGCGACACCAGCGTTGAGGAGAAAAACCTATACGCCTTCACCCTGTTCGTCCAGGGTGACGCAGGATATGACTGGTCGCAAAAGCCCGCCCACGAGAGACGAGCTATTATTCTTGACCAGCTTGCTTCCATCTTTGATGTAGGGTATGATTCCGAGCTCTACAAGCCCATTGAGATCTTCGAGATGGTCTGGAAAGGGGAGATTTTCAGCCGAGGGGCTTTGGTTCCCATCACCAAAATCGGTGACTTCACAAAGTACGCTTCAGTGTACGGTAAGCCCACCGGCAACTTGCACTTTGTTGGCACAGAGTTTGCTCCTGTCTGGAAGGGTTACCTAGAAGGAGCTTTGGCGTCAGGTGAAGTTGGCGCCAAGGAAGTTACGGAGGCTATCAGCAGCAGTCCTATCGCCAAACTGTAATTTAATGCATGATTTGAACTTATGATGACATACGAGGACGAGGGTGCGTCGGGGTAGGGACATTTAGTAGCTGTGATGGAAATTTGGGCTTATAGCAGCTTGGGTCTTATTCTTTTAAAGTATAGCATTTTGCATTTGAAACATGGATGGAAAGATAACATGCTAGTCATACTCATCTGACAAAAAATTAATGTTGAGACAGCAGCACTACACACATCGATCTGGTGGCCCTGTTTTCAAAAGTCACCATTGCGGTGCAATCTCTAGCTCATGAATCATATTCGCCCATAACTCGCCCTCCAAACTAGGGCGGGCAGCGGGGTCCAACTCCTGGAACCATCGACGAACAGCCTCGTAATCCCTTCGACTACGATCTCGAGACCACCACAGCCCCTTGAAGCGACACATTAATCCGCACCAGTACCCATACAGCCATGTGGCCTTCTCGTTCTGCTGATGGAGCAATTCCCGAAAGTGTGGGTGAGCTTTGGCCAAGAACGCGAAATGGTGGAACGAGTTGGTTGGCAAGGGTTCAACCTGCCGAAGGAAAGCCACTAATATCATAGGAGCTCCGAGAACTTCACTCATCGGCAGATGGGAGACCACGACTTTAGAACCCTCGATGTCATTCCCGGGGGCGCAGGTGTTGGGTAAAACGGCTGCAGTGCCCAAATCGAAGAAACTGATCCAAACCTCCGGGACGCCTTGCAACCCTTGAGACATAGCCACATGACGGCTTTCATTTGCCCCTAAGAAGATGGGTCCAAGGAGTTCCATAGCTCCCTGGAGGCGGTGTCCCCCGGATTTAAGGAGTGGTCTGAGACCAGATTGCAGAGCTAGCCAGCCCAGTGCCTCAGTTGAAATGTTTACCCAACAATCCTCTGATGGGCTTCTACCGGTAGTAGAAGGAGCCTTTGGGGGCAATGGAAAACAGAGAATGTTCAGCAGCATTCCACCTAAGACCAGCTCGTTGAATTCTGCTTCGCTCATTCTTGAAACGGGCACAGTAAGTCTGCTGAGATACTCCTGCACTGCCAACGACTCGTAGAAATGTTCGGCGATCTGGTGACGCAGGTTGTCTCCAGCAAGGTGTCGAAGATGGCATGCTGTGATACCGATAACGACATTGCGAATCAGATGGCTGGATTGAAACATGAATTTGAAAACATCAGTGAACTCGACGTGCAGGATATCTCCCCAGCGACTGTCGCAATACTGCATGAGTTCCAACATCGGAGTGCCATTCTTGGCGTTCAACATAGGAAATGGAGAAGGAGTATTCAAGGTAAAAAGAGACAGAGAGAGGCCGCTAGCAGGAATCCCAATTCCTGCTCTGGATCTCGCGATCAGTTGGTTTGACGGGGCAGTTTCGCCTTCGCTGTAGTGGCACTGCCGTCCATTTCTCACGCACCGGGCACAAACCGGTCTCTTCTCATCGCACTTGACAGAAATCAGTCCCATAAACCGCGGAACAAATCGGTGGCGGGATGGCCAACCTTTACTTTCTTGGACTTGCAGGTGGAGCAGCCAGACTTGGTTTTGGGGAATACTTTGCGCTTCCGATAACCAGGAATGCGGGCATCCCAGTCAGTCGCGAGCACGACATGAAATTGATCCCCCATACTTGTTGTTGGTCGTAAGCTTGCAAAACCAAGCGTAGCTCAAAGAAGTAACCGAGCATGGAGAAGTTCGGCGTCTTTATGCTTTCGTTACGTCCGTCATCTCCGTGACCTTGATGACGGGTGACGGTTGCAAGGGTGAGTGGAAACACAGCTCGGTTACTTATTTCAGATTAGCCTCTCTCCAGCTCGGTTACTCTTCTTGGCCTAGCCTCAATGATGGGCGAAGGCGTTAGGTATATCTACAGAAGAATGCGAATATAAAAGGGGATGTGAATCCTTTTGCAGCTGAATCTTTTCTTCAGACACGCTTCAGTAGCAACCTTGTGTATCTATACCTTCTTTCTTACTCTTAAATATGCCCAGCTCGTGCAAAAACACCACGAAACAAGATGCCAAACCGCTCAAGGCATCGAAGGACATGGAGCCCTGGGAGAAATTCTGGGGCCCAGTCTTCTATCAGAATCAGTTTAAAACTACCCTCGAGGTGCCCTCCAAAAGTTCATGGCCTGATGTAACTGGCAAGTGCGCTATAGTCACAGGTTCAAACTCAGGACTAGGCTTGGAGTCTTCAAAGCAGCTCCTCTCCCTCGGATTGTCACATCTAGTGATGGCTGTACGGTCGCTCGAACGGGGCCGAGCTGCCGCCGCCAACCTTGTTGAGCAGAATCCCTCCGCCAAAATCGATGTTTGGCAGCTCGACATGGAGTCATACGATTCCATCCAGGCCTTTGTTCGGAAATGCCAACAGGAGCTCTCGCGCATCGACTTTGTGATTCTGAACGCCGGAGCTTCACCTGTCCGCTTCGCCAAAGTCCCCGCCACGGGCCATGAGAGAACCATCCAGCTTAACCACATCAGTACCGCGCTTTTGGCTGTCCTTCTTCTTCCAGTCTTGAAGAGCAAGACCGCAGGTCCTGGCCCACCTGTTCTGACCGCCGTTAGCTCAGTCATGGCTCACTTGACGAGTTTCACAAACAGGGACCAGCGGCCGTTGCTGCCATCCTTTGACGACACATCCATCACACCTTTTAGTCCCCCGGACAGGTACGGTGTATCGAAGCTACTTTGCCAGCTGTTCTTCGTGAGACTCGCTGAGAAGGTGGACCGTAACACTGTCACCATCAATCTCGTTGAGCCGGGCCTCATCAAGGGGACTGGCTTATCACGCGAAGCAACAGGACTAGCTGGGATCTTCTCCAACATCTTCCACGGAATTGCCGGTAGGCCTCTAGAACAAGGCGCCGCAACATATCTTGATGCAATACTTAGACATGGCAAGGAATCCCATGGCTCTTACATTATGAATTTCAAATTCGCGCCGTAAGTTCATCAGCATCTTCAAATTCAGAAGTCATTACATCATATGACTTACTTTCTGAACAGGCTAGCCAAATGGTATTACTTGGATGGAAAAGCTTTGACCGATGTTATCTGGACTGAAACACTTCAGGAGCTTTCTTCAGTCAATCTCAATGATATCATCGCCTCTCTTTAACCTCCCCTTCCACCCAAGCAAATCCCCAGATCCTGGTTTTATCATCGAAGAAGACATAATAGGCGAGGGTCCAGGGTTTGCGACAGAAAGTCCGGGGGGTTCCTCCGAGCAAATATTCGTCATCAGTCTGTTCAATCCACAATTTATCGTGGGTGCCCGCCATTTCACGATGCACCAGCCTCGGGTAATAGCACACATGCTCTTTTCTCTCTATCATGTCAAATCGAATTCAATGAATTAATAAATTATAATCAACAAAAAGAAATCAGCACGTCCAGTATGACAGCCCAAGAGGTCAACCTCAGAGTAGTGATTCCGAAACGCCTAGCCTCCTTGCACTTCAGTAATCCCGTCGAACTCACTCGGCCTAAACAGTAATAGCATAGGGGGGAGGATAGAGACGAGCGTATGGTTATCCCGGCAGACGATGCTGCCTCATCCAGGTTACCTTCCACGCTCAGCATTTAAATTAACAGTGGCTGCGTCGTCTAAATAATAAACCTGGCCCTGTCCATCGCGCATGATGAACATCAATGGATATAACGAATGAGACTCCCCGGCGTCGAGGTTCGCTTTATAGTCTTGGATTATGTGACAAACCCTGGCTTCCTTCTTGGGCCACTCATTCCATCTGCCTATCTCCATCGGTGTTTCAAGCCCATCCCAGGAAATATCGTGCTCGATTTCTATGACGCGCTTGCAAATCGAGCACATCTTATCTGTCTCCCAGAGTCCTTGCCTCGTGGAACCGTATTGCCTCAGCAATGAGTAGGCTTGAAGCCTAGTGGGAAGATGACGGCATTTAAGGATGACGGCAAGTATATTCGTGAGATATCCTGTCTCAAGCTGGAACACCGGCCGGTCTGGGGAGCCACCATTGCGCCGAATCATGGATGCACCGATCTCTTCCATGTGTGCAACTATGTGCCGGTAGGATGGGATAAACTGGTCAAATCGCATTTCGGAGGTCTCGAATGCCGTCATCAACCCGATTTGGCACAGGTCCAGAGTTACGAGACTGCCGAGGTACATTAATCTGTGATCGTAGGATTGTGAGCAATAAGTTCCCAACGGAACAACCTTGTCTCGAAATCTCTGGGTCACGCAATGAAGCTCGTGTTGTTTTGCGGTCAGGTCTGGGTGGACTGGTTGATGTCGCAGTCGTCCGTGGCGATACTCCGCTCCATCAGCTGCGAGTTGGAATATCTGAAGATACAGTTCGTCGGTTATCACTCTCGCATCCTCCAAGGTTGAAAAGTCCGCATCGACATGGATTGGTCGAGCTAATGCATCTACCTCATCGCGACGACCGAATTTCAAGAGCAGGATCGACTGTCTCTGATAGAGCGGCAGCAGTGTGTCTCGCACCCACGGACGGAGTCCTGGTGTTGCTCGTATGATGCGGAGCCCAGCTTCTAGGTGGCTCAGGGCCTTGCTCTCGCTCCCTTGCATCAGCTCGATGCATATAAACAGAAGGCATGCTAACAGGATCAGATGGGCGTCCGTGAGGTCTTTGAGCTCATGTATGGCTGCATTGTAGTGCCGAAGTGCTGTCATATTGTGCCGTAGTTGAGGCATCAGCCTACCATTACCTATGAAGTCTTCATACAACAAACTGATTGCGACAACGCTGCGCCGGATGGCTGGCTCATGAGTCCCAATCTGCATGATGGTGTGAGTCCAGAAAGAGGATGGGTATGGGCCGGAAAGCCACGGCGCGACGCCGAGCTGGAAGAAATGAAGAGCACGAGCCTCCTCGGTGTGACAGAAGCCCCGGCTAGGAGATGGCACAGTAGCTGTTGTTGATACTTTGTACATTTTCCAGTGGAATACAGGAGAGAAGCCGTCACATTTTCGTCCTGTGCTGGTGCAGCGCTCGCATTCAGGTCGAGCCTCATCACACTGGTACGCTCAGAGTTAGATGGTGCCTACATGAAAGTATTCCACTTGCGTACCTTGACTTTTCTTATCCTAGATATACGTCAGCACGATTGGTACCGTAATTCACCATAAATGCAAGCATACTTGCATGTGTGGCACCCCGTGCGAAGCCTCTTGATACCTCCTCGGGGCATGCTCCTTTCATGTGGAAGCCCTGGAGACAAGGTCCCAGGTACCTCGGTGCAGGTCAGCTAATAATTTGCTTCGGTGTAGACAAGCGGGAGGCAAGGAATCTATTCACGACTTGTGTGTCTCAAACATTGGGTCCTGCTCATGTAGCTCATGTTGCGTGACGGGGAAGGAAGAACGACTGCTTGTGGCCAGGGATTTGTAAACATTTGAAGTGGATCAGTAGGCTAAGCTCGAGAGAGAATGGCCAATTATTAATCATCAGTAATTGCCCAAGCCCTGCCATTAAAACATTCAGGGACGGCCAACTTCCTCAACCAGCCAATTCGCACTCGAAGTTTTATCACGGCTAGAAAGTAGCTTACTATTCTACTCATATCCCACATCATCTATGTACCAGCTTTTAGTAAAGAGATAGTGCCAAAAAAAAAAAGCCAGTTGTACACACTGAAGATGCAAGTCAAGTCGCTCGAGCGGTTAGGCACAGAGAAAATAGAGAAAGGTGTTCATTCCGCCTGAAATACCAAGAAAAAACTAGCTGCTTGGTCACAGTAGTGAGCCGATCGGAGTTACAAACAAGTAATTACGCTTTGCGGCCCAAGCTCATGCCTCCATCCATTATGACACTGGTTCCTGTTGTGAAGCTCGGCCTCGAACCGCTCAAGTAGAGAACTAAGGTCAATGGCGGCGTTCTTAGTAATTCCCAGGATAGCATGCTTTGATGTCGTGTACTGCACCATCCCTGGCACAGAGATGACAGCTGTAACTGAAGCAAGTAGGACGATGGATCCTCGGGTGGTGCCTCGCCCAGGCTTAGTTGCATCGACTGGTTTGGCCTCCTACGCCTTCATGGCGGCAGAGGCGGCACTTGCCACCAGGGAAGCACCGTTAACGTTGACTTCCTGAACCTTTTTGAAGTCGGCGAAGTTGGTTTCTGATATCGGGCCAAAGGTATCAGCCACCACCTTGAGAGAAACGATGATTGATCAGCACTCGTAGAACAACATGAGCTGGAGGAGGGGAGATTGCGGCGGTGGGCACGACTCACACCAGCTGAATTGACAACATAATCTATACGACCAAAGAGTTTCGATGTATATGCGATGGCTGCCTTGACGGCTTCTTCAGATGTGACATCGAGCTGGATTGCCTCGGCCTTGATATTGGGATGAGTGGCGACGGCTTTAATCACCTCGACTGTCGCCTGGGCCGTTTCGAGATTGATATCGGTGACGACCACGCCGCTGGAACCGTCCCTTGCAAAGGCTTCAGCACTTGCCCTGCCGATTCCGCTCCCTGTAATGGCTCAGTACTGGATTTAATTACGGAAACAAGGACTTGTTTACCTCCGCCGGTGATGAAGGCAAATCCAGGGACATCCATTACATGAAAACTGGTCGTTTATGTTTATTGGCTGGAATATGAACGCAGGACTGGACTAGTGAATGAAAGAGGAATGAATCAACCTGGTCCGACTGGAAATAAACACTTAGTAGCAACAAGGTAGAAAGAGTTAGAAAGGGGCAGAAAGAGGAACCAACAACAATAAGCACTAGGTAATCCATGTGTTATGGCCACAACCCTGATATTAATTACTGCAGTTGGCCCACCTAAACTTCAGGCTGCTTGTATTGTCACTGTTGCATGCGGCCTAAAATTACTCAAGGGTCACCTGTTGGTCCTTGGCAATCAAAATTCCTAGACCATGCCAAGTGGGAATAGGGATTATCCTATGTAGTGTTGACGTTGTCATCAACTCTCTTGTTGGTGATCTGGTGCACGCAAGCTGGCGTTGTGTCGGCGATTTTGCCCGTTTTGTCGAGATAGGGAAGAAAGAGCTGCTTGACACGGAGAAACTTGACATGTCGGTTATCGCTCGCAGCGTAACTTTCACGGCTTTTGATAATACAGAGATGCTGGTCCATCCTAATGATTACTACAGAAAAGCATACATCACGTTTGTTGGTCCCCGACTCACTCTCCACGTTGGCTGTTGCTAACGGACTCACCAAGTATGGTAAAGGAGATTCTCTCCATGTGCCAGTCAGGAAAGATCAAACCTTTGCCTATCACAGAATTTGATGTTAGCGAGATTTCACAGGCATACCGTTTCTTCTCGTCCAAAGACAGAGTAGGCAAAGTCTTCATCTCACTTGAAAAGCCTAACAGTATTATCAAGGTGAAGATTTCCCTGTTTCCGAGTCTTTTTTTCCTGATCTTATATGACAAGAGACCAGTCTTGATCTACCGGACGGGTTTTCGAGCTAGATTATGCCTCCCAGATACACCTCAAAATTTGCGTTGGACAAATCATACCTGCTCATTGGTGCGCTCGGCGGTTTGGGCCGAAGTCTAAGCAGCTGGATGAGATCCCAGGGTGCCCGCAACTTTGTCTTCATGGCGAGATCCAGCGCTTCCAAAAAGGAGGGTAAGGCTCAAGTTGACTATCTAAGACGCTTTGGAGCACGTGACGTCTCAAGCAGTTCGGATGTTGAAAAGGCTGTCGCTGAGTCCAATGCACTGGGTCCGATAGGAGGCGTCGTCCACGCCGCCATGGGTCTTAACGAGGATTTATTCGGTCGTATGAGCAATCAGGGCTAGCACGTGAGTGTCCAATCTAAATGTCGAGGGGCGTGGAACCTCCACAGTCCCCTTCAGAGCCAGGCTGCGTCCCCCTGATTTCTTCCTCCTCGCCTCTTTCATGTCTGGGACGGTTGGAGTTGCCACTGAGACCAACTACTGCGCTGCAAATGCGTTCTTGGATGCCTTTTCGTACTGGCGTCGTCGACAGGGTCTCCCTACCGTGTCCATCGGTCTTGTAATAGTGTCAGAAGTAGAAGCCTTGCTTTTGAGACGAGGTATCCAGCCTTTGAACGAAGGCGAGTTTCTTCGGGTTGTTGATCTTGGCATTGTTGTTGTTGTTGTTATTGTTTTACGCCGGTAGATCCCGAAGGCAAAGGGCGCCTATCTAGAACTATGCAGCTGCTAGCCAGCTAATATATACATATATTGATCTAGACAGGATTGGTGGTATTGATCTTGGCATTAGCAATGCTGGCAGAGATATAGGAAACTCCACTGTAATCAACTCCCATATGCTCACTGGTATGGAGACCTTCGGTGTTTAAGCTTCTCGAGAAGGGCTTTGAGATGACTCGCACCGTGATGGACGATGAGTGGTCGTCGATTCTGTCTGCAGCCTTGGACTTTGATCAAACTAGAAACACAGGCGACCCAAACAATACCTCTGGCGGTGCAAGTCTTGGCTGGATGAAGAGGTTTCCCGAGGTGGCTGCCAAGTGTCTCATGAAGGAGACGAACGTCTCATCACTCAAGGAGGCGCTCAACCTCGTGATTGGAAGGAAGTTCTCCAACTTTATTCTCATGTCCTATGAAAAGATCGACTATGCAAGGTCGTTTGCGCAGCTTGGAGTCGACAGTATGATGGCGTCTGATTTCCATGCCTGGTTCTGGAACGGTTTCGCTGCTGACATTCCATTCTTGAACATTTGAGCCTAGACAAGAACTTGGGGGCTGTAGTATCGTTTGCGGAGGCCACATTAGCAATGAAGTCGAAGGGAAAGTGTGGAGGGTTGCGGGATGGACAGAGTCTTCAGCAAGCCTCTGGAGAAGAAGGCGGAAAATACTCATATGACGACGCTTTCTACATGTTGTTTAGAAATATATCATGGCACTTACCCCGCTGAGGACGACTATTCAACTGTTCAATTATGAACCCGTGCACCTGGTGAAGGGCAATGCGGGATTCAGACCTGTTCCGGAAAAGTAAGAAAGTCCGAAAATATTAATTCCGGCTGACTGCTACATAACTCCGTACACATCCCTGACTAAGTTGAAGATATACGCTGGAGAAGATATATACGGCTTTCGGCTTTCATCAACTGAAATGCCGTGGGTTGGGGATTCGGACGACATCACAGCAAGCCTCACGGAGATAGCTATACTCAGTTACGTCGTAGCATCCTCAACTGGACATTGGTAGGTATAAGTAGGATTTTTTCGCGGATAGTAAAAGAGTAAAAGAAGATAGGTAAGATAAATAAACAAATCGAATAGTTACTGAACATTCTACCAATCTGGAATATTCAACATGGTCTTCCCCGACCACGTCCTTCTTGGCGCTGCGGCTATCATCCCCGCCGCAGATCCTATCATGGTTTCGTCCATCAGTCCTGTCGTTCTGCCCTATCCCGAGCGTGTGGTTGACATGGAACTCCGGGTAACTGCACCCCTAGACGGCGATGACCTTCCAGTTGTCATCCTATCTCATGGCCAGGGCAACAGCAACTGGCTCTCTTCCATCGCTGGCTATGAGCCCCTCTACAACTATTGGGCTGGCCAAGGCTTTGTCGTGATCCAACCAACACACCTAGGTTCGGCTACATATGGCCTCCAAGCGCCTCCAGGCCAGGAGTACTTTTGGGAGGCGCGCTGCCAAGACATTATATGGATTCTTGATCATCTGGATGAGATACAGGAGGCCGTACCTTCTGTCAAGGGACGGCTGGACACGGACAGCATTGCGATAGCCGGGCACTCGATGGGTGGTTGGACGGCCTCCATGATCCTCGGGGCCCAAAACACCAGCCCGCTAAGTAACGGCACTGTTTCCAAGTACCGCGATTCACGTATCAAGGCTGGCGTCGTCCTTGCCGGAACAGGCAATGGGGTGGAAGACTTGTCGGACCAAGGACGTCAGATGGTGCCAAACTACAATCCCGACTTTTCAACAATGGAGACTCCTGCTCTCGTGGTATACGGAGACAGCGACGTATCTCCTTACTTGACTGTCAGAGGTGCCGACTGGCACGGTGATGCATACTATCTTGCCCCGGGCCCCAAAGACCTCTTTATCGTCCGCGGCGGAAAGCACAGTCTCGGCGGTGTGGGTGGCTGGGATGCTCTGGAGACTGAGGATGAAAGCCCAGAGCGATTGGCCTCGGTGCAACGAGCAACCTCGGCATATCTCAGGACTGCCCTCTATGGAGACGACTCTTGGCAGAAGGCTCGTGCTGCGCTTCAAGGTAATTCGACCTTGGGCACAGTGGAGCAGAAGTTCTAACCGTAGTTCTTGGTTATACACCTTGGCTGGTGGGCGAGGATCAAACTAAGTACCCGGGCGATGCCAGTCTCCTGGGGCTGATCGTGGATCTTACCCCCTACCTGGACAAGAAGAGTAGATAACTTGGTGGGGATATAAGGCGCTCCAGTGAAAATATAGGCAAATAGTCTCAAGTACTCTTGCTTTCTTCATTCTTTGTAGTTGGGATCGCAATACCTTGCGACAGGGTATTGGAATTGAATACATATATACTGCAATAGAAATCTGATCAAAGTGCCCTTGAGGATGAAAATGTGTGCATATATTATAAGTATTAGGATGATATTAATGACTATGATTGTTACAGGCTTGTATAACCAACAAGCGACCGATGATTTTCTGATTATTCAATAGTAACAAAATTGTGCAACTCAGATTCTTGCCCCTGTGCCCTGCAGAACTCTCGCGTCTTGTCCCTCAGATCGTCCCCAAGGTTAGGGGTTCAATGTAGCCTCGCATCAGAGAAGATGGTAGCAGATCAGCACGTCGCCTAGGAAGGGTAGGGGCACCAATGCGGGTTGGCGAGGTGTCCAATAGAACCTTGACTGGTGCAATGGCCCCCATGATTTGAAGCCGAATTTGATGCTTGCGCCTGGATTGCCGGCCCTTGGAAGTAAATCCCCGCCCCCAGGTCGTTTCCGAGTGACCGTTGCGATGGCTGCCTTGGCGTCGATCAAAACCTTGTCCTTGGACTTTGCTCGTAGGGTTAAGGGGGAGGCTGATTCCCGTTCTTCTCCTCGGATTCATTCCATCGTTCGTAGACGGTGCGCCTAACGAACGAGACATGCAGTGGCGGATCGGCAGAGATCACCGGGGGCACTGCCAATCCGCTCAAAGGCTAATGTGAGGGAGCTGACGCCCGGCGGTGCTGTGATATTTTAATTGGGATCAGCTTAGTCTCAGCTGAGGCTTGTCGCGGTGTTCGTACGCAATCCATGTCGTTTGATTTCCGCCAGTGCCGGTGGTAGAGACTTTTGCTGTGCAAATGATCTCGAAGCCCGATCATTTCGGTGAATGTGGCGGTCAGGGGGAGAGAGAGCGTACTCGTTCAAGGCCATGACGAAGAATATTGTGTGTTCCCCTCGGTCGCCTATCAGCCTACCATCTCCCCGACGGCTGGCTGCTGCGCCCTGCTCATATCAGCCGAGTAGGTCCTCGTGAAACCAGAGATTCCGGCGTCGTGTAGCGATGTGCCGCTGGCAGAGTGGGAGTGCCCGCGACGGCCCCCAGCCGCCAGTTCAGCTCTGGCTTTCTCCTCTTCGTCGTTGACCTCGATGGCCGGCATGGCCCCGTAGTACTCGCTCCCCGAGAGATCGGTCGTAGAATACGCAAGGGCGTTTCCTCCTCCCGGCGCTCCATAAGAGAGCTCGCTCCATTGCGATGGCGACGGCTGCGGCAGCGACGCGAGATGCGTGTGCTGCAGCGAGTCGTATTTGTATGTTCGGTCCAGCTGGGACGGCGTGTAGGATTTCGTGTTGGTGGTGTGGTAGGACTCGACGGAGAGGGAGTTGTGGTTTATGCTGCTCGCACCCTTGGACGACTGGGCAGCACGGTTGGCTCCCGCAAACGGCTCGTAGGATGTCGAAGGCAAAGCGCCGGACCTGATGCCGTTCTGGTATCGTTTCCTCCAGAACCACCAGACGAGGCCGCAGATGAGCCCTCCGCCGACGAGGGTCGCTGCTACAGCGATGCCTGCGACGGCGACGTTGCTCAGGCCGCCCTCGTCCGCGCGTATTTGCAGGCGAGACTGTGCCATGCTCGTGTCGTCGCTCAGCTCGACAAGCTTCTCCTCGGGACAGTAGCCGTTGGCAGTATTGCAGGGATCGATGGCGCAGCAGCCGACGAAGCGAGTCGGTTTGTTGGTGCAGACGTAGAAGCTGCTCTGGCCGGGGCACGAACCGCCCAAGTTCGGGATCACGGTCATTGATTAGCAGCAATGAAGGTCGATTCGATGGGGCAGGCAGGCTGTGACGAGGGTTCGCCTTGTCGGCTTGGTGTTGTTTTGAATTCGTATCGTCGGTTTGGGCTCGCTCGCAGAAGTTTCTCGTGGGGATGGTCACAGCTCGACACGGGAGTGGGCACTTGGATGCTTAAATGGACCCGGCGATGCGGAAAAATTAAATCAATCTGAGCCAAGGGAAGGGAAGGGCTTGGCCTGAACGGATGTACCACATGATTTGATACGAACAATTTTCACCCGAGTGTACACCTGGACTGCGCCCCTCCTCACGCTGGTCCGTCTCCGGATCCAGGAACACAGGTACAAGTACGCGCCAGCCGCCCCCAAATACGACTTTTTATTAGCACCATCTTGGGAATGGCTGTATTATGAGCATTACGATATGAGATGGGCGGGGCTGACACATGGCCCTGGCCCAAGCTTTCACTCGAGGCAACGAAGGGAGGTTCACGGGGCCTGGATGCTTTGTCCAAATTCTGACGGGCTTGGCCTAAGGACAAAGCTAGAGACACAAAAGGCCTCTTGGGGGAAATCATTATGTACGAGGGAATTGTTGAGGGCAGCGCGTGTCTGCAAAGCCCTTGTTTACGCCCCTGCATCACCAAATTCCAAGGTCAGGGCACCGGTATCCGATCCATGTCTCACCCATTTGTCCCCGGCGCATGAAAGACGCCAGCATAGCAGACCAGGCTAGACTCTAGAGCCTCCAAACCGCCCAAACGACGGCTCTGTGGTCCGGCAGAGCGCAGCCAAGCGGTGTGCTGAAGCGAGGACAATCCTCGCCTCCAATCGCACACCGGAGGGCGACATCACCCCTGTTTCTCGGCCCCTGTCGGCATTGTCTCAAATCTTGCCAGTACATCTTAGCGGGTCCTTTCCTCCTTTCCCGTTCAGGTTCCATTTGTCACGGCCTCTGCCAATGAATCTGCTCATCTGCTCGCACTCTTCTCTCCTCCAGGGTGTCAGCCAGGGGTTCACACCACACAGGCTTTGAGAATCCTGTCCACCATCCGCGCTTGGGAGACAACACCTCCGGAACTTTGTTGGCGCGCTCATAAGCGCGCCTCGCCTGTAGACTGCCATCAGGATGCATGCGTAGCGGGCTGGGCACTCCTGAAGAGCCCCCAACGCTTCCTACCGTCTATCGCTACGTGATAAGAATGACCGGGTTGGGCCACAGGGCGGCAAAGCAGCGCAAGAGAGCCACCGACCAGCAGCAACTCAGCTTCCGCGGGCGCCTATATGGTCTAGAATGCACTGGAAATGGTGGTGTGTGCCTGGAAGGATTCGCAAATGCAACTACCAGCTACTAACGCGTAGCGCACAGCTTATTTCATGCAGGCTGGTGGGATCCCCAAGAGGCAGCCGCGAGAAGTGAGAACCTCTGTAGCCGATCTGCCCAGCGCGGACCAAGACCTTGGTAATAATTACATATGCGCTCTGGCCATGTGACATCGCCTACCCGAAGGAGAACTGCCTTGCGAGCGAACCATCCACACGTGCGATGGTTTCGGCATTGACATGGGAAGGGTTCTCCTTTTCCTTGCACTCTGGTTGACCTCTAAATCCCAGCGCGTAGCAGGTAGCATTCACGTGAATTCGACGATCAGCGGATCTTTGCCTGCCAGCCGAGCTTCGTGCAAAAGCCCGCCTCAGCTGAGATTGCCTGTAGAATTCTGATGGAACTGCCCACGAACTAAAACCACAAGCCAGAACAAGGTTTTAGCCGGTAGGGCTGACAAGAAGGAGAATCCTTTCTATCTACTAAAACAGCAGGTAGAATGGATCGATCACTGACCTGTGTCGCAAGATCGGTTCATCGGACAAGAACCCCGGCTCACCCTCCAGGATCTGATTGAAAATTATGCACGACTACCTACTACCCTACACCCGGCCAAGGTCTTGAGAGGTAATTTCCTTCTTTCTCAAGCTAATGAGGGCCTGTAAATACATGTGATACTCGTTCCAAGTGCGGGCGTTCGCATGTCGCTATATCTCGAGATGGATTGTTAGTTGTGATTCATCTCCAAGTTGAACCACCTACCCTGTACCCAACGCTGTAGCCACAGCATAGCTGATCGTACAATGGCATCTTTACTTCTTTTGCCGGAATTTTTATTTTCATCAGCGGAACAGAAGAATGTCTTCTAAATTATCGGACTTGAAGGCTGGTAACAGTTCGTGGTCGTGAGTTAAAAGGCTACCTGTGCTGGAATATGGAAAATGAACGGGACGCTACCGAACTCGTTTAAAAAACACCCGGAACACAAGAAATCTGAAGTATCAAAATAACCTCACGTATACTCACCGTAGTAGTTTTTCATATTCAGCCCTAGCAAAAACAGTAGAGTTTCCCAGTGTATGAGCCCTGGGGAATATATAAGTTGTTCTCGAAGACAGCCAGAGTGTGGATATCCTTGGTGTAGTCTCGAAGACCATGCCAATGCCAACTCATTCGACAAGTTCAAGCCACCTTCGACATCAAACAAGAGTTTATTCATGCTACCCACTAGCAAAATCAAACTAGATCCCAACAATTTTGCGGGGAGAATGGAGAAAGAATGGGAGCATTGCCAAACAGGGGTGGGCATTATTAGTTGAACCCCTTTCATGACCATCCGGAATCCCAAATCTACGCCAGCAAGCAGACAAACGGCTGAAAACACCAAATAACTCGAATTGACAATGAGATATGTCTTCTGACAGGGCTGCATCTTTCCATCAGTTTGTGAGTCAGGCCGTCATCTGTTGCGGCTTTTTCGATATAAACTCCGTCTAACTCCGGGCGTGGATTCGATAGGTTGTTAATCAAGATTTGCTTTTTTCTTTCTGCCATGGAAACAGAAATAATCAAGGCTTTCTGATCTCTTGGATTTGAATGTACCCATTCCTCTGATCAAGCAGTAAGATCACCTACAATAGGCTAGTCCATAATCCCACATATGCTCTCCAATATGGCGGCGATCAACCCCGAGGAACCCGAGTTCCCCCCTCTAGCGATTGATCCAAACATGTTCCATCGACTCCCGGAACTGCGGGCCCCGGATGACGACTGGACAGGCATTAGTAGCTCCGCGGAGCGAAAAAAGCTGCAGAACAGACTTAACCAGAGAGCTTGGCGTATGTCCCATGCCCGGCGTCCCATGGACTTGCATGCTGACTCACCCCACAGGCAGAAGAAAGAGGATGGAACGCATCCGAGAAAAGTCTATCCAGGCTCTTGCCAACGGGCAAGATGACTCTGGTGCCTCACAGCTGACTATAGAGAGCGATCTGGGGCCGCCGCTTGACGTTCTTCAGTTGTTCCGGGGTTATGACATGCTCCACAATGCCAGGAAGAAGAATGCTGCGATGAATCTAGTGAGACGGGTTTATGAGGAATACACCCTCAAACTTCCTCGCCCAGACAGTCTCCCCTTCTTGATTAGACTGAACCTGCTCAATGCCATGGCGAGTAATGCACGCCATATCGGGATATCGCCAGCAGGTTTGTGCTGTGAGGAGGTTATCTCGCCATTCAACCTCGCTGGCCCGCTCGAGCCATGTCATGCATTGTCCCTGGCCAACTCACCAGCTGCTCTGGCTCCAACTCCCACACAATATCGGGTGCTTCATCATCCTTGGATTGACCTAATACCGTTCCCGGCGCTCCGAGACAATCTCCTCGAGGCCTTGGATGCGGGTTTCATGGACGATGACGACTTGTGCTTCGATCTGGTAGACATGGGCGGTGTAGAGACGGACATAGTAACCCGGCCTGCAATGATTGTATGGGGGGCTGCCTGGGACCCTGAGGGTTGGGAAGTGAACGCGGCGTTTCTGCAGAAATGGGGATTTCTAGCGAGAGGATGCCCCGAGTTGATCGCGGCGACAAATGGATGGAGAGTCAAGAGGGGAGAAAAGCCCTTTATTATGAAAGCATGAAGCTTCTTTAATATCGAGTCGGGTGGGCAAAAGAACTTAACATATGATTATACGAGGAGTTGTTCTGTCTCTTTCTTTCTTTCTCTTTTTTTTTTTTTTTTTTTTAAAAGTAGGCAGTCTCAAATGAAACGCCGCAGTCTGTGATAAATCGTGTTTCTCTGTATATAAATTACTCTAGAGGTTATAGATGTGTAAAGCGCATCAGTCCTATTTTAAAGAGTCTTGGATGAGCTTAAGGAGATACGACTCTGTCCATGTCCAGATGAGTGTGCTGTCATTGTCTACGAAAGCTGCTCCAGTCCAGAAAGTATTCTTCTGGCCCTCCAGATCGTAGAGCTTACTGTAGAACCCCTCACGAATATCATCAGGAGAGACGTGGATGTGATAAGGTGCATGATTCCCAAAATACTGGAAGTCGGGCTCACCCTGACCGATAGTTCCTGCATTTGCCAAGTTGTTCAATTCGCCTTTGACCAAAGCCTTGATATCCTGTTCGGTCAAATCGGGATCCAAACCACCAAAATATGCAGATATTTTGTTAGTCGAGACATTGCCGGCAAGAAGAGGACCAATTGAATATGACCCGGGGAGTGTTAAAAGGTTATAGGGAGTATTCGTGCCAATATTGCCGAAACTCCTCTTGGTGTCGATTCCTTGGTGAGTGAAGACAGTAGACCCATACAAGAAACCCTTGAACTTGGAAAATAGTTCAGTTTCTGCTGACGTGAGGTCAAGCCCAATAGATGTCAGGCTATCAATTGTTGGCGGGATGGCAAGCACCAGTTTCTTTGCTTTGACAACCACGCGGCCCTTTGGTGTCTTGACCACAACTTCGACACCGTCCTGGGATCTGGTAACCTTCTTGATCCGAGATTGTAGAACGACGCTCTGCTTATCATTTAAGCGACTCTGGGCAGCCTGGTATAGATCGAGGTTGTTTCCTGACGCGGCATTGATGAACCCGGCCGCAGCGGCTTGTACAAGTAGGGGGCTGAACACCTTGAGACCGTAGATGGTAGGCCTCTCCAGCAGGTTACCGTTGCATCCGGCGATGGAATTGACTTGCTGAACTATGTCTCCGAGGTCATTGTCCTTGATGAAATCTGCGTAAGGTGCCAGGAGCTCCTCGGGAACCGGGTTGGGGACGTCATAGCCGAGAGAGAGATATGGGTATTTCTCAGTATAAATTCCGGCATACTTTTGAATAGCAGCTCCCAGCGCCTCGGGGGCGACGGGAGTGTACCCGTCCACGGGGCGACCAGTGGACAAATCGACAAAGACTTGCTCTGTGCCTCTGAAGCTGACGTTGGCAAGCGGCACTCCGAGGCCGCCGAAGTAGTCTCGCACGATCGAGGAGTTGTGGTAGACAACGACTCCGAGGTTGAATGGCTGGTTGGTGTCAGGGTCCGTGTAGGTGACTGTGTGGCCTCCTAGGTGGTCGTTCTTCTCGAGGACAACGACGGAATGGCCCTGGTCCATCAGCCGAACAGCCGCGTAGGTGCCGGATGAGCCGCCACCAATAACGACGACATCTCGCTCCAAAACGGTATCATTGTTGGAGCAGGGGGTAGCTGTAGCCACCCCAGTGATTAGGAACGGCAGAATTTGGGTTAAGAAGCGCATTGTGTCGACAGCTCCCTAGAGACATAGAGAGTTTGGTCTAAAGGAGAGAGAGGGAGATCGTCGCTATATATTATGTTTTTCCCTATTTGTATAGTGGTATCGTCATCTCTAAGTATGCTCTCAGCTTTGGCCCGCCAATACGCGTATCTATGTGCGGATGGATGATCACTGTAGGGGTTTGTTTCGAGACTAATACAGGCCAAACCATAAGCCCTAGGCTTGTTACATTCGACATGGCGGATTTCCCTTGCCGGCTTCCCATTCTAATTTCGCGGCGGCCGCCGCCCCAGACATATTAACGCTAAACGCAGTCGCTACTGCGACCCCGCCCTTTGTCGGTTTGCGTGGCGTTGTCTGGGTGGCTCTGATGCTGAGTGATGCGGGATATGATGTCAACCAACATGTAAGAAGAGGGGCCCGTGGGGATCTGAGATTTGGCCAGCGGAATACCACCTCTTTCACAAAGATAGTTTTCGTCTTGTCGGTTTGGAAGCAATCTTTGAATCACGCTTAAAAGCTCAGTCTTTCGTGCTTTTGTGGGGACATGCAAGCAACAGGGGACGTGGTTGACACGCAAATGAGTCCCAATATCGAGCTTTCGGCGAGTGCCAGATTCAATGGATTGTGTCCCAAAATAGATTTACTCTCCGGATCATCCGGTGTCATTCTTTCTTAACTGCCGTTCAAGGTGTCATCATTTTACTAGGGGCTAGACTACAACTTTCTTGGGGCCTCATTGGGGTCTCTGACCTCAACCAGAAGCTTTCCAGTATTAACACCCCTGAGCAGATCCCGGAGTCCAGCTTCGGCCGCTTTCAACCCGCCCTTTAGGATAGTTTCCTCCTTCTTCAACTTGCCCTCAGCCAGCCACTGGGCAAGTTCGGTTCGAGCTTGCGGGAACTGGTCCTTGTGGTCGAAGACAATGAATCCTTCCATCCGGATGCGCATCTTCATGAGCTGGCTCAAGTTCTGGATACCCTTGGGCACGCCGTTGTATTGGCTGATCATGCCGCATTCGATGAATCGAGCGCGCTCCTTGGCCCGGGTGAGGGCCAGGTCGAGGATCTCCCCCCCAACTATACGCAACGGATCAGTTCGGGACCTTGGTCAAACGAAGCGAATCAAACGGTCGCCTCCACTTCTCCGCGTGCGGGTTTTGCGAAAGGGAACTGCTTACCATTGTCAAAGTAGACATCAATGTAGTTCTTGGTGGCCTCGATGAATTTCTCCTTGAAATCCTCCGCCTTGTAGTTCAATGCAGCATCAAACCCGAGCTCCTCCGTCAGCCAGCGGCACTTGTCGTCCGTCCCTGCAATTCCCACAACCGTGGCGCCCCTGATCTTGGCAATCTGACCAGCAACGCTCCCCGTGGCTCCGGCAGCCCCCGACACGACCACGAGCTCGCCGGCCTGCGGCTTTCCGATGTTGTTCAGGCCGATCCAGGCGGTGATGCCCGTCAACCCCAGCGCCGAGAGCATGTCCTGGGGCTTCTTCACAGGTGGGTAGTTGGCTTGGGGCTCGAACTGGCCGTCCTTGAGGACCGCGTACTCGGTCCATCCTGTGAGGGCGACGACGAAGTCGCCCTCTGCGGCGAGCTTTGACTTGGTGACGAGGACGCGGGAGACGGTGATTCCGCTCATTCTTGCGCCAATGGCCACGGGCGGCACATAGGATCGGCGGTCTGGGTTTGAAAATTAGCATTGCAGTAATGGATTTCATCGTCATCGGCTATATGGAGCGGTGGCTGATGGCTTATGCATTGCTCTGTGTCCATGTGATGGACTTACCTATTAGCTGCGCGCGCAAGGAGGGATCTAGAGAGAGATATAAAACCTCGACCAGGATCTCCCCATCCTGCAGGTCGGCGGGTGACGGAATTGGGCTGGTCTGCTGTGAGAAGGTCTGCCCCGGGATGATCTCCCCCGTCGGGCGCTCAGCGAGGTGAATGGAAAGGTTCTCGGCCGCCATGGTGAGCTGTCAGTGGCTGGAGAGTGTTTTGCTTCGTATAAGTCGTGCAACTGGGGTTGGAAATGGGAGAACCAATCTGCGGCTCGTCTTTGACTCCTTGGGACAGGTGAGTGGTGGCACGACAGGACAACTTGGAGGTCGTGAAGCCCGGCAATTGCGTCTTTTATAAATCTAATAAAATCGAGTGGAGTGTCGGCGCCGGTACAGGACGAAATATTGAGTGCATGTGGGCTGGGCACTGGCGCGCGCGCTCGCTCGCCTCACATTCCTTAGGATCCCAGGAGTTTCAGCCGGGGCCTGCGGGCAGAAACGACGGACATTGTACGGAGCGTAACTGCTTTGAGAAAGTTTCGACCAAGAGCCGCCAACGTAGCCGAGAGGAGAAGGCAGTAAAGCGGAGGAGCAGGTGGGAGGATGCTTGGCCCGTGTTTGACTGATCTCAGGCATATCGCCGTGAAGTGGCGTTGACGGGCGCGGGCAGATGGCCAATTCTGGGCATGTACATACTACAATTTGAGTATGGCATAGGCAGCAGCAAAAACTCTTCCAGAAGTAACGGTTGGGACGGATTTTACGCGTATCAAACAGGGGTAGTTGGGTTAGCCCGGAGGGGCAGTTCATCATTCCCGGCACGTCAGAGACTTCAGACCCAATGCGACAAAACGGTAGGTAGGAAGAAGATGTGGAGAGCTCAGAGATCACGGCCCTGCTCCTTCTGGAAACCAGCCAACCAGCCTCTTGCTCTCCAGGCAGTATGTGCCGAGGCATAACAAAGCTGTAGCCCCTCGCGGAGCACGCCTCGCTGATCCCGAAGACGATGGGTTCGCTAGGCTATCTTGGGGACCTACGACCGTGCCGTTTCTTGGGTGACGCAGCTGCTAGCAGCGCTGTATCATGTCGTTCTGTTGCATCATGCGGAGGCGGGGACGGGCTCGGGCTCGGTGGGCAAATCCGGTAACAGGGCCGGTTGGGTGGCAGACCTCAGCAGCGCAGAATGACCCTCTGTGGGTGTTCTCGGATATAGGACTGCCCCGGGTTTTGTGTCTGAACGGGACATGTCCGCCTGGAGCTGCACCTCATCCATATTGGCCGCCAAGGAGCCCAACACCGCTGGAGCAACACATGATCATGTAGAGCGGTGGTGTGCAGTCGCCTGGGTTAGCGTTTGCTCAACACCGATAATGCGTATGCATGATACAACGTAGCGGTCGATGAGCCAAGGAATAGTGGGCTGATGATGCCTGTCTCAAGGCTCGGGCTCCGTGAGATCTGAATGGGCGGGCCGGGATTCGTTCAAGTCCGACAAGCTCGACCGCCCTCTTGTTCCAAATATATCCTTGCTCGATGAGCAGCTTCCCTTTTTGCTTACCAATCCTAGCAAAAGCAAAATCTCGGCTGTCGATTAAACCGCTGAGTTTGGAGAGGAAAATACTACCTAGAACACAGGAGGGTGTCGTGAGGTTGGGCAACTCGGAGATCGACTCTTGGCCCGGCATCAATTGTAATTGGCCGCAATAATAGTTACCGCAGAGCTTATTGGGCTTCTCTCGCCTAAATATACCGATTTTGGGTGGTGAGTCATTTTGGCATCCGAATTCTAGATTTGGCCTTTTTGGGGAAGATCAAGGTGTGATATATCGTGTCGCTCGGAGACTCAGTAAACGCCACACTGAAATGTCATCTTTCTATGAATTGATATTATCATATCCAAAATTGGCTGGAAGGATTTACTGTAGGAGAATTGAATCATGCATAAGTTTGAGAAAGTATGGCCTTGATGACCACCGAGACAGGTACGAAGTGCTTGTCAAGAGACAAACGGAGGTAGAGTTAGGTAGTGAAGACAATCAAGCACCTAAATGCATATAACTCTTGCTATATAGATACAAGTAAATACGAACATTAAAATGAATGATTTAACATACTGGTTCTTGTTCTTATTCAATGTTGGTTACAGGTAGTGCGCTCGGACGTCCGAAGACATGGGACGAATGCAAATCGGCCATAAACCACCAATTGGATGTGTCGGCACCGAGATAAAGTCTCACCTGCATGGTTATCACATCTAATTACGGACATGTAGCTCCATGTGTTAGGCAAACAGATCCTCTCGTTTCTGAGACTCATTTATTCACGTAGGCGAGTTATCTGATCGCAGAATATCGCTTTTCGCAAACGAAGTGAAAAACTAGCCTTGTTGATTTTTATGTACCGTGTTGGTAGCTTCTCACTCAGAACATCCGGGTAGGCCAAATATACTGCCAGGTTTCGTCCATTGACAAACTCCTGGTGCAGCTTCAAGCTCATCCATATCTTCGTAATGTATATTTGAGCAAGGGAATTCAACACTACAGGAAATCTCTCCAAGCTTTCCACTTGAAGTCAAAAGATTTCCCGTAAAGTTCCGGAAGACGACAATTGAAACCTCCATCTTGCTGGTCCCTTTTGGACCTCCTTGTCGACCATTCTCCTGTGTTATGAACGGGCCTCGAGAGACATCTTGAAGATGAAAGTTCTCAAACAAGAGATTGCGGACTTTGCCCCAACCGCCGCCACGAGGCACACCTCCGCTTTCATAATCGCCGTCGCCTTGATAAGCCAGCTCTCCTATCCATGTTTTGATGTAGACACTCCAACGCATATCCCAGCTATATCGTCTCATCTAGCGTTTATTAGGGTAGCCATGGTGTGATGAACGAGTTATAATAGCTCACCTTGGCATTCGTGATTGTCACATTTTCGACGCTGTTATCCTCCAAGTACTGCCCTAGGCTACCAATGGCCACACCATTGCCACCATCGCAAGTGATGTTGTTGATTCTGATGTCGTATGATCTAGGCTTAATCGCAATACAGTCGTCTCCACCACGGTAGAGAAAGTTGTTCAACGAAACGTTTCGAGCATCCATTGTGTCTAAGCGGTGCGTGAGCGAATGTGGCACGAACATGAGCTGAGCAATGTCTCACTGAATCCATCGGCGTTCTGAACCCAATTCTTCCCTACTGGGGCATTGTTGGAGAACGCGGTACAAGTGATGTTCTCAAAAGCTAGATTGGTTCCATTCATGATGTTCAGCGACCAGAACTGGGACTGCTGCACTTGGAAATTATGAATTTCCGAGTTGGTGATATTCCATAGAACGAATGGCTGTTGCAGAGTGCCATGTTAGCGTATGTATCGTGTTTGGAAAGTCAACGCATACCATGGGGCGTCCTTCAGTCGAGCTTCCCTTGTCTTCGTCGTACCACACGTCCCCATTGCCATCTATGCCACCCTCATGATAACCATTGAGACGGATCTTATTTCCAGATAAGATGAACCCTGCGCGGTGATTCTGGAACTCGATAAAAAATGAGTTGCTTCTCCAATATGTAGTATTGGGGGAAAACTAGTCTGGTTCAGTGCATCTCCTGTCATTGTATAGAGTAGGCTAACTGACAAGCCATGTTCCATGCCAACTGATATCCACGTCTTCAAGCCTTGCGTGCAGCTTCTCTTTAATCCAATACTTTTCGCCCTTTGGAAATATTATTGTGGACTTTCTGCTGCATTTGCTAAATGCCGTTAAGATGTTTGGAACGTCATTTTGCTCGTCACCATGCGCGGTGACGGTGCAGGTTCGACGACCCCGACTGGTAGACACATGGACACTGCCCTTACAGACAACAAGAGGAAGAAAGAGACAAAGTATGAAAATATAGCGAATCATTTTGTAAGCTTAGACTGCCGTGGTAGTCTAAGTAGCTTGTTCTAACGTAGGCCTTTTATAGAACTCAGACCTCGGGGGAATAAAGCAGCGAGGTTCATACTGATCTGCCAATATTTCGTAAAATCTTGACCTCGTAGAACATGAATCCACGATACAGTTGGTGAATCGTATAAATTTAGATTAGATTGATCGCCCACAATGTGTGCCAAAGAAGAAAGGCTGTGAATCATTCCACCATTAAGCTCTAAGAACGTAAACGTACAACAGAGGCAACGTAAATCCAGAAGCTTTTGTGGATATTACCAGGGACGCATTTTGGCAATATCGGGGAAATGCACCCCGAGGCGGCATATATGATAGAACGGTTCTGGAGTGTCGGGCTCGGTGGCTCGGTGCAAATTGAACAAAGCCGGAGGGGATGCTGCATCAGCTTGGCCATCTCCGCACATTGGTCACTGCATTTTCAAGATTGAAGGATACCATATTTGGCACTTCCATTTCCACAGGTTGCTATCGATGTTCCTACCAGCTGAAGGCCTCATCAATAAATACGACGCCGCGATTGGATTTGCCAGAACTAGCAAGTTCGGTCACCACTTTCCTGACATCATCGGACATACTGGGTGGGCCACAAACTACGACACCTAGATTCCCTTTTACATCCTCCCGGAGTAATTCAGCTTTGAGAATCTCGTCCAAGTGCATACGGGTGCCTATTGTCGTGTGAAGCTCCATCTTCGACCTGTATTGCTCGAGCTCCGGCTTGATGGAGCGCAAGATATCGTCATGCTTCACGCCCCAGAAAACCCTGGCAGAAATGCCACCAAACCTGCTCGCAATGGGAAGCACGGCAGTGATACCAACGCCCCCTGCGATGCCGACTAAGCTGGAGCATTCTCTTAAGTTCCGGGTGGAAGGAGTTGCATGGTAGGAAGACTCAACCAGCACTCGGATGGAAAGAGTTCCTTTCTGGGCGCGAACCCGGGAGAGAAGGGTTGCAGTTGTACCATTTTGGGCTCGTACCAGGAGGACTGCTTTGGCTTGAGCCCCGTTTGGAACAGAACTAGTTGTTTGATGCTCTTCTGAAGGACTCGAGCCACCGACATCGACAGCCGTGACTGTGTTTCTATTTCCCTTTTCACTATCAAGTTCCGTATCGAGATTTGTGCCGGATTCTTGTGGTTTCAATTCGGTGAAGCTGGAGAGAACGGAGAAGGGGTGATTCTCCCAGACACGCCAGCTCAGAGATGGGAAGTAGAGATAAACGTGCCCTTCCACAACCACGTCGTCAATTTCGATTCGAAGCAAATCACTGCTCTCGTCCACACTCGTGACGGTTGCTGTGCGGAACCCATTGGCGGCTATTCTTACTACCTGTAATGCCTTGTCCATGAACCATATGCCACCGGCAGCATAGATCCAAATCTCATAGCCCCAATTATAAGAATAGAGATACCAGATATGGAGAAATCCTGCTATCAAGATGAGTGCAGCCAGGATCTGGTGAATGGCGAGAAACAGCTCGTACATCTTCTGGCGCAGAGACAACAGAGACAGCGGGTACATGACGCATGTTGCCAGTGTTGCAATAATGCCCCAGTACCAGTACGGTAGCTTGCTCTCAGTCGCATGATCCTGCCAACCGACAAAGTAGTGAAGAAGAAGGACCGAATGCATCACAGTCTGGAAAATACAGACATATGCCACCCACCGATGGAGTAGGAGGTATGTGTTGTGGCTCCAGTCTGTGACCCAAAGGAGAATGTTGTTTCGACTGGAGAAAAGAAACAGAGCTATATATAAGCAAAATGCAAGGACTCCGGCACGATCGCCGACCACCTGCACTCGCTGCATATGGTGACTCACCATTCTGACATTCGGCTGCAGAGTTCTCAGAGGTAGGCACAGGAGGATAACATTAATGATAATGATGTATGCAATGAAAATGGACTGGCCTCGAGTCGGCATGTGCCCCAAATTCCTGTAAACAGGGACCCGGTGTTGGTGACCCCAAAGAGGCTTGTCAAGGATCGCGTGGATTCGACTAGTTAATTTGGCATAACCAGGAATGAATCGACCCAGCGAAAGAAGTATGGGCAAGCAAACGAGCGTGATTGAGATGACCAGACTGATTCGGAAAGGTTAGCAGGATTCCAAGTCCTTGAGGAAGCCATTCCCACCTGTTGACGCCATGATCAAATTCTCCCCACTGGAAGGATACTTGATAATTGAGAGTCGCAATGTATTCTTTTTCGGCAATACGACTCGTGACGTTCAGGGGCGCCTTTCCTGTGATGTAAGGAATATTTTCCTCGCCAACTTTCTTCACATCATCTTGCGCAAGCTCTAGAGCCTGCTGATATGACATGGCCGGCTCCATGTCCTTGCTCCAATCGCCAATCGATCCAGTGGCTAAATGTCCTTCCCACCATTTTTCAATGGTAGAGAGAGGGACATCATCACGCGAGCAATACTCGTTGATGCAGAGGGCGACAGTTCGTAGAAAGGCATCATCAATCAACCAGCATAAGGGGTCTTTAGCCGATGAGGTGTGATGGCTCTGATGGGTGCTGCTGCCGTCGTCCGTCTGGCAGAGGAGAGGGTTGTTGCGCACCATGTAGCGGCATGTGTGAGCACAGGTTGGCTTATAAAGCCATTTACCAGCTCCAAGTATTCCAATGCCATCCGCACTGACGACTGGCAAACAGGTTGCCAAGAGAATGAGACACCAGAGCCTCAGTGGTGCTCGTATGGCTTCGGGAGATCCCATCGCAGGACGTGTTAAAAGGGCACACTCAAGAGCTCGATTTGTCCAGAATCAAGTCTGAAGATGAGTCGAGGCCTAACAACTAATCGATGCATTATTAATGAGATCTTGGATGGTTGGTTGTGTTTAGTCTTATTTTTAAGCTTCTTTTGGAATTCATGTCGCATTCAAACGACGCTGATAAACTGCCTCATACTTGCTCAAACCCGCTATTTCTTGGCAACGATCCGGGATGGTCTGTTAGGGATATGCAAGGTATATCGAAAAGGACTTCGGCCCCCCGTTCTTTTTCAGGGTTAGAGTATCAGTAGCCAATAGCTGGACCAGTATTACAGACATGTAGGACTAGATCCTGTTGGTGGTGTCACATTTGTCACAGGAAGGGGCCATGTAATCGGTAGTCTGCCCAGATCAGGTTTATGCGCTGAAAGCTCCGGTCCAGATCAGGGTCCTCGGATGGAAACTCTTTGTTCAGCGGGATGCCATGTGGACCCGTTGTATGGCATCCTATGGGAAGCGATATATTGACAGTTCAGCCTTCTGCTAGTTAGAAGCTTTTTGACCCACACGCCTCTTTTAAGGAAGCGCAAAGCGGTTCTAATTTGGGGTTCTATGTTTTGGGTGAGCCGTTTTATTGAATCAAGAATGAAATTGTCCTGTCATTTGTAAAAGACGATAGATGTTTGACTTGAGTATATGACTATGCAATAGAGGGAAGTCGATGGGAGAGACAAAATTTGTGCAAAGTATTGGAGGTGAACGCCCCTTGGCGAAATTTTCTTGGTAATACTATCCAAAGTACTTAAGGAGAAAGGTCGCTTTAGTCGTACGTATATTCTTCGGGAGTAAGTCCAGGCTAAATGTGAAGAACGCATGTTTCCGGCGATGCTTCTGCACACAGGAGCCTCAATTGCCGGATCTCGGCCCTTAAAGCCATTTGGTGGTCGATCCGAAGTAGGAGACGCATGTTCCACCATTTCCATTCTCAAGGCTTGAAGCGTATATGATCTTGAGTAGCTGGCGCGTGCCGTCTTCCGGAGGTACTGGGCCTGCGAAACGCGGCGAATAGGCCTTCAGTTTCGCCCCAAATTCACCGAATCTGGCCGCTTCGCTTTCCGAAACTATATGGAGCTCGAAGTTAGCCGAAGCAATAGAACATATGCAACGTATAAAGACTTACATGAAGGCGCGACTCCCTCGAAAGTGTCAACGCTGCCAGCACAAATACCCATAACGAAAACGCCCTCGCTCTTGTATGTCGCGTTGTACTTTGCCACCAGCATGTTCAGCGCTGCTTTTGATACAGAGTCGGGTATGCCACCATCAATGCCTGACTGATTAACGAAGTCGCAACTGCCCATGCCACTTGTCAATGCAATGATGTTCTTAATGGAGCTGCGCTGGACCAAAGGCATGAAAACAGTGATGGTGTTGATTAGGCCAATGACATTGACCCGATATGACTTGGTAATTTCAGCCTCTAGGAAATCTAGATCATCTGAAAATTCGGCGAGGTTTCGGACAATTGCTTCTCTTGACTTATATGCCGCATTGAAGATAAGATAATCAACTGCTCCAACGATTTCTTCGATACTTGCACGAGCGGCCTGTTGACCTTCTGTTAGCATCTTCTAAACTTGAAAGTAAAATTCCACATTCATAACAGGCAGGACAGAATGGGGTGCTAATATGAACAGGCGCATACCTTAAGCTGATCAAGGTTTGTAACATCCCCTTTGAAAATGCGAACAGATGTAAGCCCGTCCTCATCAAGCCTCTTTTGCACAGCAACAACATCCCTCACAAGGCCAATCACGACATTATTTGGATCAGCTGCCAAGACTTTGAGAAAAGTATACTGTTTCGAATTAGAGGAGTGATTTTATGCCTAATTCAGGTGAGGGTAACATACACCAAGGCCCCTCGAGGCACCAACGACAACGTAAGATGGCATGTTGCGGAATGAGTTTAGTGATGGGCTTAGAACTGAGCCTGGGGCGAGGAATAATGAGTTCGGACTCGAGACAAGTCGAGGTTTTATATGTCTGATCTCTAGGATACAGGATCTGTGCCTTTGGCGGTTTCCGTGGAACCCCGTGGCTCAAATTTCACCAGAACTTCTTGATGAGCGGTGTTGGCCACTTGACCCATGCTATCTCTGCTTGACGCTATTCTGGTTCTAGATTAATTAAGATGATAGAGAGCTCGATTGGGATACTCAAAGATCTATATTCAGGCAAAGAATTCGTTCCGTCAACGCTGAGTTCCGGGATCCGAGCTGGCTGCAGTTTGCCCCGCAGATTTGAACAGCAATCTCACGTAACCTTCCCAATATTGCCTAGACCCAGGCCCTCGTCTCGGAGTTCTGTGCTAGTTTCCCGACAGCTTCTCGGGGTTGGAAACTCTCATCATTCCACCATCCCCCACCCAGGAAGCACGAATCTTTCTTCACCAATACAAATCTCGCGCAGTGCGTATCGCATTGAAGGATTACAACAATATGGAGCCACTGGGTCAGGTGTCCGGAGCCTCCTTTACGTGCCCTATTTGTCAGAAAGCGTTCAGTATTCGTAAGTATCTGACCGACAATCCCGATATCTCTAGACTTACGGGAGATTGCCATGCCTGATTAGAAATTCACTGGCGCCTGGTACTGCACTTGTAGCTTTTTGGGCATTCTTTGCGACCTGATCGCTGACATCACTAGGCTCCTCATTTGGACGGCATTCTAGACAATGTCTTGAACGGGAAATCTCACGTCCGAGACGGAAGTCATGCTTGCAGTGCTCTAAAAGAAAGCTCGGCTGTGACCGAAGCCATCCTACGTGTTCCAGATGCGCTTCTCAGGGCAGTGCCTGCGAATATGCTACATGTGATCGGACCTCGTCAACGGATAGAACACGGATCACGCCTCCGTCCTCAGACCTTGGCCGCGAGGATAGTGCTGCAACCACACTTGAGGCAGGAAATCCAGTTACTTCACATGCATTGTCGCAAGTTACAAAGCAATCTCCATGCACTGGTCAAGGTAACCAGCAACTGCGTGGGACTCAATCACGGTTCGACTCGCTACTCACTCACCTTTGTCGAATCTTTCGAACATATCCGCGAATGCTCGCAACTTGCGATAGACTGCCACCCTTTATCCACAGATCGCAGATAATGGCTTCGAATCTTCCGATGCCGCTTTCTAACTGCCTCGCGTTATGTCGAATGTGGGCAAATAACTCGCTAGTGGAGACTGGGGGTGACTTTCTGAAAGTTTCAATGAAGACAGAACTATCAAGACTACTAAATGAGGTACAGTCAAGCTATATCTTGAAGTTAGCTAGTTAAGATCTGATCAGGTTCAATAGTACCGGGAATATGATGGTGCTACTTTGGTTGCCGCCTTTCAGGCCGCCATCATCTACGCCATTGCACTGCTTTTTCCTGCACCACACCAGCCTCCATCCAGAATGTTTGACCTCTCAACCCTGGCAGCTCTGAAAGAGTTTGGGGAATACATACGACCCGGAACCGTCATGATGCCGGAGGAGGTCTCTCACACACGTCCACCATGGCAACAATGGCTGCAAGTTTCTTGCAAGCGAAGATCGTTGATTTATCTCTACTGCTTCGAGTGGATGAATGCAATGTTGAATAACTTCCAGAGTTTCCCCTGCACCAACGCGGAGTACATGCCGGCCCCAGCGGGCAAGGTGCTTTGGGAGATTACTGCGCAAGAGAAGTGGGAGGTCGCTTACGATCGATGGCTGGGAAGATGGGCTGGTCTGGACGTGTTCACTTTAGGCGATCTCGAAAATATGACGCCGGGGCCGACATTGGACCTTCGCTCAGAAATGTGGTTGGAAGAGGCTGATGAGCTGGGTATATTATTGATTACGTTGGGTCTGTGATGCTCCCTCATCTTTTATTCACGAAGCTAATATCAGTTACAGGCCATAAAAATTAAGGGCAAGTCAAAAGACAAAGCGGAGATAAGGAAACGTGACAAACGAGAAGCCGGGCTCTCACACCAATTACGCATTGGCCCACGATGAGCACATCTGGGTACAAACTTGGGCAATGATAATACCTTGTCATGTGAGATGACGTGGAAGACTTTCCCCGCCAGAAGAGAGCCAGGATTTGCAGGATAAATTGGAGGCTTAGATTAATTCATGTCTGACGGAAGGACGATGATCCTGAGCCCTCAGTAAGCAGTAACCAGAATGGGAAGCAATATGAGCCATTAGGCTAACCATGTGTGCATCTAACTTGAGAATAAGAACTTGTGAAACCGTAAAATGTTGATAAAACTGTAGACTTGTTGAAAAAAGCATAATTTCTATTGTAGAATAGTGCGAATGGGGTGAAGCGAGGGAAAAGATCTAACTACTCATAACTAGATAATGACTTCATCATGGTGTTCGGAGAACCCTTGACGTATTTGAACTCATGATTTGTAATCACCATTCTGGAAAATGAGTCATAAGAGCACGTCCCCTTATTGGTCTTGTCCCTTAAGGTTTTAACTTCTATTAACCCGGTCTCGCTTGCGAAGTTCAGGTATAGGCTGGGTGACGCTCAGAATAACCATTCGAATAGACCAAAAATGGAGACCGAAATGAGGATTTTGTCCACTTCCCTTGATCACCACCATGGCAAAGGTATAAACCTCCCTAGTATCACCTCACAGGTGAGACTGCCGCCAAACGTGGAAAGGAGAGAGACACAGAATGAAGGAAGTCAGCCGCCCTCTGAATCAGTGTCTGATCCCAGCCCAAGTGGCGGACGCTCGGGACTGTCAATTTCCAAGTTTCGTGCCATCACCGTTATCACGACCCTCACAGGCATCAACTTCCTCAACACTATGGGTTCGGGCATTCTCATAGCTGCCCTTCCCCGGATTGCAAGGGACCTTGACATTCCACAGCCGCTCATTCTCTGGCCTGCCGCTGTCTATGCCCTCGCGGCAGGATGCCTACTTTTGATCTTTGGATCCATCGCAGATGTTCTCGGTCCCAAACCGATGTGGTGCACGGGAAGCTTTCTTTTTATTGCATTTACCCTTGGGGTCGGCCTTTCCAGATCTGCTGCCCAGCTCATCCTCTTCCGCACGTTGTTGGGTGTTGCTATCTCCATGTGTCTCCCCACCGCTCTATCTCTAGTCACGAACACCTTCCCAAAGGGCAGCTGGAGGAATGCTGCTTTTGCCATCAATGGAATGGGACACCCGCTTGGCTATGCATTGGGGCTCGTTCTTGGTGGTATCTTTACCGACACAGTCGGTTGGCGCTGGGCATATTATATGATGGCAATTATCAACACCATCATCTCGGTTGCATCTATCTGGTCACTCCCGAACGTCAACGTGGCCACCGAGCGCTCAAAGAAGGACAGACTGATGTATGATATTGACTGGGTCGGAGCAATTATCATGAGCGCAGCCTTAGGAATGTTGCTGTATGTGTTGGCCATGACGTCTTCGTCGTACAAACGTCTCGATGAACCTGTCAACATTGCTCTTCTGGCCGTCTCTTTATCCCTATTGGTCGCATTTCCTTTTTGGATGGACTTTCAGGTGAAGAAGAACCGCCCGGCCTTGATCCCGAACAAAATGTGGCGAAACTGGGGATTCACCTCCATTTGTGTGGCAGTCTTCCTGTGCTGGGCATCTCTCAATGGAATTGAGTATTTCACCACACTATAGTAAGAAACACATGCTGAATATGAGAGCGTGTAAATTTGGCTAACAATTACTCAGTTTTCAAGAAGTGGAAAGCTTGCCCGCTCTACAAAGCTCACTCCGCTTCATCCCCCATGTCATTATGGGCGTGGCAGTGAATATTCTTACCGGCTACCTCATTTCCAGGGTCAATGTCCGGTGGCTGGCTGTGACATCTGCTCTTATCAGCATGATCGCAGCGCCTTTGATGGCAACAATTCCAGTTGGGCAGTCCTATTGGTATGCTCCATTCTGGGCTTTGTTTCTTTCGCCCATGAATCCAGATGGTCAGTGTGAAGCTCCAAATTCATTATGATGATCTCTTCAGTGTGAAGCCCCATGTGCTAATTCGACCGCTCCTTTAGTCTTGTTTACGGTGTCCAACCTCGTAATTTCCAATGCTTTCCCCCCAGAGGTTCAATCTCTAGCAGGAGGCGTCTTCAACGAAGTGTCCCAGTTTGGCAATTCGGTGGGTTTGGCTGTTGCAGCCGCTATTGCTGCATCCGTCACAGAACACTCGGGAATAGAAGATTCAGCGGCTAGTTTGATGAAGGGCTATCGCGCGGCGTTTTGGACAATTTTTGCGAGCTGCGGAACTGTGACCATTGTGCTCTGGTTTGGCCTAAAGCGGAGCGGCATTGTTGGCAAGAAGGACGATTAAGAAGTGTTCATCCCGATTTATATTGAGGGAACGGGAATAAATTTCCGGAAGACTAAAAGATTTCCCCATGTATCTAGCTTTTTTACTGCAATCTAAGAGTACAACTGGTCATAGAACTGGTATATAGTTGGCCTTCAAACTCTCACCAAGAAAGCACCCTGAAACATACGCCTCATGGTCTATCAACCGCCGTCCTCTATGAAGGGTCTTCTATAAACGCGAGGAAGAAAGAGAGTTGCACGAAATGTATCTCGCCCGGAAACATCTAAACGTTTTCTTTGTTCTCAACTTCGGTAGCGGTGACGCCCTTGGCCTCGGCAACCTTGTCGGCGAAGGAATTATCCATGCCTGTTCTCCAGGCGGGGAGGTTTTCATCAAATACGCGATCAATCTCCTCAAGAGACTTCTTCGAAGTTTCGGGATATGTGAAAAAGATGTGGAAGGTCATGGCAATACAGAAGGTGCCAAAGATCATATATGACCTCCATTGGATGTTTGTGAAGGAAGGGGGGACGAAGAATGCAAGCGCGAGGTTGAAACTGTGAACCGTGTTAGGAAAATGATTTCGCTTATCCGTTGAAGGATCGAGGATTAAAGGCTTACATCCAGTTACCGGCCGCGGATAGACCAACACCTTTGGCGCGGTATTTAAGAGGGAAGACCTCAGCGCAGTAAATCCAGGCACCGGGAGCCCAAGTAAGACCATAAACACCGACGAAGATGTATGCCATAGCAATGACGGACTTTGCCGGTGCACCAGAGATTGACCATCTAAGAATCGTGTTGCCTTCGATCCATTAGCATGGCTCTGATATAAGGGTGCCTCATCTACTTACCATCGACGCTATCAACCGCGTGACCATAGACGGCCATGACAGCACCTGTTACGAAATGAAGGATACCACAGATAATAGCTCCGGTGATGAGAATCCAACGGCGACTCAGACGATCAACAACGGGTAACATAACGCCAGTAGTGACAAGGAAGATGACGTATTGAATGATGGACGATGTAAGAGCAATATTACCATACTGCAATTATAATAATTAGCATTCTCGAACAAGTAAACATCATAGGTTTCCTGAACTTACCACGCCGGCCATGTTGAAAATGTAGACAAGATAGTAGAGCATGACATTGCCGCCAAGAAGCTGCTGCCAGACCTGGACACTGACACCGACCAGTGTTCGCTTCCAGATCCCGGGCGCAAAGAGGCCTAGGTAGCCGATGTCTTTCGACTCCGAGGCAACCCGGACTGCCTCTCGCACTTCCTCTAGCTCGGCAACCACAACGGCATTTTCTCTGTCGCCCTTGGCATGGAGATTGGCCAGAACTTCGTGGCACTCCTCCCAGCGGTCCTTGCTAGCAAGCCAACGTGGAGACTCTGGGAAGAACCAGAGGGCGACAAAGAGGATGGCACCAGGGATGGCCTGGACGCCCCATGCGATGCGGAAGGCGGAGGGGCCCTTGACATGAAGGGAGCAGCCGTAAGAGATGAGATACATGATTAGAATGCCTGTACATCAAGTTAGCGACAGAATCAATGAAATCTGACTTAGACTATGCTTACCCCATTCAATTGACCACTGTTGAATTCCCACAATCCTTCCTCTAATCGCTGATGGGGCCAGTTCAGCCAGGTACACCAGAACCTGAGAACTGGTGATGCCAATGGCTAGACCACCCACGATACGACCGGCAATGAGGTGGCCAATATTCTGGGACGAACATTGAAGGACAGCACCGACCACCCAAATAAGCGAAGCAATTTTCAGAGCACCCTTGCGGCCAAACTTGTCGGCAAACCAGCCGGCAGCAATGGCGCCGATGAAGGATCCAGCGGACATGGAGGCCGTGATGCCTCCCTGTGTGGTAGAATCGGGATGGTTGAAGTACTCGAGATACTGCTCTGAGCCAATCCAGGCGCTCATGGAACTGATTTCAAAGCCGAAGAGCATGCCGCCAATTGTGCCCAAGGCGGCAAGGACTGGACAGAATTCATGTGAGTGATTGAGCTTTACGTTCTTTTGAGTCCTTCCACTTACTGTAAATGTTCCAGATCATCATGTTGGGCAACCTGTGTCTCCCTATTCTTAGATGATGGGACGAGATGGGAAGGAAGTGTGTCTGCCTGAGAACCGATATTCAGAGTCTGAGACGCGATTCTCCACGTCCTTTATATATCTCTCCAAACCCCATGGCACAGCACTTGGGGTGCAAATCTCCATTCTCCTGCTTTGGAGAAACGAGGAGTGACCCGATGGATCCACAATACAATCACATATTTCCCTCTGTGACACCATCAGCGAGCTGTTTTAGGCAGAGTAGAGAGAGGAGTGGGGATTTGGGTATTCTGGCCCCGGTGGCGGCTATGTAAGCGCACGTATCAGAATTCGAGAAATGGTTGGAGACCAGGGGCTGCATCAGTGGTCGTAAAGCAATGATTCAGCGCAATGCCAAAAGAATGAGGAAGGATTCTAGATCGGCTGGATCGGGGAGACTTATACGTCTGAGATCGCAGCTAGCTGCCGGCTACATTCTTGCATGACCTTGACGTGAAACGACGGCTAATTATCAAATGCGTGGATGGCAGTCACAATAAGGTGCGGCATAGACGATCATTGGGCGGGTAAAGACTCAAGTCGTGTCTTGGCCTGCCGAGAATTCCATCCACGCCATGGTATCCATATGATGATATCACCAGTATTATGATAGCCTACAAACAACCATCGGTTACAACGGAAACTAGCAACCATACGACCCGTAATTTCTTCACGCCATGATCTGTTCCCGGGCCGAATAATGGATGGCCAAGCACTCCAATGATTCTTGTGAACGGGGCACTGAAACCGGGGCTCCAGATAGCCAAGCGGTGTCTGGCAGGGGAGCCACTGCAATGGGGGATATTCCCTGAGTCTTCGGGGCCCCAGGGGGAGACTACTGGAGCAGGCCCAATCCTCCAAGCCAAGCAGCGTATAGTTATCAGGCGATGGCGCTGGCGAAGTGAGAAGTCAAGGGCCCGCTAATAACAGGCCGCTCCACAGCCAAAACATCCACTTATTGAAACATGTAACGATCAAGGCCATCGAACTCATGAAATTACTCTCATTGGGGCGCTTATGATGAATTGGGTCTTTTGATGGGAACGATCGTCCTTGCGGCTGGCTTGAGAGAGTTTGGCTGGGCTGCGACGCCCGATGTCAGATTGGATGATGCACCAAAGGTAATAAATATGCTTTTGACTGCGTCATATGTCTTGGCAAGAGCGAGTTCCCTGTCATTATGCCTCATATACGACCATGACCACCGTTCATTGCGTGATTATGTGCCAAAAGCCATGTCCATGGCACAGCAGCGGAAGCGGAAGCGTAGAGCGTCCAAACTATAGGACTTTTCGATATCGTGTTGATGCATGGGAGCGTCGACAGCTCTCACGCGGCTGAATAGATATCTGGCAGGGATGTTTGATGCCTCTTAGATGGCTACTCGTTCGGCTGTGCTTCATGCGAGCGATAAGGCTTGCATTGGTGCTGCCCTCTAACAATGTAGCATTGCATTTCACCTCTGCCAGTCTATGCATTACTGACCCAAGCCGTATTCAACCTTTCATAGTCATATGGAGATAATGCTTGAGATTGATTTGCGACAACTGCGAATCAACTAATCTCATAAGCTCCCAGATATGTGCTGACGGGTGGCCTGTGGATTCTCGTATCAAGCAATAACGCAACTGTGATGGCATTCAATCCTAGGGAAGCATTCGCTCCCGTTTATGCAAATTGCTTATAATCTTGCCATAAGAATCAAGGTATCCCGCAATGAGAGAAGGCTTCGTAAACGAAAACACTACCGTCTGGTGTCTGTAGTTGAGGCTTTGCACGTTTCGTTGAGTGAGATCTTGCGGGATCCAAAAGTGACGTCATCTAAATTCTGCGGACAAAACGCCATTTCATCGTTCATAAATTTGAAATGCTTAAATCTCACTAGGTTGACACCTTCGCAGGTCGCTGCTTCGGCCATTTGAACGCCAGGCAATTGATTGAAAGACTGACGTTCTTTAAATCAATATAGTTGACTTTCTAGACTCTCTAGTAGTAAGAAAGGGTAACCAGAGCTGTTCTGCTCGATGTCCTACTGGACCGGCTGGCGGTCACTGCTGAACAGGCTGGAAACGGGATCTTGCAAAAAAAATAAAGGATGAATAACTATAGCTATTTACTAAGAATACTTTCTAATGCAATTTTTAATAGGTAATTTGCGAAGAGATCTACGGCCGTAACCGTATTTTGCGGGGTCACCTCCGCGGCCCTCAGCGGAGGTTGTTTCTTATGCATTCAACCTCCACTGCTAGTCCCCATCTCTCATCACTCTCCTCCAAGATAGAAGACGGTCATTCCGATCATGAAACGGAGAATCACCGGGCCTTCAATGAGTATGGCGCACCAAGGTAGAGACCCACCTTTGTCGTGCCGTCTCTGCCGCGAGAAAAAGCGGCGTTGTGACCGCAACCTCCCATGCTCAAACTGCTCGCAACGGGGGCTCGATTGTGAGTATGTTGGTCGCCAGTCATTTGTTCCCGAGCACTCTGGAGAGGCGAATCTGTCCGATTCGTACCGGGAAAGCATCGCAACTCATCACTCAGGCTCCACGCCATCAACTGTCCAATCGGGCGACCCCGGCAACCAGTGAGTTAGCCTGTCAAGCTTGTTTTGATTTGTATTTTACTCAGCGGAATTGCAGACACGTGAATGGGGTTCTAGAACGGCTAAGGAAGCTGGAACAAGCTGTATTTTCCAAGCCAACCACTCCAGTGTCTTCGAGCATTAGACCCAATGGGAATAGCTCTAGTAAGAACCCCGATGATACAACCATGGCTTGGTTTCGTACAATAACTAATGTAAGATTGGTAGAGTTCCTCCCGTTAAACTTTCATGACATGTACACATCGCATAACCCGGACAATGTTGTAGCAAAGCAGTGTTTCATTGCCCGCTACGTCAGTCAGCTGCCACCTGTCGAGCAAGCAAGAGAGCTCCTGGACCAATTCGCTTCCGTTCTCCATCCAAGCATTTCGATTCTACATATTCCTTCTGTATATTTGGTGGTGGAGAACACATACAGAACTCTGGTTGACGGACAAGAGCCAACTAGCACCAGTCTCCTATTGTTGTTCACCGTCCTTGCTGGGGCAGCACAGTTCTGGACACCAAGGCTTCTTGAGAGGCTGGATGCTACAAGAGAGAACGCAGAGGTTGCCTCTGAGACTTACATCAACATTGCCCTATCGATAGTCGAGAATGGCCACCGCCGTATAGAGCCGTCGGCTACCGCTCTGGCTTCAATTCTCACACTCGCACACATCGTGCTTGACTGGGACGACTCGTCTGTGGTCAGAGCTGTGGTACTCCGGAGTCATTGCCTCTCCATGGCTCGCGCGATGCAAGTTCACCGCCTGGACACTGCTACAAGCACGGAAGAGCGAAGGGTCAAGGGGGTCGATACGGTAGATGTAGAGGTTCAGCGCCGAGTGTGGTGGCACATGGTAGCCTCGGACTGGCATGTCTAGAATCCCTTTCCAGCTCTTATTTATTCTCTAACGCCCTTTCTTAGGCTGAGTTCTTTTTCAGGTCACCCGCAAGAGGGAGTCTACGCTTTCCACCCGACACACATGAATGTCCGTTATCCGTATAACTCCGACGATGACTTCATATTGCCTTCAGAAACAGCAATCGACTTTGCTTCATCGACACCCACGACCATGTCCTGCTTTCTACAGCGTATAAAGATGGCTGATATATGCCGCAAAATTACCGATGCAATCTCCCCAATTTCGAATGATTCAATTAAGCCCGACTATCAGGTAGTCCTCGGCTTTGACAGAGAACTGCAACAATTGGAGGAGCAGCTGCCCGGATTCTTCCAACTAAACCCCTCCAAGCAGCAAGTAGAACTCTGTAAGGAGCGCCCATACATTGCCTGGCAAAGACTCTCAGTTCATCTTAGTCTTCATGCTCGACTCTGCCGGTTGCATAGATACTACCATTTGGATGGCTTGTCTAACCCAGAGTACTCATACTCCCGCAATGCATGCGTCCGTTCCGCGCACAAGATAATAGAAATACGCCGCGCCATGGACGACCCTGCGCTTTCTTCAAGCTACAACCCCGAGCGCTTCTGGGTCATCATTCAGCACGTGTCACTGGCGGCATTCACGTTGGCAACAGATGTGTCGTTCGACCCTCTAGCACCAGATGCCAAGTCTCAAAAGGAAAGGGTCATGATGGCCTATAGAACATTGGAGCGGTCGAAGAAGAGCTTGAACGGTCTCATTTCGGGGATTCAGAGGAATATCAGAGCAATCATGGCGAGCTTTGAGAATAACTCTGGGTCAGCGGATGAGTCAACGGAAAAAGGGGTGTCCGCTTATTCTTCGAATCAGACACAGCCAACCAATGTTATATTGGATGGAGAGTCAAAGCAGGATCCCGACGACGCTTTGATGAGTGACGGGCGCTGGGAGGAGTCTCATGAGCTGTGGACAGAGTTCTTGTCCACAGTGCCTGATTTGAAGAAGTTTGAGTGGAACTCGCTCCTGGACGATGTAGATCTTGATCCAAGCCATCTATTCCAATAAGAAGCAACATATTACCGTTTTAAAATCTCAGTTATGCAATAAAGTTCTCAGTTATTGATAAACTTTGTCCGAGGATGCCGCGCTCGTCTAGGGAGAACGGCTTATAGGCTACTCCAAAGTCAGAAGCTCGGCAACCACGAGGCAGAAGTGAAAGGAAAGAAATCAAATGAGGGAAAAGCACCGATGGATGCTCCATTGAACAATGGGCCTTCTATCTGGCGACCCTTCGTAATTTTCAATAGACCGGGCCGTACCTAGGTAGCGCTCCTCAAACAACTAAGGTCGAAGTCTACGAATGCTTCTTTCATATATGTCTTAGTAACATGGCAACTAAGAAGGAGAAGACTCGCGCTATGTTCTATAATTTCGAGTTAGAGTAGTGCAGCCAATGGACTTTGATTTGACCGAAAATATAATAGTTGTATTTATCTAAGGAGCGACTAATGTTTAATGATATATTTCGGTGAAGTTCATGGTTTTAAAGGTTCCATTCTTGGTTGAAATGGTAAAGTCAGATAATCCAAGTTACTGACATGAGCAGAGAGATCCACCGCCAGATACACATAGGAAACAGACAGATGTTACATTTTCGAGTGCTAGTCGGCCTCAAGCTTCCAGTAGATATCTAAATCGAGTGTTTTGACCAACCTGATACTCTTTTGATAGTCAACCTATGTGAATAGGTTGGCCTGAGCAGTCTTGTAATCAACATTATCCAAGCCAGGCACAACAATCTTGGTTGAGTTCCAGCCAGCTTCAAAGATTTGCTGTGTGGCGTAGTCCGTAATCGATCCGGACAACGGCTGGCGCGGGTCCTCGAGGGTGACGCGCACTCTGGTGGTCAAAGCAAGCCAGTCATCTGGACTAGAAATGGCTGGCAGCTCGCTGACGCTGGGGGTCGTCCAGTTGACAACGGGAAGGGTGCTTACTGCAACGCTGTAAGCCGGATAGCCCTCAAACATCTTGCCAGCCAAGTCGACGTAGCCACGAGTGCCCGCCCAAAGTCGACGAAGCTCCGTTTCGTAACTCCTCAGGTGCTCGACGCTCCTGTCGGTAGTGTTAGGCACAGTGCCGTGTGGGGCGATGTAGATGCGGTCGGGGGTGAGTTCGGGGTTGGATTTGAGGAACATCTGGGCCAGGGTGTTGCTACTCATGACGACGCCAGCCGTCTCACGGCCCGCCTTTCCATTGATCAAAATCATAATCTTGGTCCAGTCAATGTCTTGATCCTTGAGTACATTGTGGGTTTGAGTAGCCCCATCAAGTGCCGAGAGAAAAAAGGTCGCCGTCATCACTTTGTTGATTGGAACCGCGGCGTTGAACTCTCCGCCTGTTGCGTTGAGGTAATTCTCTCGTACAAATTTGGCATTCAGCTTGGAAGGGTCGGCGAGCACAGCCTTGAGTAGGCGCGATGTGAGATCACAGGCATAGTTTATCATTTCGGCAATCTTGCTTTCACGACCCTGGAATGCTTCGATCTTGAGTGTGTCCTTCCACAGGGCCTCGGAGTTAACATTGCGTGCCGCTTGGGTCGCATTGAGTAGTTGCCTCGCTAGATCTCTCCACTCGTTTGATTCAGGCTGAGCCTCGTACACCTCGGCCAGAGAAGCTACAGCAGGACCGAGATGCGAAACAGCTGTCAGCTCAATGAAACCCGCGACCCCAAGTCGGTAGTCCAGAACGATGGGGTCGTCCCCATTACCGGGGTACAACACCATGGATTGGTCGGTAGCAACCAGCAAGGGATTGGTTGCCTGAGCATCGGTAGATATGTTCTTAAATTTGGCGCCAATACCGCTGGGCCCTCCGGTGTAAGCAGAGAACAGGCTCATAAACTCGGGAACCACATAGGCATCCTCCCTCTTGAAACGGCCATGGCTTCTTTGTGACAGCGAACGCTTGGCGTCACCGGCCTCCTCCGACTTTTGCGTGACAAACTGATATACGTGAGAGTCTTGACGGAATCTCAAATCTTCCGCCAGGCTCTCTGATGTGACAACAAACGTCTTGCCATCCTGCTTAAATGTTGAGACATCAGTTCCGCCAAACGTAGCAAAGTCACCAGCGACCTTCAACCCGTCTTGATCGACGCGGTAGATGATGGAGGTCATGGAGGTATCGGGGTTCTCCAAATCTCCTTGAAGAAACTTGACATGGAGTAGGTATGAAGTGTTGTTGTCCTCGATCAAAGCAAACTCCCGACCACCGATGCCTTCAATGGTTTGATAGTGTTCGAAAGATTCTCCTGTCCATTGGTAGACCACGCTGTCGGAACCAATAAGCGAAAATGCCAGTAGTGTGCGTCCATGGGCAGAGACTAATTCAAAAGCCCTTCCGCCCACACCATCGAGAGCTTGGAAAGGAACAAATTTATTTTCCTTCCACTCATAGATGCTCGAGAGGTTGTATTGGTCAGCGTAGGCGAGGAAGTCGCGATTTTCAAGGGGAAAATGGAGCTAGTTGTAACCCATCAAGGACGGAATAGTCTGGAATGGCTCAAAGTTGTCACCATTCCATTCAAAGATGGTAGAGTTGATCGTGATCGGCGCCTTGGGCTGCTCAGCGGTCTCACCCTGCCCTTGAGCCAGGGCGAGGAAATGACGGTCGGCGAGATTGAAACTGTGCCACTGCTTCCCGCCCCAAGTGGGAACACATTGGAATTCTTCCATCCTCTCGCCGTCCCACTCGAAGATGCACGAGTCCACATTATAGTCGAAGGTGGGATCAGCCCCAGAACGAATGCTCGCTGTAGCCAGAAAGGTCCGGTCACCGAGTTGGAAGAATTCAGCATCTTCGCCACCAGGCACATTGAGCTGTTGGTACTCTTGAAACTGGCTGGTTCCTGGATTTGTACGATAAATAACCAGAGGAGCACCACTGTCACCGCCATGCATACTGGGAGTTCCGCCAGGAATGTCGCGGGCAAGTTGAGGAATAGCGAGGAAGTAACTCGCTCGTAAGAGTATTATCCCAGCGGCTCTAGCCCCGCTGGTTAACAGGCTTTGGGTCAGTTCTAGAGAGGCTGATGTCGACATGTTGAGGCTCTCTTGGATCTTGTTGCTGTTATTTTTGTCTGGGCCGCATCTCCTCAAGAACACCCTCGGAGGTTATATATCTCTCTACCCAGGATACTATAAGCCATCGAGATGAGGCAGTGTTTACTCCTGTCTCCGTTCCTTCATAACGTTCAAGTCCGTTTCTGTCGTAACCAGGGGAAGCCGCGGTGCTACCGCGGGGCCGCCGCGGGACCACCGAATGTAAGACCGTTCCGCAGCATAAACTTAGACTGGGGATTGAAACGAGACTAAAATAAGCTTACGCAACATGCTTACTATCGTTCTATGATATCGTTGCGTTTTGATTGGCAAGACTCGTTGGGGAAGAAGTATACACGGAAATTAGAAGCCCCCGTTAGCCACCGAGCATGACGCGAAAACCTGATAATCCAACCTATAAGCGGAAGGTAAGAAGCAAATTGAGTTTCAATTTCCGGAGGGACTCTATAATGATGGTCTGTAAGTTGAGGAGGAATTAGGCACACCATTAGATTTAACTCGATGACGGATGTGACTCTACCTTATCCCATGGGCTTTCTAATCCTTATCTAGTTTCTAACCATTCTCTTAATACTCTTGTATATTATACTCATCCTAATACGTTTTATATCTTAGGAAATATTATGCATATTTATAGAGATTTATATTTATAGGGCTGTTACTATATGATTTCTATGGAGCCTCTATATTTCAACTGGCTAAGTTTGACTCCCCCAGCGATAGCTATTAGCTTTTTTTTTTTAGCGATATTGTGTAGCTGCGTCTCATTATAGAGCGAATTATTATCTTGCTAGCCCTCCTTCATTTAGGTGCTGGTGATAACGAGCTGGTATGTATTTAGGATAAGAAGGTAGCCTATATCACGGGCTTGTTCAAGTAATCTATAGGTGACTTAATAGATATTGGCTCTCATCTACGGCGCAAAAAGCATGGATCGGTTGTCCATTCAAGTAAACTGAGTTGACGCCTCAATTAGGTGGTTCTTCTATGTGTCTCTTTTAGCAGCCCAAATGATACCCCGGCGTAGATTCCCCAAAAACCACGAATCCTGATATGCCTGATCAAAGTGACCCAGAGCGGTATAATAGACTCTCCCAGCCCCAACAGTTTGGCACCACGATAGAGGAAACCCAGCGGACTCGGTTGTCAAGTCGTCTTTGTCCCGAGCAGAGAGTAGTACAGTTCGTCCCTCCGCAAGGCGTGGGTGAGACCTGAAGCTGTATAGTTCATCAAACCATAGAAATTGCTTCTCCGCTCCAGGCTTTAGGCTAATTGGGCATGTAGGGGCCAAATATGGCGCAGAGTCCATTCCAGGGAGAGATTTGTAGTCGTTGATGTAATGTTTGGGGTTCTCGACCTCAAGTGCTATCCATTGCGGTGGAGGATGGCCATTGAAAACTTCACCAAGGATCTTGGTGTATCTCACATCATTCTTCATGCCGGACGTGGCGGCGTGAATGCCGACAACACCACCACCATTCTCAACAAAATCTCTTAGAAAAATAGACTCGTCTTCAGTCAGATATTCGCCAGTATTATGACCAAGTGCAATCACATCGTAATCGGAAAGCGAAGATAGCTGACTAGAATCTTCAGTATGCTTCACGACGACTGGAAACGAGTCGAAAGCCGAGACCATAGTAGGTATGCAATCATGACGGTAGCCTCGACTCTTGGTGAGGAGTAACACTCTAACAGGGGATGGTGTATCGGAAGCCATTCTAGAAGAAGGTATCAAGGTTCATAGCTTGGACAATGTACAGAAGGTATTGGCTATTGCATAAATATAGACAGTAACTGTTGCATGTTGAGGAATAAACATCCTGCAAATGTCGTATTTTGATGACTCAACGACGTCATGACGCACACCGAATTTGAGATTATCCAATATACCCGGGCGAATTGAGATGGTCAAACTCTCTGTGCATACTATAACCCCTACAGCTTTGTACAGCCGCAAAGAATCCAACCATAGGTCAAGAATGTCATCCTATTAAAGCTGATATACGAGAGGATCAGATAGATGTTTCTTTTTAGATACCACAAAATAATAGCTCGTCATTAGTGGCTGATTCTACTTATCTCCAAATGCCAAACCGCTTTGATTCACACTTGATTTTTCCTTGCCTTAGTATTTATCGGTAGGTCACTATTAGATCCAGTATCCAAACACCCTATAGTAGTAAGTAGTAAGTAGTAAGTAAGAAAGCTATATAGTTATATAGTAGCTGCTGAAAAAAATTAAAATTCTAAATGTTAAAATTTAATAACTTAATATTATATCTAGTATTATAATAAATTAAACTTTAATTTTTTAATTAGATTATAAAACTTATATCGAGCTATTAAATATTAGTAGAATTTTCTAACTAATAATATTATAACTAAAGATTAAATAGATTTATAATTATAATACTCTTGACCTATGGTTATATTCTTTGCGGCTGTACAAAGCTGTATAGTGATATTTTGCCTATGGTTTTCGCTCCAGTTTATCTTCAACTAGCTGAGCAGAACAGAAAGCGCCTTGCATGGCGGGGAAGGAAGGAGTAGTCCTAGGGTTCCCGCGGCTCGATTACGGTAGGGCGTATTTACAAGAGTCCCAGCCCCAACACCTGACGTCTCCTCAACGTCTGCTTAGGAGGTGACAATTGGAAGAGGATCTTAGGCTGGAGAGACTCAGCTTGAGAAAAACAAATTGTCAAATATCAAGCATAATAAATATGACTTGTTTCTCAACGAAGTTCATGATCCACGATCTGGAGGTCCAAGCAGACTAATCGATCATAATAGCCATTCTATTACAGGAGCCATGGATCCTGCAGCAACTCCTTGGCTGTTGGGCGACGATTCGGATCCCAAGTCAGAGCCCTTCTAACAAATCGAAGAAACTTCACAGTATGTTCCAGCTTCGTCTCAGCGTTCTCCAGAGTCCTTTCTGACGGAATGGGCACGAAATTACCCCATTTCCCTGATTGCCACGTTGTATTCTTTTTGTATCGGCCAAGGCGAGGGAAAACATACAATTCTCGTCCCAATACTCAAGTGCTCTCTCCTTATGTCGTTCCAATAGCTCCACCGGTGGCGGTCCCAGCGCTGCAATAAATTCGGACAAGTTGTTGGCCGGTGCCTTGATCAACCTGCACTCTGCCCTGCATCATCCACAGGAACACATCGTCAACTCATTCCCGAGGGTGCGGGCCTCACCGAGACCTTGACCGTGATAGTATCATCATATGCTGCCATGATGGGTCTGTATAGTTGGTCCGCATCTCCCGCCGGTGTTCCAAAGCTGATCCTCTCCTAGCTGTCTAAGGGGAATAGAATCTTTTCAATCTTCAGGCATAGCGGCTCCACGCTTTCAAATGCTCCTGAGAATTCACCCATAATCCTCTCGACGCCGTTTACGGTCATGTGGCCCTCCTTCGCATCTGCGATGTACTTGAAGCTGCCGATTTCCCATCTCCGAAGAAGACTCTCCTTGGGTGGCGTCTCTTCGCCAGCAAACCCATTGCGCCATGACTGGCGTGCGCACATCCAGAGCAGGACGTAGAAAAAGGACTCCAGATCATGCCGGTAAGTGTGATCAGTTGTGCGTAGCACCTCCACTACCATGAACTGCATCGTGCCTCAGTCCTTTGCGAATAGATATTAGAGGTTTTGATAATGACGAGGCATTTAATGACGCAATATAAGGGAAAGTAGCTGTGGCCTAATTTGAATTGCTACACCTTGGTAAATAAGTAAGAGAGGAATAGTGAAGAAGGAGCGAGAAAGTGCTGAGTGCCTCCGGCAAGGCTGCCAGGGCTTTGCAATGCTCCTCAGACTAACTAAGTAGCTGAACCAACGGATGCACTCCTCTAATTGCTCTAATTCGTCTTATCTAACGCTTCATTTCCCTGCCCTTCCATCTCTTCAATCTCACCCCGCTTCTCGGACATGGTTGCGACGTACTGATCGCGACACTGAAGTTAGGAATGTATTAGTGCCATCGTGATCAAGTAGGATTAGAGTTTCGAATAAAACAAATTTACTTACAGCGTTCGCAAGACGTGTAACATTCAACCTAGCCTCCTTGGCTAGCTGATTGACCTCCTTGTTCTTTTGCATGCGTTCTTCCTTTGACATGTTGGGCGCATCTGGCAAGCTCAAGCGATCGGTCTGAGCGACACCCGGCATGATATAGCGTTTTGAAACCTCGACATACGTGGTAGTCATGGCGTTGGCGACGAAATAGCGGGCCTTGAGCTCAAGAGCCTCCATCTTCAGCTCCTGGATGCAGTCTATCGTCAGCACAGTTTCGTCTTCTCGGTGGTGGATGGAGCAGTGAATAGGAAGACACCAACCGCTAGCTTCCGCTCTCTGAACCGTTCCCGCCGCAAGCGCGCCGTCTCGTCTGTCTGGGCATTGGCGTAATCCCCCAGCGTCTTGGTAGTTCCGGCGGTCTGGGTGAAGTGATCGACGCGCATCTCGTCAATGAGCTGGATGTGCTGGTGCATGCTGGCGAAGAAGGTGATGAGCTGTTCAATATGCGCACAAAATTCCTGGAGCTTCTTGACGCATTCGCGTACGATTTGCTTGACTTGTGCCTGTGGAGGTGGGAGCACATACTGTCAGTTACACCAACCCAAGACGAGAATGGCCTTTCTTGAGGGAGAAAAGGAAGTCCTACCATGGTGGCCTCGGATGCTAGTAGTTTCTGGAACTCCTGCTGCATGATCTCGAGATCTTGGATCTCCTGCCGCTCCCTTTCTCGACGCTGGTTGGCTTTTTCCTCGACCTCCAGCAGGGCCCTTTGCGCTAATCGGAGCCGCTCATAGCGTAGCTGGGTACGAGACAACGCTGCATGCACATTACTTGTCATTAGCTTTTGCTTATTTTCCCCAGTGAATGTGGCCTTAGGGGTTTGGGAAAGGTTGTATGGGCATGGTATAAGTTTGTAGGGTGACTTACCATTCTTCCTTGAGTGCTCTCCTCGACGCTACAGGTGTATTAGCCTCGAACATTTATTTTCTCCTAGGAAAGGGCGTACTTACCTTCTCATTTTGGACTTGCTTCTTGGCCAACTCCAGTTGTTCACCGAGGATCTCGCTCAGCTTCTCCTCGGTCATCCTAACCTCGTTTCGCCAAGTCTTGGCCGACTCGGCGACCTCAACCTCGATTTTGGCATTGACGGACCTCTCCTTGGCAACCATGCGGGTCAGTTCCACAAGGACCTATTAATGATGTGCATGTACATGGTCAGTCAACCGCCAAAGCCCATCCGTATGTCCACCGGAGCCCGTTGTGTCATGCGAGGAGAGGAAAGGGGAACTCACATCCTCGACGGGCCGGATGGCGCCACGAACCCTTCGTACAATTGGCGTGTGCTCCGCCTGGACGCGAGATAGTTCGCCATGGATGCGGCCGGAGATATTTCGAACGCTGCTCTCGGCGCTTCCGCGCCGGCCTGCCAACTGCTCCCAGTCAGCGCCATTGAGCTCGTCCGGACCAAGCGTCAGCAGCTCGGCGAGCCGGTGCACTGGTGCGCACAGCCGATCTGCGAGGTTGTAACCCATATCACGCTGGTCTTCTTGGTCCTCTGACTGGCCTGAGGACTGTGCCTCTGCCTCTTGTCTCTTGGTCCAGTTGGCATTCACAGCAATTTTCATGAAACCAGAGAGAAAACCAGAACTGCCGAGCTCGACATTTGCACCGCTAAGATCAAGCTTTGATGGCTTCTTTGTTCTGCGTCCAAATGAAGGCAACACCCCTGCATTATCTTAATCAGTCGCCATTCGGAAAGGCAAGATCCGGCTGTAGACCGTTACGAGGACTTACTTTTGGGAATTCCCTTTTCCGCCTTGGTGAACTCGGCCTTGTGGTCAGCAATCTGACTGTTGTAGTATTCAGCCTGCTTCTGAATCTCGGTCACCGCCGTTGATTTCAAGCCCACCGCCATCTTCTTATCCTTCACTTGAGCGTCGAGGTCAGTCTGGTTCCGCTTGAGTGTTTCTGTATTGAGAAACTGGTCAGCTCCGTCTTGTTTAGTTCCAACATCTATGGGAGGCAAGTAGTTGGCCAGCGGAAGAGCGCACCATCTTCTTCAACGCAGGCCCGATATACGAGATTGGCAAAGTCTCTCCAGGCATCGAATCTCTCTTTGACGGCCGAGGTATCGGCAACACAAGCGTCTGACATGCGCTTGAGTACCTTTACCTGCTCAGGAAGGTCCAACTCAGCTAAGATGGGGTCTTCGACAGCTTCGATAATCTTGGCAATCTATTGCCTCGAAGCGAGGAATGGTTAGCACGAATGTTACAAGCCAAACCGAAGAGCGAAGGAATTCGAGTCTTGAGGCTTGACATACGGAGCCGTTTGGTTCGCAGAGTGCCTGGACCACCATGGAGAGTCTATTCATCCCGGACTCGGCATCTCGGAATGCTTTGCGACCCAAATCGGAACAGTGGACGAGATTCGTTCGGAGAGATTTGTATCTGTGGGCATAAGAATGGAGCCAGCAGGCAGAACTCTGTTTGGGAGTCTCTTACGGAAGCCCTACGTTGTCGGGGAAAACCAAAGATGCAGCCAGAGGCTCAGACGCGAGAACGAAGCACTGGCCGAGACGGCCGAGCGCAGCGGGCGCGCCGCTCAGCGCAACGCCCCAGTCGTCCTGTAGCAGAGTCAAGGCCGCCGAGCTGACGATGAGATCTGAATAGGCTGGTGTTCGGATGAGGCGGATGACACTGTCCAGGGCAATATCTTCATCACCTGCATCCCCGGCATCGTCATTCAAGTTCAAGTCGCCGAGTCGGTCGAGGACTGGCTCCGAGTCAGGAGACTCCTCTGGTATTTGGGCGGATGCGTTCATTGTCCCAGCAGATTTTAGGAGAGAGGGGAGAATTCAATACTGCTGCAGCCTTGTCTGACGAGCAGAATTTATCAAGAGTGCTTAGAAGAGCCGAAGCCTTGCTGTACTGACTAAAGGCAAATTTGGGAACGTGCCGATATATGTGCCCAGAGGAGGGCAATGTCGATACCAGGTGGCTTAGAACATATTATGTCAGACCCAAATTTTCAGGTGTGGCAGATACCTGGCATTGCTCACATGTACACTTGATATGCTGTCCTACCACTTCCATTCAGCCCCCGCCACCTACACAGCCTCGACAGCCTGGACACCACGTCTCCTGTAGGTACAACGATGAGCCCAAACCGATAGCGACTGTACCTAGGCTAGGTAATCACCGACGGAGTTTTCGCCTAATGGGACGGCCCCGAGGTGAGCTGGCGAAGATGTCGTCACACACAGCCACCACATCGAATACGAACTAACACAAAGTATTGGGTGGATGACGATGATTATGTTCTTGGCATGCCGCGAGGTGTGGAAGGACAACGACCCGACCCAGCCCCTTTGGGTTTTGTTCAGCCGCACGAGAGCGCAGCCGCCCAGAGCTGTGCCCGCGAAAGGGGGCAGTGATATTGGGGGCGAGGCTCTCGCAATTAACAGATGAGATGATGCCCCCGGCGCGGGTGTTACTACATCAATGATATGCGGTAGCCATCGCACCCGTCACCAATGCTACAAAGGATTCGCAATGGCCGAACACCAGTCCAAAAGTGGCCAACATGGTTACACGCATGAATTTGAGCAGATCGAGAATGTGCTTATTGACATCAAAGCCCGCATTTATGCCTTTGAAGTCAAGTCCAGAGCCAGCATCCAAGACGACCGCAGTACCATGCTCTCGGAGTTACAGCGCAGCGTCAATTCAGTCGAGGGAACCATTCACTACTTGAATTCCAACTACAGCCATCTCACAAGCTCGCTTGAGTCTGGAGCACTCACTCTCTCAGTCAGGACGACGACATCCCAGGCCCTCGTGAGCAAGCACCTAAACGACATGGACGTCGCTTTCACCAGTCTCCACACCGCCGCCAGCACCGGCCTCGAGCGCGTCGAACATATAAAGAAGACATGTGACGAGTTGGAGGGAGAGCTGGCTGGCCTTCGATCCAGACTTGCGTCTCTCAACAGTCGGAACGGGACGGCTTTAACCTCGGCCAGGCAAGCACTGGCGGCGAAGAAGACTGAAGCAGGAGAAGCTAGGACGGTACTCGACTCAACGCGAGCTGGGCTTCAGACTCTAGAAAGCAAGATGGAACACAGAAAACTTGGCAGGAATTTGCTACGAGGGGTGAGTGATAGCCTGATAGCTTCTTCCCGGCTGGATGTCCAAAGCCCATGATCCAGCTGACCTCAAACCCGTGGGTGTCAGGCCCGCATCGCGACTTGGACTGCGAGTGTTGTGTTTCCTCCTGCGGTCGCGACCGCAGGTGGCTTGGAATACATTGCGCAGTGAGTTCATACCACATCCACTCCCGTAACGGGGACTGCCTACCTCTCAGAGCCAACATTCAATCTCTAACACGGCGAACAGCAAGATGCGCCACAGGCTCAAAGAGCTGCAGGAGGAAATCGACAGCACCAACATACGGCTCTCTACTCTAACCTTGGAGGTATCGACCCTGGAGGGGCGCGTTGCATCACTTGAACAGATACTGGCCAACACTCGATCCCTGGGAGCCCGCGTCGATACTTTAGAAGCCGACTCGACCGGGGTCAAGACGCTTGTCGACGAGCAGCTTCGCGAATATCAGGCTCTCAAGGAGAGTACCGACGACTTCGCCGCTTGGACGCGCAGCGTTGCCGACGAGACGGCCTCGATGCGGCTGATTGGGTTGGACTCACGCACAGCACTACGCCGCACGACTGGGCAGGTTGTGGAAAGGCTCCTAGGGAGGGAGCACGGTGATGTAAGGGCCATTTGCGGAAAGCTTGAGCGGCTTGAGCTTGCGCCGTCATGATGCGAGTCCTTTCTACGATGAACACCCAGAGTGTGTTGGTCACCCAAAGGGTCGCAGCTGCTTGGTACAAGGCAGAGGAAAGAAGCCTTCCGGCAGGAGAAATTCATAGCCCAATGTGTGTTCCAAAGAAACCAATTCATGAATCATACTTCCGCTCCACACCAAGGACAGCGCTTGGGGGCGCCCAAAGCGTCGTAGACGTCGAGCATGTAAAATGTCGTTACCGTTGCTGCAGAGTCGTCCTTCTCCTTCTCCTCGAGATATATAATAAAATAACATAATAATTATAGAATTAGAATTAGATATATTAGATAAAGCTCTAGAGTAACTTTCTTTTTAATTAAATAATTATTAGTTAAAAATTAAGATATTTAATATATAATATTAATTAAGTAAGATTATATAAGGGTAGATTATATATAGAGTTCTAGTAATTTATTATAGATATTACAGGTAAATCAAAACAGACAAGCTATTTATACTCTACTCTTAAGTAATTAATTACGTAATATAATTATATAGCTAGTCCTTCTCTTTTTTATACTATTTAGTGTAAAGATCTTAGTAATCTCTAAATTCTATACTGCAGTTCGGTGGATCTTATCTGATTGATAACGAGTATTCTTCTAGGCGCTATACTGAAGTAAGTCGTCGGGGGCACGGTCTTTTGCTGGCTGAGATATTTGCAATTGCCGGCTTTTATCCAGGGGTGAGCGGTTTTCCACACATGTCAGCCATCTACGTCTTGCATCACTGTCTCCATCACCACGAATATTGATACGCTCCACCCCGCCGCTTGATATACAATGGACGAGCCATGGGTTGGGTATCAGCTACCCGCGAGAAAGGTCTCGTGGCTGAAACGTGATACTCTGCTCTTCAACATCAGTATTGGATGCAAAGCAGATGAGCTTCATTTCCTCTACGTATGTATTTCACCAACAGGTTGAACAACAGCTTGGCAATCGCCCCATATACTAAGAAGTCATACTCGCGATAGGAACGCCACCCTCAGTTTTCCACCTTCCCGACTTTCCCCCTCGGCTTAGGTGAGTAGCCCGCATGCTGTTCTTCTTGGCTAGGCCGCGAAAATGAGAAGTATCGTTGCTCACTTTCATTCCAGTATTCAAGCTCGACAATCAAGAAGTCACAGACTTCTATGCTGCACAGGGGGCCGTCAAGATACCCGGCGTCCCAGAGTTGGACCCGGTGCGACTGGTTGATGGAGACCGCACCATTGAGATGCTCAAACTCCTGCCCGTCACCTCTCAAGGTAGGCAGTTCGAATTTCGATCCAAAATCGTTGGTGTCTTCGACAAAGGTAAAGCAGGCACAGTGGTCCGGACTGAGCACCTGCTTGTGGATGCTGCTTCTGACGAGATCTACACTCGCAATGTGGGCAGCGAGTTTTATGTAGGGCAGGGTAACTGGGGAGGACCGAGAGGACCCCCTGCGCAAAGATATCCGCCCCCGGAAGGGAAAACAGCCGATTTGTCGTTCCAAGTCCACATCGATGCCCAGAGTTCACATTTGTACAGGTAGGATATCATCTCCATTGACGGAGCCTCAAGCCTCTCCAGCTAATTCTCTTGTCTAGACTTAATGGAGATTACAATCCTCTGCATGCTACCCCAGAGCCAGGTAAACAGATGGGATACGGAGGACTCATTAACCACGGGGTCTTCGCCTACAACGTTATTGCACATGAATTCGTGCGGCGGCTAGGGAAATCCGATCCACTCAGCCTCCGACAACTATCCGCAAGGTTCTCGGGGCCTGTGAAACCAGGTGACGACATAGCTGTCGAGATCTGGAATACTGGGAGGAACTCAGAAGGGTGGGATCATATCAGATGGTCTGCAAAGGTGGTAGGGAGCGACCGTCCCTGTCTCTCAGATGGAACTGCGTTGGTGAAACCGCAGTACGAGACTGGTAAACTATGAGTGCTAGCAATGCCACCTATCCTGGCAAGAAGCATAGTCTAGCACTATTCAATCGAAGCACGCGATGGATATGGGATATTGACAGGCCCAGCATAACAATCCGCCAGTGCAGGCCAGCCAGCAACGCCGTAGCTCGCCAATGGAGATCCTTACGAGAAGTAGTCCGACGAGATTGCTCAGATTGCTCATGAATGATGTTAAACTAAAGTCTAGTACGGAGATACATTTGTGGTGCTGTAGTCTGGAACACTTAGCATAATATGTGACTGTCCCTCGAGCGGCCTAGAGAGTCTTCAGCACACCCTCAAGCTCCGCCTTATGATCCTTCAGATCCTTCGCCCTCATCTCCGTAAAGTCACTCGCGATGGCATTGGACTCTTGCAGCATTTTGTTACACAACTCCTCGAGCTTCTCGGTAAGCGGACTGAGCCCCGGCGCATTAACCGTCCGGGTAGCCGTCGTGAGGGCCGGCGCGACCTCGAACGCCTGGAACATGGAGATGGTGACGCCGCCGGCGCGGGTTGTGCCGAACGACTGGCAGTCAGGACAGTGTGTCATGAGCCACGTGTTCCAGTCGGTCAGGACGGGCTGCAACGTCTTGTAGGCGCCGTCGCAGGCGTCCATCTTGCGCTTGAACGCGTCCTTCTCACTGCCCACGAGCTTGTCCCAGATGGCGTGCCACGCCGCCATGCCCGCCTCCATTCCCAGCCCCAGCTCGGCTGCCTTCATGTCTGCCTCGGCGGCCTCGGCCGACAGCTCCCCGGCCATCTCCTTGCTGAATAGCTCGTTGGCCGGCTTCGCGCCCAGCGCTGCGCAGGCCGCCGCGCGATTCGGCCGCCGCCTGTTCCCACTCGGCCATCTTGAGGCCTTGGGTGCCCTGGACGACTTCCTCTATCTCCAAGGCCACGCGGGCCCCTCGCAGCAAGCTCGACCGCGATTCAAGTAGTCACCGCCGCGTAAGGAATCACAGCAGGTAGGACAGCCGTTGTCGAGGCTGCTGAAGCAACGGCAGTTGTTGAGGGCGCCGCAGGAGGAGCATCAGCCGCCGAGGGAGGAGGGGCGGCAGCAGCAGCTGGTGCCCAAGCGTCCGGAGCAGCGCAGCTCTCCCTCCTCAGGAAAGCAGCACAGGTAGCGCAATGGGCGACGCGTCAGATCGTCGAGTCGAGGCGTTCGACCTCGGTATGCAGGCGATGGAGAAGGCCATCGCGAAGCTGTACGAGGTGACCAAGTCGCCCAAGGCCAAGGCCATGGACGATATTGTCAAGAAGTTCAACATGGCTATCAGCTTGCTCGAGGGCGCTCTCAAGGACTGGGCGAACTGGATGGCGGCAAACTTTGACAACAGGGCGAGCTTTGGTACCACCCAGGTGCCCCATCTCATTCTCTCTCGCTTTGACGCGTTCAGGAACAGTATCGACACCTTGATTGATATTCGCCAGAAGCAGGTCTCATCAGCCACGGTGACGGCTTCCAAGGTGCCGACTCTGCCGTATTACCAGGCCCTTCAGCGCACTGCCCCGTCGTACAGCCACGGAGATGGACAAGCGTAGCGAGGGGCTCATTCAGGTAGGGCCTCCGTTGGCTGGTGGTGGTCTGAATGGTCACCTTGAGGATATCCAATCGGCCAAGAACACTTGAGCATAGCGCAGAGCAATAGACACTTCAATTTTTAGATTATCTACCAAATTCCCGCTCGTACTGGGACGCTGTGATCAAACTCAGGTCCCACGATCATTAGCATAGCATATGAGGTCCCAAGTTGAATTCGCGAGAGTCTCCTTTGTGAAGACATCCCCATATCTGAGCACCAATCCGGCTCTCCATGCTTTGGACTTCTCTACCTCCCGTCCGACGCGCACTTTCCCTCTGCAATAATCATGTGCACAATACCACGCTTGATAGGATTGCAATCCCTCGTCTTCATCACTGGATATGCCCCTAGCTAAATAAGTGTAGTTTCCATACGCCCCAATCCGCATGTCATGCAGGAGGCCTGTTGAAAGGGCCTCCGCGTATCCCCCATGTCCAATGAGCGTGCAATATAGAACAATTCTGCCTAATAAGCCCTCCTAGATGACAAAATTGTCAGGCGTCATGCGGGAGGCCAGCCATTCCCCCACAAAATGGCGAAAGATGACTGGAGCAGTCTTTGATGTTGTATCCAATAACAGAACTGATATGCTAGTCAAGTATACGTGTTGAGCAGCTTTCCAAGTAGCAATATTGCACAATCCTTTAGATTGGGCTCGAGATGATGACATCGTGGCAATTGCTAGACTCATACTTGTTCTCATCACATGCTTTATGCGCTGAACTTAAAAAGGGCCGTACTGACAGAATTTCAAAGCAAAATCATAAATACTTGATGACACCCTGTCTAAATCTGCGAATATTCAAAATCTCCAAAACTCAATGCATGGTTAAGCTTTTCCTAGTAAATTATTGACCTTGCGCCAGTCCAGCCACAAATCTCTCCCGATGTCTCCCACTCAGACAAGCTCTTCCAGACGCAAGGGCAAAAAGAGCCACTACGTCGTCGTGAAAGGGAGGGATATTGCCAAGCCAACAATATTAAACTCTTGGTAGGCCATTTAACCAGTTTCAACCACGTTTGATCACTATGCTGAACTTGAGAACTATAGGGAAGATGCCAAAATGCGGATAGAAAACTTTGCCGGAGGAGAGTGCAAGGGGTTCTTTTCTGAGGCCGAGGCGGAAGAGTACATTTACAATCTACGCCGCACCGCCATCGCCGAAGACGCCGGACAGATCGGGATCAAAGCCAAGGAGGAAAAGCCCGTTGAAGCCAGCGCAAGGGTATTTTACGCTGTTTATAAGGGCCGTCAAACTGGTGTTTTCACATCTTGGGCGTATGTCATACCTTTCATTAACGAGAGCCAAGACAGAGCCACTAATAGATTCAAAGCGAAGCGAGTGAACAAATCAACGGGTTTTCAGGGAATTGTCATAAAAAATTCAAGACAGAGGAGGACGCACGGCGATTCATCGATGGCGCGTGTGCATCGAAGGGTGGGGGGAGGATTCCAGACGTGTTCAGGAATATACCAGCAAAGAACGTCCCACGAAGGGATGAAGGTGGTGGCGACCAGAGAGATTTGTCCACGATATTCATTCAACTCAATCTTCAGTCCGTGTAGGTTGCAATTGATAGGTTCTATAACTGAATACTTTGAATCCCTCGCAGTTTGTTTCTCTTCTTTCTAAGGCGGGACGAGCAGAGCCCCCCCCTTGTAAAGAATTTAATAATAGATCAAGCTCGTAGGAAATATTTCCGTGCATGTGCGAAAACGTGTCAGGATTTGGTCACATTCGATAAGTAGATGTCTTACGCATCTAATAGCACACCGATAGCTGCAAGCGGAGAGTATGACAAAGAGGGATATGTTCTAGGCTCACCTCATACGATAAAGCTACTAAGCAGTGGCTCAGCTCACCGCTTATCCAAGTGCGATGCCTTCTGATTTAATTTTTACATCCTTTAATCTAAGGGGAGCACCCGGGAGCAAAAGACACATCATCAATCCATGTCGCTTAGATGTGTTGAAGTCCGGACGAGGCCTTCTTCAAGCCGCCAACTGGCTGGGTCTGTCACATTGACATATTGCATGCTCAGTAAATTCTTCATTCAATTCCAATAATCGTAATCTTGAATGAAGATTCTATGTATCCCAGTTAAGCCTAATACATTCGTGGACAACATGCTAAGTTCCTTCAGTACTCCAAAGCGAATGCAAGCCTTGTGGGTCATTGACTGAATACGACAAGTGTTTATGGTGAGGATGAACCCAATATTGAACACCTATCACGCTTAACGTATCGCTCGATGTCCAATTTGTCATGGAATAAAGTAATTACAGTGCGGGGGTCGTTTGTCAACCGCGGGGAGAAGTTTGGTAATGCGCCGTCGTCGTATAAAGCAACCGACTCGGCTACCATCTCACAATTTAGATAGAGGTGTGGAAAGAGATAGCCTTAATTTTAATCCTTACTCTAGGGCGACGTGATTTTCTCAATCACTCATACACAAGCCAAAGCAATGGATGACCTACCCTCCAACAATGTATCATCAGCCTCCCTCGAGGAGAGCTTGATCATGAACTACATGGCATCACAGCTGCCAAAAGTCGTTGTGTTCGGCCCAGGTTCAAACTGCACGCTCGAAATATGCCCCCTTGACTGGAGCGTCTACAAATACCAGCCCTCGCTCCCTGCCAACGCCACTTTTCTCGCCCTCTTCGGTCTGTCTATGGTCATGCATATTTATCTCGGTATCCGCTGGCGGAGCTGGTGGTTCATGGCTTTCATAATTTCGGGTTGCATGTTCGAGATGATTGGATATGGTGGTCGAATCATGCTCTATAAAAACCCCTTTTCTTTCCCCGGCTTCTTGATCCAAATCATCACCATCACTGGAGCTCCTGTCTTTTTTACTGCTGCTATCTATGTTACCCTGTCCAAAACGCAAGTATTCCTTTGTTCATCGATCAATCTTAAGCGGAGACTAATTGGAATTCCTTTGGATCATTTGTAGCATCGAACATTTTTCGGCAGCACTATCACGGATCAGACCCAAGCTGTTCTATTATTTCTTCATCCCTGCGGACATTATCTGCCTTGTTTTGCAAGCCGCCGGCGGTGCCGTATCGACCGTGAGCCGAGGCGTTAGCCAGAGGGGAATTGATATCGCCATGGTGGGGCTCATTCTTCAGGTCGCTATCCTCGTTGTATTTATTGCGCTTTTTGGTGATTACATGGCGCGATATCTTCGATCACAAGTCACGCAGAGGTTTACAGCGAGAGAGACCTCGTTCTTCATCTGCCTCGCCTTGGCAACCGTGTTGATCTTGGCTCGATGTGCGTATCGCTGCTATGAGCTGAAAGAAGGTTATACGCACTCTGAGCTGATCACTAACGAGAGCCTTTTCATTGTATTGGAGGGGGCGTAAGTCATACTTTATTCTTGAGCTCATTTGTAAACATTGCTAACCGTTATCAGTGTGGTTTATATCTCGTCGCTACTACTTTGCATTGGGCATCCTGGTCTGATCTTTCATGGGACAGGGTGTGAAAAGCTTGAGGACGATGATGTTTCAGGTGATCAGATTCCGCTGGAACAATTTGTTTACAAGGAACCAGAGGCGGAAATTGGAGTAGCAAAATGAAGGAGCAGCTGAGAGGACAGAGGGAGAATTGAGCTAGATGTTGGGTCCAACTAATCATTACTGCTATTGACAGAGCCAATTCCTAGACAGACAATAGCTCCGGACCCAAATAATTTGGAACACAAACTATGATGTCAGGAGCCCGAGATCTCAACACAATGAATACAATCCAAATAATTTACGTCGCATGGCAATGAGCCGTCGTCGCGTTGAGGGGAGTATAGGGTAGCAATGGTAGGCAGCTGAACAGATGTGGGGAGCTTTAGTCAGCAAGCCCTGATAAGATATGATTCGATAAGGCGGAGCGATAACGAAAATTCCTTGATGTCTCTCCTCATCGAGTTTTAGGCCTACGCACTCAACCACATCCGTTTGAGCACCTGCAATTAGGTAGTGGATAGGGAACATTTCGATAATCAAACCCAAAGAATAGATTGACGATGGCTACCGTTGTACCCCCGCCCTCGAAGAGGCAGCGAAGAGAAGCGCTTGAACGCACACAAGTTCAGCACCAGGATGACCCGAGCGCGCAGGTCCAGGGTTCTTTCAGAACCCGATTCATCGATGGCGATGGCCAGCAACTGGCTGATGTGGTGGAAGTCAACTTCGCAGACGCAACAGAGAAGAATATGTCACAGCTGTTGAACACACTCCTGCAGAACGACAAGGAGGATGCGGTGCCATACAGATTCAAAATTCTCATCTCCGAGTCGAACAAGGTCATCAATTCACTCCCAGCCAGCCCAGCAGAGCTTCCTGAACTCTTGAAGGCACACGGTTTAACGAGCCCTGCGGAGGCAATCCTGAGCTTTGTCGCAGAGCCACAAGCCGTTTTCAAAGTCAACGCTGTGTCGAGGTTGTCCCACCGAATTCCCGGCCATGGGCAGCCTATTCTTTGTGCCCAATTTTCTCCTGCCACAAGTGGTCTGCTGGCAACTGGAAGTGGTGATCAGACAGCCCGAATCTGGGATACCGTGACTGGCACACCGAAATTCACGTTGAAAGGACACACGGGCGCCGTTATTGTTGTATCTTGGAGCCCAGATGGAGAGTTGCTTGCCACGTGCAGCATGGGTAAGTAAAGATGCAGAACCGCACTACCGAGATGAATGACCTGATATACTAATCCATCATAGACCAAACTGCCAGACTTTGGAACCCTCGGACAGGAGAGTCAGTGAACAAGGTCCTCAAAGGCCACCTCAAGGATATCAGAGCCCTCGCGTGGCAGCCATATCATCTTTGGTCCGACAACACACCTTACCTTGCCACTGCTGGAAAAGACACTACGTGCAGACTTTGGAACGTAAACACGGGTCAGACAGAGCACATCCTCAGCGGCCACACAGCTGCCATCAGCTGTGTCAAATGGGGCGGTACAGGCGGTGAAAAGGGGACGATCATCACAGCCAGTCATGACAAAACTCTCCGCATTTGGGACCCTGTGAAGGGCGTGTTATTACATAACCTCAAGGGCCATGCCCACTGGGTGAACAGTCTGGCGCTTTCAACCGATTATGTGCTTCGGACAGGCTATTTCGAGCCTGGGACTCAGGTTCCTGCCACACCCGAGGAGAAGAAGCAGAAGGCAAAGGAACGCTTCGAGAAGGTTGCCAACGTGAAAGGTACTTTAGTTGAAACAATGGTTTCCGCTAGTGATGACTTCACCATGTATCTGTGGGATCCAGTCCAGTCCAAGGATAAGCCTATTACTCGCATGCTTGGGCATCAAAAGATGGTCAACCACGTGGCCTTCTCACCCGATGGACGACTTATTGCTAGTGTCAGTTGGGACAATCACACCAAACTATGGAATCCGAAGTAAGCAGAGCTCATTTCCTGCAATCAAGCATATCTCTGATTCAGAGCGCTAACACAATCTAGGGACGGTGCTTTTATCGCTACTCTGCGAGGCCACGTTGCACCCATTTATTTGTGTGCTTTCTCCGCTGACTCCCGCCTCCTTGTGACAGCGTCCAAAGACACGACACTCAAAGTCTGGAATTTAAGAACGTTCCAACTCGCAAGAGATTTGCCAGGGCATGAGGATGAAGTCTATGCTGTGGATTGGAGCGTCGATGGCCAACGGGTGGGAAGCGGTGGAAAGGACAAAGCCGTTCGACTTTGGGCCAACTAATACTATTGTGCTTTTGTTCAACAACTGGTATATAGATGAAGGAGAAAAGTTGGTACATTTACAGCTAGATTAGCGAATAGAGAGACATGACCTATTGCCACATAACGACTATTTTTGATATGCAGAGCATCAGAACCTTGGGGAAGTGGCGGGCAGAATATGTTCTATTCAAATGATGGTTGCGATTTTTATGCCAGATGAATATCTACTCATTCAACCAGCTGCAATACGAGGTATTGAGCAACCCATTCCAGGCCATAATGTCCCGGACGAAGCATCAGCTGTCCTGCCCCATTGTAGAGTACACCCTTCACAACTTAGTGGTCTATCTTTCCATTCCAAAGCCGTACCCTTACAAGAGGAGCTTCGTAGATGTGCATACTCCTCGGAAAATTCCCATTTCCCTGTGTCACCATTCTTGCGTATGTATCGAAATACGAGCGTCTCCCCTGCATCCTCTAAGAGGAACACCCTCCGATTGAGCCGCTGCCACTGCTCTTGAGGCGTCCCTTCATTAAAATTCTCCGCCTCAATCCTGCGATTTTTCTTTGCAATCTCAACGAGAGCCTGGCTGCTCCAGAGTCCATCCTGGCGAGGATATGTTTCCAAGATTCGGATTGCAGTCTCTCTGGCGATGGGGTCGCGGCAGTTAATAGCGACGAAAACTAAATGCCACGACAACCCGGTATGCATGGAAAACGTTGTTGAAAAGGGTTTTGCGTTGGCTACTCGCTTGTGAAGGAGAATCTCGCATAGTTCCAAGAGCTCTCGACACTCCGGAGTGATTGACAACACGTAATCATAGTCGCAGGCTGCGGAGAACATGCTGTATATCGACATGGTCAGGTATTCGATGCGAAGGTTGACCAGACATAGATATGAAGGAGATTCTCCTGGGGAATGGTTCAGAGTTTGTTGATAGAGGGGCCAAAATGCTCGGTGCCAAATCTGTAAATGAGTTTTCACTTTGTTCGTGAAAGCATGAAGCTCTGCTGAATTTCGAAGACGCTGGAGGTATTTTTCGACACTCATGCATTCTCTGGGATCTTGAAGTAGCAGATCATCGATGAGTTGTACGGCACTTGGATCCAGTATCTCAATTCGGCGGACAGTCGCATTCCAATATTCGGCTGCCGTGTCGGCATCACGGAACAGTTTTGGCTGCCAGGCTAACCCAGCTCGGGGGACCATATATGGACTTAATCCTGCGCAAAGCTGTTCCCTTTCGTCCATTTCTGAACTTGATTCTGTCTCAATGATACGGGAATGGAGATTCCGCTCCTGAATTGTCCCGCTCATCACAGTTTGTGCTTGCATAATGAAACGGTTATACAAGAGTATGACCTCATGAATAAGTTCACCAGGACTTGGCGCAAGCTGAGCCATCTTCGAAGAAGCTTCGGGGCCTAAGCAAAGCTCTCTTATGATTAACAGACCATGTGAGACATGCCTTAGCGCCGATTTTATGTCTTGACGAACCCCTTCGAAGCTGGTAAACAGTATCGAGAGGAGGATCGCTTCTTGTAAGCTCCTTGAACATTGATTCGAGCGGCTAACTGATCGCAACGCCCGACAATAATAAGTAATTGCATGCTGGTAATGAAGGCTGTCTGGCTTGGACTGAGTTAGCTGAGCATGGCTCATAGCTCCAATCGCGAGAGCGGCATCGCGGAGGGTTGTGTTTTGAGCCGTCAGCTGAGGCAGGAAAGTTGACCAAAGCTTGTTTGCACTATAGCCGTAGAGGAGGTCCCGAGAGAGGTACATCCATTCATCGAAATAAAGCTGCTGAAATTTATCCTCAAATTCTAGGCCAAGCCTCGGCTCCTTGAGGGGACGAGATCCATAGGGGCCATGGATTATCGGGAGATTAGGGTGCTTGTGTCTTCGCGCACGAACTTTACGAGGCTTTATCCAATAGCCACCGCATTCTCCGCTCAACGACAAACAGTTTCGGCATGCAGGCTTCGTTTCATCGCATTTAACATGCCGTTTTCTTGGTTATTAGCTATAGCATAAGAGGACAGCGGGGGTCTACTTACTTGCCTGAGAACAAAACAACGTTAGCAATCAGCACATCAAACTTTCTGTAAAAGAAAACTCACAAGTTACACAGCCTGTTCGGACTTTGGGTGCCCCGGCCCTCGATAGCTTCTGGAGGGCGCTAGCCTGTTTTCCTTGCAGTGTAGGGATTGAAGCCTGGGCCTGCTTCGGCTGTATCGGTCTTGGAGCCATACGCGAATGGGTAGAAAGAGAATGAACTTGGGTCATGTCTGATAATACACAGGCAGAAATCAGATATCTGGCTCCACCACAAGAGCGTTGAAGACGAAACTCGTCATCGGCATCGTGGCTTGGCCTCGCAATGATTACGGTGTAGAGGCGAAGAGGAGAAGTGGGGAAATTGATTACCAAGTGAAATAAGCCGAGAGCCCGAATATACGACAGTTGCATCTGGCCAATCACAATGCGGGTTTTAGGCGGAGTTGATGGAGAATAAAGCCGGTCAAAAGAGCTGACAGCTTACTGATCAGCGACTGTTCCACTCTGGGAAGCAGGAAACCTTGTGTGAAATCCAGCCAATCAACGATGCAAACCAATTTACGATGAATTATACGATTAAATTTACGACAAGGGTGTGATTGGAGGCTTGGTCAACCCTCGCTTATGTAGTGAAGTTACGAACTTGGGATATAGGCATGAAGAAGTAGGAGTCAAATGAACGTTGCATCAAATTGAATCATCATAAATATCTATAAAAGGACCGGAAGGCGCACCTATTCATCCAAATCAAACCATCAGGGTCAAAAACTTCTACATTTTATCTATTCGACTTCATCTTCCAACGATTTCATAAAGTTGGTCACTCAAGCCAAACATCCAACACTTCATTCACGCGTTCAGCTACAACTTTCAAACAATTCTAAACTCGGCATCATTCAAATAGTTTCAAAATGGCCATTATTGCTGTTGCTGGAGGAACTGGGCAGATGGGTCGCGCCGTTGTTGATGCTCTCATCGCGTCCGGAAAGCACAAGACCATCATTTTGAGTCGCAAGGTTAGTATGTTAAGATCTTTCATGTTCATAAAAAGAGTTCTAAAGCCTTGATAGGAAAACCCGGCTCTCGAAAAGGAACTTGGGGTTTCCATCATTGCGGTTGATTACAACAACGTCCCAGCTGTTACGAAAGCTCTTGAAGATAACAATGTGGATACGGTCATATCCACCATCTTCATGATGCCTAGTTTCACAGGAGATCTGCCCAAGGAGGTTGAAATTATTCGCGCCGCGAACGCTTCTAAGACAACCAAGAGAATGATCTCCAGCGATTTCTCTTTCGATCTCAAGCCCGAGTACGTCCTTTCATTCCCGATGGTGAGAGCTTTCTAACTAAGTCTATACAGACATGTCGCTGCTGGATTCCCAGCCACCCCTTTTAAAAAAGCGGCCGAAGCTGAATTGGAGGCTTCTAAAAATCTCGAATCAACCCGCATCATGATGGGTCACTTCATGGACTACTGGGGCGTTCCAGGATTCAAATCCCACTTTGCCCCCATGGCCACCTTTATTGACATTGAGAATGATTATGCTGCCATCCCAGGCAGTGGAAACGGACGGGTCACTATGGCTCACAGCACTGATGTAGCCAAGTTTATCGTTGCGAGTTTGGATTTGGAAAAATGGGATCCAATACATTACATCATCGGCGATACTCTTTCAAGCAACGAGCTTCTCGCCCTCGCCGAGGAAGCCAAGGGTAAGTCAAAATTGCGCTTTCGTATCCCGTTTTATTGAGGGAGATGCTAATCGATAACCCAAGGACGGAAGTTTACAGTTGTTCATGATAGTGTGGAGGATCTCAAGTCTGGAGTTATCACAGCTCTTCCTGGTCAGATTGCCGCATACGACTTTATGCCGAAGCAAGTCTTTGATATGGTCATGCCAATTCTTGGGCTGTGGTTCGAGGAGGGCGCATTCGACTTGGAGAATGTTGCAACAACTTTGAACGATAAGTTCCCGGACATCAAGACGATCAAAGCCAAGGATATGATCGAACAGGCATGGAAGAAGTCTTAGAGGGTCTTCGCGGGACTGCACTCTCCTTTGCAGTACTGTCAAGACGGTATGTGATGTAAAGATGTTATCTCCATAGTATATCAATTCCAGAACTAACTCACCGTTCCAAATACATTGACCCTCGAGTGATGAACAATTCGACCTAACCTTGGTGTGATATAGGCTAAACAATGTAAATTTTCTTGTAGGCTTTAACTGTAGGAGGTGTAAATTACTGGAATACCCCTCTTGTGGTCTACACTAGATTTTACCTATGTTTCTGTCAATAGATTAATATCTTCTACAACAAAAACATGATAAATTTCCCAAAATTGTCTCTTTTGAAGACTGGATCAAATGTCTTGTCAATATAGGGTGACGGAGCAGGCTTTGTAGTCCCTCATGTCCAATACCTTACTATTAAAGAACGAGTCGCATTCTCAGAGTTAAACTCTTAATCCCAACTTTTAAGCTTAGGATAGAGCTTGCTTCCCGTTTGTTCTTCACATAAGTTTGTAGGCATTTTAGGTAGGTAGATAGGTACGTACTCATGAGTGCTCACGTGATCAAGCACGTGATGATACTTACCACCTTGAATTCCATGTGCCCTGGCCCCTTGCTCTCTTCCGTCTTCACATTTATCTTCAGTTCTGACTAAATTTGACACTACACCATGAGGGTGTCTAAATCATTTCGGCAGATTGATAGAAGCTACAAGGTAATCTCTAGTCTTCCACTCACGGTTAGAGATTTGCTAAGCTCTCAATCCTAGAGCGCGATCGAATTGCTCAATAGCCGTCGCCGTTCGCAACGACCAGACGCCAATTTGAAGACCAAAGGGGACGGTATTCAGCATGACACGAATACACCTCCAACGCCCGGCTTAAAGGGCACCCCGAGCATTGTTGGGATGGAAGATTGGTTATCGAAAATTGGCCACTTGGTATGATTCATGAATATCCTCGGCCACTAGGACCACATCCCAGAGAAATTTACCTTTACTGAATACTCGTAGCCGACAGACATTGACAAGCTCAATGTGATTCACGTGGCAGGGACGAAAGGGAAAGGAAGCACCTGTGCATTCACGGAGTCATTTCTACGCACCTTTGGGGAAAGAACAGGTTTTCCCAAGAAAACAGGACTTTACACGTCGCCTCATCTGATGTTCCCTGAAGAGCGTATCCGCATCAACTTCCGGCCCCTTGGACGAGATCTTTTTGCAAAATACTTTTTTGAAGTATGGGATGCACTTTTAGCAGAATCGCGCGCTAACACGAATATCCCTCGTACTCTTCAACTCTTCGCACTCATGGCATTCCACGTCTTTATCACGGAAGGGGTGGAGGCTGCCATCATCGAAACGCACCATGGGGGCGAGTATGACGCTACAAACTTCATACAAAACCCTGTCGTAACAGCCATTACTACCCTTGGAATGGACCACGTTAAACAACTGGGGCCAACTCTGGGCAACATTGCATGGCACAAAGCTGGTATTATGAAGCGTGGTGCCCCGCTGATTTCTGCCCCTCAGGAGTCTGCGGCGTCAGATGTGATTCGAGCGCGGGCGTCAGAAAAGGGGGTCGATGTATATTTTGCAGGTTCAAGCCCGGAGCTCTCTTCAGAAGCCGTGCAGTTGCGGCTAGATGTGCAGCGAACGAACAGCTCGGTCGCTTTAGTAGCTGCTCGCCGGTTTTTGGAAGCTAGGGCCCCCAAGAATACTCTGCCACTGGGGGCCTCTGATATTAAGAGTGCCATTGATCAGTTCTCTTGGCCTGGCCGTTTCCAGCATCTTCAACAGGGTCGCTACCGTTGGTACTTAGACGGCGCACACAACGAGATGAGTGTTGATAAAGCAGCAGAGTGGTATATTCAGGGCTCAAGTGGTTCCAAGTAAGCACCCCCCAGACGTGACAGGCTTCAGCCATTTCGCAATTAACACTTGGCAGGACTTCCACTCGTGTGCTCATCTTTAGCCAGGCATCCGAGGCGAGAAATGCCACCGAAGTTCTAGATCAGCTTGCCACTGCACTTCGCGACGTAGCAATTGACCACGTCATCTTCACGACCTACTCACCAGATCAGGACCTTGATTTTGGATCAGGTAGGCCAATCAGTGTTTTCTGGACTGGCCCCTTTGCTGATTATTAATCTGTAGCCCCAGTCTCAAAGCCTTGGCACGGTGACAAGAGCCATGCGTTTGAGGAGATCTGGAAGAAGATCCATAGTACGACGAAGGTGCACTATGAACCTGATGTTCCAACTGCATTAAACGTGGCCAAGCAGATCGGTGCCAAATTTGAAGCGGTGCATACTCTCATCACGGGAAGTCAATACTTGGTGGGGGCTGCTCTGTACGCTCTCCAGAAATGAGCGTTTATCTACCAGAGACAACACCTGGACCTGTTGGAGAGGGATACGTGGTACAAATAGTCGATGGTCGTGCCGTAAAATGGGTCGTTGGGCTCCGATGGATCTTCCTACGGTGACTTTCCAGCCAGTCACGGCTCAGGTATATCTCTTCAAAATCCTGGACAATGGAGCTCGATCCAATAATAGTTCGAGGACCTAGTCTATATATTTCGGGCAGACAATTGCATATAGTCCGCTGTTTGGAGGTAGATGGTGATTGTGTGAGTAGCCCACCTCACCCAATCTGACCCTCAATTTTTCAGCAACATGTCGTTCCAGTACACGCCGTTGCCTGGAGATCAGGAGGGGAGTATTCGGTTGATAAATCTTCTACCTAAGAAGGAGCATCCCAAAAATTGTGAGGGCCCTGACAATAACGATGCTATGACACCGCTACCGGCCCGAGTGCATTGCACCCTCTCCGTGGCCAAGTTGGAAGAGCCACCACCATACGCTGCCTTGTCGTACACATGGGGGACGTCGGATCGCAAAAGCACGATAATGGTCAATGGAATGCCATTCCTGGCAACAGAAAATCTAGAAAGCGCTCTCTATTATCTCACTCCACAGATCCAACCCCTCGTTCTTTGGGTAGACGCGATATGCATCGACCAAAACAGTGAGGGCGAACGTCCGCAACAGCTTCAGAAAATGCGACAGATTTACAACCGTGCTACCTCAGTCACGGCTTGGCTAGGTCCGCCTAGAGATAACAGCGATATCGCACTGGGCTGGATCCAGTATTATGGGTCGTTAGCTGATAGCCTTGGGATCGGAACCAAGCCAGATCTTATGTTACTCTCGCTCTTAGTCACTCAGATTGAGCCCTAGGAAACTGCCTGAGAACAACCGCCTGAAGACATTTCTGAAAGAGATCTCCAAAGAAGTAACATCGGATTCCGGTCTGGCAGAAAGTATCAAGGTATCTCTAGCGAAGCTATTTGACCGGCCCTACTGGAGCCGGGTTTGGGCTGTTCAGGAGATAGCACATGCCAAGTCTGTTCGGTTTACTTGCGGTGATAAGTCTGTGTCTTTGGATGCCCTACATCATGCGCTTAGACTTGTGAGAAATTTAAGGCAGTTCCAAAAGCTAAAGCAGGGCCACCATGTACAGCAAGCCACTGTCAAGTCTATAGGATTTCCCACCAATACACGCAATGCCATCAGTCTCTTGAAGGTTCAGAGAGCTACTGAGCCCCTTCCGCTCATCTATCTTCTTCGGACTTTCCGGTTCTTCAAAGCTAGTGATCCGCGCGACCGACTGATAGCTCTTCTGGGATTCGCTTCGGATGCTGATATCTTGGGACTTTCCTCTGATTTCCGGGACAAGTCTTATGAGGAGTTGTACTGCGATGTCGTTGTTGGCCTTATAACAAGTGGATTCTTTGATGTGCTATCGCTTTGCGACCCTGATAATCGAATCCCGGGATACCCATCGTGGACACCGGATTTTACCAGGATGCGAGCACGGGTTCCTTTGCAGCAAAGAGCTTTGGACCAGCATAGCTCCCCTATTAAGACCAGTCTTCGACCAAAGTTCTCAGCTTCTGGGAAAAGAAACTTAGGAAGCAAGAGCTGTTCACTGCCTGTCTCTTCAGGTTCACACCTCGTACTTCATGCCAAGCTGATCGATATCGTGGATCAGGTGGGTACCCAATGGAAGGCGGGATATTCGCGTCGGTGGCTAGAGGAGCTAAGCCAGTTTTCCTTCCCTGATGGGCTGAAGTCTCTCGAGCCTCTTCCTCCTGCATGCTTACAGGCCGTTCTACGTACGGCAGTTGCTGATCAAGAGGGGTGGCGAGGAGCCGTTAAGCCTAGACTGAGTCATTCAATGGTAGTGAAAGTCCAAGAGGTATTGGAGAAGTCAGATCTCTCTGACAATACCGCAGCCCTCACTTCATTCGGCGTAGATGACTACGTGGACCAGTTACAAGAAATTGCCAAACACAGATGCCCATTCCGAACATCCACGGGCCGGATTGGAATTTGCCCGCACCAGATGAAGTCTGGTGATCGGATCTATTTACTCGCAGGGGCGCCTGTTCCCTACGCTATGCGTGAGGGGACGGATCGAAAGTTGAGGCTGCTTGGGGAGGCGTATTTGCATGGGATTATGGACGGCGAGGCGCTTGATAATGTTAAATCACTGGATAAGGTTAAGTTGTATTAAGACATCATACGCTATACTTTATTAACCAATTTGAATCGCTCCATAGATCGTCCAGATTACGCTTGAGTTCCGAACTATTAGATGTCGTAGGAGAAAGAAAATAAAGTTCAACAGCAATGAAAGCTGCCAGGGCCCGACAACTCAACCCAATAAATACGAAAGCTTAGAAATATAGCCTTTCCTAGTCCGCTCAAGATGTAGTTATACGGCAGGAAAATTCTATGAACCTTCGTACGGATGACTCACTTACCGTCAGGACAGCGGCTCGTCGAATGACTATTAAAGATACCCTCTTTCACCTGGCTTTATACTCGTAAGCCAATCTGAACACTTCAACACACCTCGGAATTGAAGAGAAGTGAGGGATTGGAGCGGTAGGTGTTCTTGGTGCCCAAGGCTAGATCACTATAGTTATATGCAGCCATCCAGAAGAGCAAGTAGGGTAGTCGGTGGCACTGACACGAAGAGAGGAAGGGGCTAGAGGAGATAGCATTGATAGAAATACTTTTAAGCTTTAAAAATACAGTGAAAGATTATTAGATGTCATGCTACGACTAGATGAAAGGACTACATGAGAACAGGCTTCAACATAAGCTACGAAGTAACCGTATATTCCGCAATCGTGATCCGTTTCCAAGACGTTGCTGACAAAGTAGACACAAATTTTCATTCTGTAGACCTACTGAGTACTCAACTGCAGCTTCGCTTCTGACAACTCATCGGCAGTGGCTGTCACCTCAATGGCCCCGGGGGAGCCTGCGGTTCCGCCGATAATTGCCAGTGCCAATCCACCCACCACCTTTCGTTCTTTTGAAGGAAAAGCGACATAGTCCGATTGCCATCCATTATCGGTCGCCAAAATTTCACCAGATCCTGAGATTCCAAACTTCACAGTGACATCAGCATCACGGACGACATCCCCGTTCTCGTCCACCACTTCGACAGTCACAAACGAAAGGTCCTTTCCATCGGCGGAAAACGAGTTTCTGTCGGCACTTAGTCTCAGACTTGTTGCTTGCCCTGTCGTTCGTACAGTCTCCGTAGCCCACTCTTCCCCATTTTTGTAGGCAACAACCCTCACCTCGCCGGGAGCGTAGACAACGTCATCCCATCGGATACGATACTCATACTCGCCCTTCTTTTTCCGACCCAGGGATTCACCATTCAAGAATAGCTCAGCCTCGTCACCAGAGGTGAAGACATGGACGGGGGTAACCAGGCCCTCGCGATCCGGCCAATTCCAGTGTGGGAGGATATGAGCTATGGCATGGTCTGGTCTCCAGTGAGCTTGGTAGAGATAGAAACGATCCTTCTTGAATCCAGCAAGATCCACAATACCAAAGTAGGAACTGCGAGATCCCGTATCTCCGTTGGGCTTTGAATCGTAGGGCGTAGGTTCTCCAATGTAGTCAAATCCTGTCCAGACGAATTCTCCCGCAACATAGTCGTATTTATCTAAGACGGAGAAGACCTTGTCAGCGGATGAGCCCCAGTCGACTGAATATAGCTCATAGGCATTGACTTCCAAAGTAGATGAATTCCCTCCGGCTCCGGCAGAATCGTTGGTAGGAGAACTGTTGACATCTACTATGGGAAACAAGTAGGAATCTCTTGAGCTGATGGCGGAGGCAGACTCAGCACTGAGTAGCAGCTTTTCAGGGAACGCCTTGTGGAACTCAGGGTGTTGAGGATATATCGGAGAACCAAGATGGGAATAAGCAGGCGTGTCGTATCTGCCCTCTCCCTGATAGTTCAGTGCGATAACGTCAACGAGTTTTGAGACGGCATGATACGGCTTAGCACTATTCTTGGCTATGGTGAATGGTCTAGTCGTATCTTCCTCTCGAACAATCTCACCCAGCTCGGTGAGAATCGGGGTTGATTCGTCGTCGTGGGTCTGTTCGCCAACTTCGTTCCCAACGCTCCAAATGATCACGGATGGGTGGTTTCGATCTCTACGAAGAAGGGCACGAAGGTCTGCCTCATGCCAGTCATTGAAGAGAAGGTGGTAATCGAGGCTCTTCTTGGAACGGAGCCATACGTCGAATATCTCGTCGATGACCAGGAAGCCCAACCTGTCAGCGAGCTGCAAAAGTTCCGGCGCGGGAGGATTGTGAGACATCCTCACGGCATTTGTGCCAAAATCACGAAGGATTTCCAATTGGCGCTCTGCAGCCCGCAAATTGAAAGCTGCTCCCAGAGCTCCCAGATCATGGTGCTGATCTACACCCCGAAGATGAAGTCTCTCGCCATTGACAAGAAGGCCTTCTCCATTTCCAACAACGGTGCGAATGCCGAATTCCGTTTCGTAAGAATCTATATCTCTCCCAGACTCTACCAGTCTTGTCACGGCAAGGTACAAATTTGGAGACTGCGTCGGCGGTGGCCCCCATAGCTGCGGCTGAAGGACCTCAGTCTTGCCTGTAATTGATTCCTTGGAATTTGATTGAACCGTAACAGTTGCCTTTTCGAAAGAGGCTACAGGCTTTCCTCGTTTCTCAGAGCCTGCATCAAACTCGTAGATATCAGTAATGACATCGATCTTTCTCTCCTGGCCATCCTTGTTTTCCACTTGTACGGTCAGATTAACAGTCGCAGATTGCTGGTCTTCGGACACTTCGGTCGTAATTTGGGTACCCCAGTGAGCTACATGGATAGGACTGGTCTTAGTCAACCAGACGTTGCGGTATATGCCACCGCCTGAATACCACCGTGATGATGATGGGGGGTTTTCAACTCGGATGGCGATTTGATTTTCCTCGCCCGCGATTATTTGAGATGTGATATCCGTTCTGTACGAGGTATAGCCATATGGCCACCCGCCAACAAGTTTTCCGTTGATCCAGACTGTGGAGTACGACATTGCACCGTCTATGTCGAGGTAAAAACGGGCGTTCTTCTCAGATGAATCGACCGTCAGCTTTCGGCGGTACCAGGCCACGCCCTGGATGGGAAGACGGCCCATTCCTGCATCAATAGGGGTTTCTTTATCTGTGTAGAATGGCCCCTTGATAGCCCAGTCATGTGGGAGTGTTATGGACTCCCAATCATTATCATCGTAAGATACATCCTTGTATGGTACGCTTGTGTTGGGTTGCTGGTCGGGAATCTCATGATGCTTGCTCTCATCCGCAATGAATTCATTGACGGAGGGTAGAACCCAATCCTTCAGTAGTGTTTCGCCCCCTTCATTCCAGCTTGAACGGTCCTCGTAAGCGAGGCCATCAGGAATCGACTCGGAGCGCCAGAACTTCCAGTCTTGATTCAAAGAAATGCGCTGGCGGCTGATAGAGTCGATCTCCCGAGGGATGGTGCGAGCCTCGACGTTAACATTCGAAGCCTGAAGGAGAAGACACCCCCATGATAGTTTCCGAAGGACTTGTGAAAGATTCATCGTAGCAGATTATTCATCGCATAGCGAGGATGAATGACCGTACTAGCCTTTGCTATCAGTTGGAGATTGAACAAGACAGCTACCTTTTGTAGGCTGCGCCTCGTCACATCACTATTTCGGGTAAATGGGGACCTGATGTCCGTGGAAACAGCCTCAACCCCGGGAAAAGCGTCATTCAAAGATGCGCCATTGATTGGAGCGGAAGTACAGGTTAAAAAGTTTAACAAGCTTTCCCCACTGATGAACCAAGGTATATCAATTAATTCATTAAGATAATGTACCGAGAGTCCGAAGTGGCATGAACACCAACTTATTGACAATATCTGCCAGCTTTTTTTTAAAAAAATAACAAGTTATGAACGAGCTTGACTATGTATAAAACATCATGATTAGTCCTATCAAAATAGATAGTTCAAAAGTTATATTTTGCATGGTGCATTTCACAGATGCAATCGACATCTCATACAGAAATAAACATCGTCTACCCTGACAGCCTGAGCATTGGAGCGAGCAATTGTATTGTCATATTCTTTCTGAGCGCCGAAGATCCGGGAAAGTAAATGACGTTGACTCTTTACAAAATCCACTCTATTCAATCAGACCTTCCGTATCTAGTAATGATGGGATGCGGACAGGATACAGTTGCATCGGAGAGCGACTCCGCATCGGGCGAGAGATAGTCCGCGCACTAGATGATGCAATTTCAATTTCAAGAAGACGTTAATATGGATGAATTGATCATAACAGAGCGATGAGGGGAAGACCGTTGATCATCCGTTAACAATTGCTAATCTTTTGCAGATTTGAGTGAGGGATAATTGTCGGCTGTGGCACATATACGAAATTCCATCGAAGTATAACGTCACAGAATCCTACCAGAGAAATTCTTACCCGGTTACTCTCAAGCGTCATTATTAATTACTTCTATGAAAGAGATTCTTATCACAACTCATTCTGTTGTCTTGTTAGTGTTATGATAAGTAAGATGATATAACATAAATCAACGGTATTTCGTAGAACTTACCCATATTTTCTGGGCTCGTAAGTTTCTTGACCTATATAAAGACTGGTCAGGTTGAAGACCTAGATATGCGTTTATACTGTGGTGCCAGAGTTCTAGTAAGTCCAGAAGAGCTTGCAAGGTAAAACATATAAAAAAACTAGATCGCATCAAGAAGCCAATGTCTACAAAAGGTTCAAGGTACTGAATACCGCATTGATTTGCTTCTACCCTTGACAACAGTTAGCCTTTTGCCCGAACCTTATGTACAATTATCAAAGTCTTTGGATGCAGTGGACTACTTTCTGCTGCTCTGATCCAACAAGATTCTCCTGGTTCAAGCCTTGATTTATGGTAACACTTGACCATCATGACAGAGTACAATAGGTATTGCACGATAGCAATGGTTATACTATTGATGCGCAAATGTCTCGGTTGAAAGATCGCCGGAGGTGTGTCAAACTGAGCCAAATTGAGGCGACGCCGAAATCAGGATCTTGGCTTATGATATGCCGTAGTAGTGTGATACCGATTTGAGTATGCCGGTGTTTACATTGTAAAGTGCGAAACTGAGCGAACCGAACCCTCCACTTGCATAAGCTGCCGTGTGTCAGCCGAGACAGTTGCCAGGGATAACTTGCCATTATGACCCCTTTTTGACGCCTCTTGCGCCATTCAGCTCTCTCTAGGGATTCATGAATGTCGGTAATTCCCGCAGATCGTCCCGAGTTGTCTCATTACCTGGTATCTGAGCTTCACCAGCATTCCAACGAGCCACCTCCATGAATTTACGTCTCAGATCTCACCCAGCCTGGCCAAGTTAGGTTTTTGTCTCTTTATTTCTCCATTGACTCATGGCACTTCGTTTGAAATTGTCTGGGCAGGATGAATTTTCTGTAGGTAGCGGTACGTGCCACTGATATTCTAGGATGGCCCTATGCATCATTACTCCTCCCTGCAGCAGCGCTGAGATCAAATAGTGAAGGGTTGTAACTCCGATATCTACGATAATCAATTGCATCATGGGATGTTACACGGTGTTGGATACCAAGGAACAGAGATAGTTAGTCAGTGAGAAATACAATTGTTGTACTACTGCTGATGTCGATATGAGACCAACAGTGTAAAATTGTCAGACCGTGACCCAAACGGCTGAGAACCTGCCCTTGATATACTTGCCGTCCCCGCCACCATGATTCCTTCATTCTATCAAAATTTCTGAATCCAAATTTCGCCTATTTATCTAACTGGGGGGGTGACAAAACGGCCGTTGTCCTTTCTCGCAAGGCAAGCTACGTCAAGACGCTCTACCAAGAGAGACTCTCTCTTTCAATCTTCAGAAAACATGGACCGCCGTATGAGCGAAGACACAATTCAAATTGTTCCAACGCACAATAGCCTCAAGGGACGACCTAGCTATCCTCTGGGCCAGGATGAAGCGACTGCGACGCCTCTGACGGCGGCAGAGCAACTAGTCGCGAACAAGCTCAGGCGCAAGATTGATATCAGGATTCTACCCGTGGTGTTCATTGTTTATATTATGAACTTTGTTGATCGTACGAACTATGCGTCTGCGAGGCTCCAGGGTCTCGAAGAGGATCTGTCCTTGTCGGAGACCGAATATCAGGCTGGTAAGGTTACAGCGCAAACGTCTTCACTAAAGCAATTGGCCCACCAACGTGCTGACCTTTGAGACCAGGACTTTCGGCTTTTTTTGTTGGATACATGATTGGGCAAGTTCCTTCAAACATGACACTTGCCTGGTTTGGACGGCCGTCTGTGCATATGGCGATAGTAACTTGTGCCTGGGGTACCGTTTCAGCACTCACGGCCCTAGTTCATGGATTCTCGGGTCTCTTAGTTTGTCGGCTTGTCCTTGGTTTCGTTGGTGAGTCTCTCCTACACTGCCAGTTGTAAATGAATGCCCACTGATGCGAAGTGATACTGAAGAGGCGCCGTTCTTCCCCGGTGTCATATTCGCATTGTCCAAATGGTATACTCGAGATGAGTTGGCATTTAGGATGGCCATTTTCTTTTCAGGGAATCTATTTGCTGGAGCCTTTGGCCACCTCTTGGCTGCTGGTATTCTTGGTGGGATTGGCCACGCCCTCGGGCTAACACCCTGGCAATGGCTTTATATTATCGAGGGCGCAATTACAGTAACTCTTGGTGTGGCAGTATATTTTGTTCTTCCTGATTTCCCCGAGACATGGAAATCATTGTCCCAGGAGGAGTATGAGGTTGCTACACGTCGTCTGGCTGCTGAGGCCACCGAAGCCGACGTTGACGAGGCGGGCTTCGGGGCCCAGGTAAAGGGCCTCAAACTGGCCCTCACCGACGTGAAGACCTACCTTTTCGCAGTTGCGCAGACGTCGGTTCTTGCGTGTGGCGGATTGCTGAATTATTTCCCTTCAATCACTGCCACGCTCGGGTATAGCCATTTCACCACGCTTCTCCTTTGCGCCCCTCCACACATATTCGCCATTGTCTGGATCTTAATACACGCGTGGCTGTCTGACAAGCTGCGGACGCGGTTTTGGTTCTTCATCTACCCAGCACCATTGATCATCATAGGTTTCGTTCTTCTCTTAACGACGAACGGCATTGGAACTAGGTATTTCAGCCTGTTCCTCGTACAAGGCACAAACCTCATGGGGTCAACAACCTTTGCGTGGGTAGCATCGTCTATTCCACGGCCTCCAGCAAAAAGGGCAGCCGCCATAGCAATTGTGAACAGCTGTGCTAGTTTAGCGAGCGTTTGGACCCCATTCATATACTTCGGACCAAAATACGAACTTGCGATGGCGGTCAACATTGGATTGGCTGTCCTAGCAAGTATTTTGGCCGTTGCCCTTCGGTTTGTCCTTGTCAAGAGCAACAAAGAGTTAGCTAGGATCGAAGATACGAAGATCTCACTTTCAGAAAAGGAGCTTGCCCAGGTTCAGAAGATCGCCGACGTTGAGGGCGTCAGCATTGATACTGCTAGAAAGATGCACAAGGGTTTCCGGTATATCGTCTAGAAATAAGGTGTCCTCACTGAGGACTGAGCCAAGGATCATAAGATATTCTAGCTAGCTTTCTATCCATCATGTGACATGTCTATGAGGGATCATTTTACAATATTCCAAAGGAAACGGGTCGACTGGGTGGTGCGTATTTAATACCTCAAAATCTTACGTCAAAATAAATATCTCCAACAATTGAGCTATGCTTTATCCTCCGTATCAAGACCTTCTCCCACGGATTGGGGAAAGACTGTTATTCAGGGTCAGCAAGCGAGCACACCTTCGTGTCCAAAGTCCAAGGGAATACTCACATAAGGCCCAAAACTCAGATTCTTGTACCTTCCCAACACTCCCGCTGGCAACTTGATTTCATACTCGGTTAGAATATGACCTAGAACCATCTTGATTTCAGCAGACGCAAGAAAGCGTCCCGGGCATGCGTGTCTTCCATATCCAAATGACAACGTTCGAGGTTCTGCGGCGGAGAACTCGGTGTTGGATATCGGACCGTAAGATCCCGTCTTTTCATTTTGATATTGCTGGGCGATGTTGTAGAAACGAAATGCATCAAATTCACCAGGGTCTGTGAAGTTTCCAATGTCGCGAGCTACGCAGCTAGAGGGAAATTCGATGACGACACCAGAGGGGATGATCTGGCCGTTGGAGAGAGTGAAAGGCCTCGTCACCTTGCGATGAATTGTTGCTATGGTGACAAACGGGAGTTAGCGACTGATCAGGAATATGGAAACATAAGTAGGGCTGGAGTTAAGAAAGGAATTGACGAACTAGACACCATGTCGGAGCACCTCATGGTTTCTTTGATGAAGCTGTCCAGTTTGGTCATATGCTGCAGAGATAACTTTGAATACTCGCCGTCACTAGCCGCTAGAGCTTGTAACACCTCTTTTCGTAGGATATTTGTAAGCTCCGGCTTGGCCACAAGCCAATACAGACTATTTACTCACGTTAGCTTCTTTTTTTTTTTATAAATATTATTAGACTGAAGGAACAGACGCGTGTGTGATTGTCATCGCTGTGGAATGAACGGCGGCCATGTTCAGGAAGAGAAGGTCGATTACTAGATCCTTGTCACTCCTACCACATTTTTTGGATGACTCTACCATCAATCGAAGTATGTCGACCTGTTCTCCTCGGTTTGGATTTTCAGGTTGAAGCCACCGTGATTTGATCGCTGGGCCAAACACCTCTTGCGCTTGGGCGACTCGATGACGCGTAAGCCAGAGCTGAGGTAATAGGGGTGCAATTATAGGGCGTAGGAACGAAGGGAGAAGAGTCAGGGTAATTGCAGCAGCCATGAACTCCTTTGTGAAGTCGGTAGCTAGTTTGAGCTATCTAGCCGATCTGCACAAGTCAAGGCCAACGAAAACTCTTCCTGCAACCATGGCGACCATTCGAGGTGTCCTTTGGCTGAGGTTTATCTCAGTCCATTCGGTAGACTGAGGAACCTCTTGAAGAAGTGCATTTCTCACCTCATCCTCGATCTCAGGTCTCAACCGTGCTATAGACTTCGGTCATTATTGGCTAGAACTCAAAATTTGATAGCCGTCTTACCTAGAGCTGGGGTGATCCACGATCGAACATAACCTGGTATATGAGTCACATCTATGCCCGGCAACACGTATTTGCCTTGTAAACGCTTCAACTCGCTTCATCAGTAGGCGTCCCAATGAAGTTATGTCTTACGCACCTCCTCAAAATTTGCTCCAGTGGCATCAAGGACATCATCAGGAAGCCTTTTCAGTTCTTCAAGAAATGCTGGAGAGAGGACGATATTATCGATTGCTGATAGAATCGTTAGCCGATCAAATGCCACTTCCTCTCGTGACGATAGGAAGCAAGCATACCACCTGAACCAGGAATCCGAAAAATTCCATTACCATACTTGTCTTCTTCGTTAGCAATGGAATAAGCGTGGCGGATGAAAGATTACCTTCCTATATCCCTCCATATACATCCCATTGGCATCCCACAAATATCGTATCTTGCGAATTAAGCTCCCTCCCCTACCAATAGTCGGTATCCCAGATAACGGATCACGCTTCGTCAAGCTTGGTAAGAACAATATCATGACCAAACATATTATTCCGCTGATGACTATAATTCGTCGATCTTTTGAATCATCGACACCTAACCCAAGTTGAGAATAATGACTTTCGTTTGCCATTATGCTGGAATTTTGTTGCAAATTGAGCATATGTTATATATGAAGTATCGCTATACCATAGAATGTTGGAAAAGGGGGATATTTAACGATTAAATACGTAATTATTTCTCAAGTCATCTCGTCAAACTCAACTGTAGTTATTATCCTTGCTGTTTCCGGCCTGTCCCTCTTTTGGTGAAGTATGCTCAATCCAATAACTCGGCAATGCAGCCATAATTCTGGAATGCTGTTCCGCACTTGCATGCCGGTTGATATTCGATAACTACTAACTGGATTGTTTGAGTTTAAGGGATCCGGGAACTCACTATCAATTACCAGATCCATCTTGACGCCCCGAGGGCCTGGTTCTAACATTTAAACAGCGGGTGTTGTCGGAAATAATGTCCATCTGTCTCAGGTTTTCGGGTTAAACAAACAGAATCTTAGATTGCATTAGACATATCACTACTCAGAGTTTGCTGCGTGTTTCTTCTCAAGAGCCCCAGCATATCTCCCCATAGCCATCAACGGAAAGTAATGCGTATACAAAGCGTAGTCCATGTACAGATGTTTCGGGAACCCGGTCCCAGTATACCGAGATGCGTCCCAAGATGCTCCGGTTCCGTCTTCAGAAACCAAAGTCTGGGTTTTTAGAAGATAGCTTATCCCCTTCACAATAGAATCATCCTCCACACTACATACCTCGAGAAGTCCCATTATGGCCCAGGCTGTTTGAGCCGCGGTAGACACACCTTTTCCTGCTTGCCGTTGATCCTTGTAGGACTCGATGCCTTCCCCCCATCCGCCATCTTCATTCTGAACGTGCTTGAGCCACCGCACCCCTGCAGACATCATATCTTGAACCATTTCATCACTTTCGCAGAAGTAAGACAAACCGGAGAGGACGGCACTGGTCCCGTAGACGTAATTAATCCCCCAGCGACCCCACCATGCGCCAAAGGTTTCCTGTTGCACAGCCAGGAATTGTATTGCTCGACTAGATGCAACAGTCACCACTTCAAGAAGGCCCCAGTACTTGTAATCCTTGGTACCTCTGCTCAGTAGCTCTTTAGAAAACATACCGAGAGCCTCAAGGACATGGCCGGTAATGTCTGGTGTTGAGGGATCACAGAGCGCATCAAGATCGCTGAAGGGAATCTCGTTTAGCCACAGATGGTCGTTGTCGGCCTCGAAGGCTCCCCATCCATTATCTCGGTTCTGCATTCCACACATCCACTCCACTGCCTCGATCACAGTGTCTGATGTGACGGATGCTGGGTTCTGGCGCAAAAGGCTGATAACAGCGGCGGATGTATCGTCAAGGTCAGGGTACCAGTCATTATGATACTGGAAGGTAAACCCGGCAGGTTGCAGATGAGCCCTGTAGTGGGACCAGTCTCCTTTGCACTTTCGGATCTGTTGTCGCTCGATCCAGCTTGCTGCCCGCTGTAGGCGATTGTCGTCCTTGTTGGCCACCCCGGACTCGCACATCGCTCGTGTCATCAGGACGGTATCCCACACCGGGGACACCGTGGATTGCATGCGCTTGCCAGAAGCATCATCCCATGTGAAGTTCTCGATGGCTTCGATTGCCACTCTTATCTCCCTGTCCTTCTCCGTGAATCCTTCAAGGAGTAATGCCTGGACACCAGCATGCATTGGTGGTGAGATCCCACCCCAGTCGCCTGTCGGCTCTTGGTGCTCCAAAATCCACTCCACGCACCGTTTGCGGGCCAAAGAACGAAGAGGAAAGTTCCGTAGTCCGTTGAGATAATAGAGTAGGCTATCAACCACCGAGAAGAAGCAGGTATAGAAGCCCGACCTTTTCCCACTCCACAATGAGGGACAGCATGGGACCGCCTTTCTTTTGGGGTCAAGCCAAAGCTCATCCAGAAAGTCATTTTGCTCAGATCTCCCGTTTGGCAGTGCATATACATGCTGATGATGCGCAATGATGAGAAGAGGGACTATTGTTGTTCTTGCCCAGTACGACATCCGGTAAATATTGATCCAGGCATTGGGCGGGAGTAAGATGAGCTCCATGGGGAGCTGAGGCAGAGAGTCCCAAGGGAACAGACCAAACTGGGCCAAGAAGATCCGGGTAAATACTCGAACAGCAGCAACGCCTCCAGCATCGAGAATCCAACGTCGTGCTTTGGTCATTTCCACCGAAGTGGTGCTCACACCCAAAATCTTCAGTGCCAGATAAGCCTCACAACTGGTTGAAACATCCCCCGGTGTTTGCCAAGCAAGAGCCCATGAACCGTCATCTTGTTGCTCTCCCAAGAGATATTGACGGTATGCGTCAGCATCAGGAATCGGATCCCTGCCAAGGGACTGGTAAAAAAAGACCTGTTGAGCTGTAATGGTTGCGTTCGTTCGGACCTCACCACGCCAGTGATCGTCTCTCAGTAGCTCCCAGGCCCAGTTCGCTGCTCCAGTTATGGCTCTCTTAATATCAGATAAGTGATTTCCAGTGGAAGATGAAGAATCGTTGTTGTTTTGACCATGCCGATTGTCAATCGTCGTCGGCGATGTTGGAGAGTCCATATTGCAAAGTTCGGGAATCACTGTGTCCATAGAAAGTAGACCTGCGGTCTCATTGGTCACGACATGGTTTGGCGATCCTTTCTGCTTTATAACCTATTGTTATTTCATTCAATTCGTGTACGATGGCAAGTGATCGACAATCCAAGACTTTACTCTAAGCTGAGAACACCACAGATCCCTCTGCTTGCGGTCAATACACTGCTAGATATGTAGCGGTACAGATAACCTCAATTAGTGGGAATTTGATAACCAATATTGAATTCCAGGCTTGCCATCCTCATCAAGTTGGACATGTTTCAAATCCAGAAGATGGACGAAAGCCCTGCAAGCGAACAACGCCACATTCCCTCAAGTCCCGACCATTCAAGGGATATCCCTCGCCTGGCCATAGCCACGACGGCTCAGGCTAAAGATCATCACCAGGGTTCATAGTGACTGATAGTAGCATCTCATGCCCATTCCAACCGTAATAAGGTTTGAATTCCACGGAAAAGGAAGAAAACGAAAAGACCTTTTGGTAAAGCGTAGCTGCTTCCGCGAGAGTAGCCGAGTCATTGTGGTGGGGGTTGAAGATAAAACGAGAAGCTGATGAGAATAGTTCATGTCATGGTAAATCTAGTCTGACAATTTCTTTAATTCACGTATCATCTAAATTCACGAGTGGACGTCAGTTACTAACTCTGGGCTGATAGGCTCGAAGGGGGCCTCCAAGTCTGGTGAACAAGCTTCAGGATCAAGCGTTTGCCCGACAATATTCGGGAATCAGTTTAAATCTAAACAGTAGCCTCCTTCGAGTTGAAATTTAAAATGCCGTTAGCATACGTGTGTGCTGCAATAGTTATGCTTCATTTTACGTCTTGGGCTTCCCGACACGGTATCACTGGAAGTGACATATCATGTTCCGGCTGGAAACGTCCACCCGGCTATATTCAGTAGAAATCCCAGGTGGTACAGGCGCCAGTGGCAGCTGAATCACAAAAGCTTCATCATAATAATACGATTTAGAGGGAGTAAAGGATAGGGTCATTGATTAATTTTTCATTAAAAGTCTGGAATCATGAAGCCACTCTTTCCATTGCAGTGCAACTAAGTCACCCAGCCTACCAAAGTTCTTCAGTTTAAAAGGTTTCTATTTTGACTACTACAAGACAGGTGGAATGCAGGAGCCATAATGCGCCATATGAGCCTAGATCACCGGGTAAGCATACACCGCATCATCGTGTGAACCATGTCACAAATGTAGCTTAGCTGACGAGTGGGGATCTGAGAGGCTACAGTTAATACCAGCTTAACAAGAAACACTTCTGAAGGATAACCCAGAGTCTTAATCTTTATGAGATTACCGCCTAGCTAGCCATAAATATCAACCCAGGCGCTTATCATTAACAATAGATTCGGCATGAAAATAAAAAATATGGTCATGAATTTCTATAGTTTTTTCTTTGACCTCTATTTACATTTCTATCTTCATGGTTCGTCATCATCATGGGGGTAGAACTGGGGATAGATTGGCAGCGGAGGCCACTTGGGTGCTTGGTAGTTGACCACAAAGTGATGTGTGCCTGAAGTGACAGTTTGGGGGTTATCCTCTTCCTTACTCTGCCCAGGTAGCTTAATTTCTGCTTTTGAATTGGGAGGTACCTTAACAGTCAGAGAGAATCTAGTGCCTTTTGCCTCCAGAGCCCACTCAACAGAGATGAGTCCATACGGACTCAAGAACTTGCCACTTGCGCTTGTCAGATCGCCGCCAGGAACAGGAGCAACAACGAATGTTTTCCATCCTGGGTCCACCGGTGCCATACCGGCGATATTACGATGCATCCAATCTGCTACGGACCCAAGAGCGTAATGATTGAAACTGGTCATCTCACCCGGGTTGATACTGCCGTCGGGAAGCTTGCTGTCCCAGCGCTCCCAGACGGTTGTAGCGCCCATGGTTACCTGGTAGAGCCAGCTGGGTGCCTTTTGATGATAAAGCATCCGGTAGAACAGTTGCGATTCGCCAACTCTTGAAAGCGCGTGGCCCACGATAGGCGTACCTGCGAAACCGGTTGCAATCTTGAACCGCGAGCTGCGGAGAATGAGATGTTTCAACCGAGAAGCGGCGACTCTCTCTTGCTCAGGCGTCTCGAACAACTGAAAATGAATGCACAGAGCAAGCGCTGTCTGTGTATCTCCGACAACCCGGCCCTCCGTTGAGATATATCTTCTTTGGAATGAGGCCCTGACCTGGGCCCAGGACTTCTCGTAGTAAGTCGCTCGTTCTTCGAGCCCAAGGATCACAGATATTTTATGCATAAGTAACGTGATATGCACAAGATATGCATTCGCCACAAGCTGGGCGTCAGTGACAGAGTTCCCAGGATCATCAGACGGTGCCAGCGGGTCGAGCCAGTCCCCAAATTGATACGAATCTTCATCCCAGAGGCCAGTTGTCTGATCACGAGGTATTCCCTCGCCCAGCCACTTCTCCATGCTCTCAAATTGTTGGCTCAGAATACCCTTATCGGAGAAAGACGTAAAAAGACTCCACGGAAGGCCAACAAGAACATCGCCCCATATGGCGGTTGGGTATCGAACGTCATCGACCGGGACATCTGGGCAGAAGAACGGGGGAGCGCTGCCGTGATCGTTGATCTGCTCCGCCGCGAGATCGCGCAGCCATCCACGGAGCATACCAGACGTATCGTATAAATAGTTAGCTGTAGGACTGAATACGTGAATGTCTCCAGTCCAACCGAGACGTTCGTCGCGCTGCGGACAGTCCATGGGGATGCTGAAGAAATTACCTCTCATTCCCCATCTAACATTATCTATTTAGCATGATTTCATCGTTAGCGACGCAAACACATAAAGCATGGGGACATAAGTCTGGAGAGTCCTTACGGTGCAGCTGGTTCAGCAAGGAATTGGAGCATTCAAACCAACCAGTCTGCTCCATATCTGTGTGAGCAATAACGCCGGTCAATGATCCCAGTTCGAGATCCTCGACTCGGCTATATAATCCGTCCACCTGGACATAGCGAAATCCGTGAAATGTAAACTTGGGTTCCCAGACATAGTCATTCTCTTCGCCTGAGAGAATGATTGTGTCCCTGGCCTTGCAAATTCTCAATGGTCGCGTAGCCACCTCTCCATCTTCAAGTTCTTCGGCGAACTGCAGAGTCACCTCTTGCCCCTTTTCACCACCCGAGATGCGGATCCGCACCCAGCCAACAATATTTTGTCCGAAGTCAATAACGATGTTGCCTTTTGGAGTTGTAATGGCCGACTTAGCACCTATAGTTTCCGTCACACGTACGGGTGGCCCATCAGGTGCTCTGAGTTCGGCTCCAGGGAGACCTGCAACCTTCACCGAATCCCACGACGCATCATCAAAGCCTATACCATGCCAGCCAGCAGGTTCTTGTGACAGGTCGCAGACCTCGCCATCATATATCTCCGATGTGATTATGCTCCCCGTGCTGCACTTCCACCCTTGGTCGGTGTTTATGACAGTTCTAGTGCCATCCATGGCCTCGACGACCAACATAGCAACGAGGCCCATCTGGTCGCCCCAGATGTTTCGTGAACCTCCCAAGAAACCAAGACGGCCACAAAACCACCCTTCAGCTACCTGCGCTGAGATCACATTCTTCCCAGAACGCAGAAGATTCGTGACATCAAAGGTCTGATATGTGAGATGGTGTTTGTACGAGGTCCATCCCGGGGCCAAGACATGGTCGCCGACACGTTGGTCATTGATGCTTGCTTCGTAAACACCCTGTGCAGTCACATACAGCCTCGCCTCGTAGATCGTGCTTTGACCCAGCTTAAATGGCTTCCGAAAAACAATAGGCTGTCTGGGGAGTGAGATATCGATCTCCCGTGAGCTCGAAATAAGCGAGCAGGTCCATCCATTGCGATCCAGGATTCCAGTTTCGACGGTAGCAGCATCAGACCATTGGGTTGGCTCGTTATGATGAGGTGGGCGTCCGGTAGCTCTGACACGCACCGAGGCGGATTGGCGAGACGATAATGGGCGGCTAGGCCAAGGCACAAGGACTGAATCGTTGGACTGAACCAAATAAAGTTCAGGTGATGAGGCCCCCGCGCGTACAACTTCGATCTCATACGACTCTTGGAACCAATCCACCACGTTTTCGCCTGCAAAACGCCAGGAGAGGCGTGGAGTCGATTCTCCAATTCCTATGGCGTCTTGGTGGTGTTCAAACTGCACCCTGTCGATGCGAGGAGGCCCCATGATACTCAAGGGAAAACAAAGAAAGAGTATATCTGAATGAAGCAATTTCTATTATTTTAGGGAAAATCGATCTTTCAAATGTACCAAGAGGAGATCTTCCACTTCTTCTCACACAGCCTCCAATATTTCCATGAGCTATATGGCCAGCTCTACTTCGAAGTGGCATAGTCGTGGTACCTCGGTCGAGGATTGCTCCGAGATATACTAGTTTAGATGGCAATGGGGGGTTAATCCACGGGACCGGTAATTGCTCAGATGAAAAGGGGAGAATCCATGGTTGAACTTTTGCGCGTTTATGCTCTCATCTATGGATATTGCCCAGGATGCCCAGCATGACTCCAGATGCTAACAAGGATAGCGTAAGTGGAGGGAGTAATTTCCCCATAAATGTGATGGTAGTTCTACTCAGGCTTCGGGGGAGAGCCGAGCGGAGAGTTCCGTTTGAAAAGCCATCAGGTGACTCCAGTATCCACCAGAAGAGCGAGAAGGATCTTCAGATATTTAGTGCCGACTAACCTAGCATCGGGGGAGGGCCGATGAATATCCAAATCATTCGTCGAGACTAAGAATGAACTGCCTCGGGGCCCTCCCGACGAGTCCGTGGACATATCCTTTCCTCTGCCAACTGAGCAGAATACGTCTCCATTCAATAGGCAGGGCTAGAGCAACTGGTTGAGAAATAACGCTGGCTTGAGGATAATGAGCAGCGGCAGCAACAAGCGTCATCGAGTCAGTGGAGACTCCTCATCTCCCTTGCGGACAGCCATTGCTTGCCGAGCATGTCGCGATCGCAAGACTCGTTGCAGCGGCCATCAGCCAACGTGCACGTATTGCTTCAAGGCGGGCGTATCTTGCGAATATGGCCCCAGTGTGGTCTCTACGTGAGAATCCGCTCTCTAGTGGTAACAGACATTACATGAAGTCGATTCGCTGACCAACACCCTTCTACCCAGCAGCTCGTCTTCAAACCTCGATGAATGGGGTGCAAGAATATTGGATGCCATTGATAGCATCTCCATACCTCCGGCCCTGCCTATCAATTCCGTCCTAGGTGTAACTCACCCTCCTGTCCAAGGGTTGAATCCAGGCCCCGATTGCATTCCCACGGGCCGGAGCCCAATAACAGGCCTATCCTCCATTCTTGAATGGCAGGTGTTCAATATACAGGGCGACATAGGGCCTATAGTTCGGTACAAGCAAGCCCTGAGTCACCATGCAGATCAACGCCCTATGTCTCAAATAACAGGGAGGGAGGCTGCCACTTGTGCTCCAGAAACTCTACTCGGACTGGTAGACATCTTCCAAGCCGGCTTCTTACCTTCCATCCCTGTTTTAGACGTGGCAGATCTTCGCCGATATATTCTGCATATCGGGGAATATGGAGACATGTGGAATGTAGAGGCTTGCTTGGTACTGGTAGTTGCAGCTCTGGCGAGTAGGTTGCCACAGGCTTCAGCTTTCCCCCAGTATGTATCATCCACAGTCAGCATGGCATTGAGATATTGGAACATGGCAAAGAAACGGCTCGCCTGGGCTTTGGAAGGGTCTGGAATGGTAGCGGCTCAATGCCAGCTTCTTGCAGCGTATGGACCTCCCATTTATTCGTTTTTAAACCGCTTTCTGACTGAGCAGCAAGCATATGGTATATCCATACATCAGAACCTAGTGCAGCTTTTAAGATGCTCAACGGCTCATTACTAGCCATCAACACAACACCCCCCAGTCACGATCCTTCTATTAGCGAGGAAGCCCGCCACCGACGACAACAGGATGAACTATGCGACAACATCCGGTACATGTGTATGAGTTTATTATGGTGAGTGTCTTTTGTAGCTTGCTCTTAAACATCTATAAAAATTTTCGCTTACCGTCATGTTTCTCTCGTTCTCCAGCCGACTACAAGGCGAAGTGTCACTTTCACCTACTTTCACCTCCTACAATCTACAAGACGGAGATAAAAGTCCTCAGATACATTCTACGATTACTCAATCACTGAATTCCCTTCTGCTTATCCGCCGGAGCATAGTGAATGTCTCCAAAATGGTTGGTAGTGAGATGTCTGCTCAAGAATTGGACACACTCCACCACAGTTTACTTGTGGCAGCCCAATCGCTCGACGGTTGGTACACAAGGCTGCCATATAACCTCAAGTCTTTATTAGCAGACCCTCTTACAGGTTCTTCACAAACACCTGACGAAGGATCAGAAATGGAGGCACAGAGCAAGCTGCTACAGTGCCAATATCTGGAGGCCCGAGAGCTCGTTCTGCGCCCCTCACTCTATTTAACCTTACAAAGGCTGCCGTCGTTGCAGCTGTCTATGGCCTCGGGGTCATCTAACTACCAACAGGCTCTTTCAGATGTGGTGCAGCAATACTACATCACCCAATTCCACGCCATGATGATACAGCATCGCGAACTAGTCGTCAGCCGGCTTAGATTGTGTCTCAGCAATGAGGATTCAAATCCACAGGCATCACGAGTGATGACACTTGATATGGGCTGGTTGAAGATACAGACGTGTTTAAGCCTGGGGCTAATGCTCATTGCATCCATGCAATACATAGGTGATGCAGAGTCGCCAAACGGTCGATCAGTGCAGTGGAGACCGGACGAGGAAGACTACATCCTGACTTTGGAGCATTGGTTAAGAAACAATTCGGGGGGAACAGGGTTGGGTATAATACATGCAGATCTTTTGCGAGATCTCTACACCACTCTTTGCAACAATTCCGCGGTTTCTCTTTGAAAGGTCCTGTAACTACACCCTGAACTCCGCATGAAGCTCATAAAGTAATGCTAAATATTCTCTGCAATCGTTTGACTCGACCGACCAATATCTCAAACCTTGCACAAGCCTCCGCGCCCCATCTGCACATGTCGCGTCATCTGGCACTTCTAACCTCTCTAGCCCAGGCCTACGCTGGGCCTTCAGTCTCCGTGACGCGATGAGAATCAAGGCGCTTCGAACCCCTTTTCTCAGCCATAGCCAGGTGTTATATTGTCTGTGAGGAATGACTGCGGTCTTGAGAAAGATCACATCCAGTTTGAGGCATTCGTTAGCCAGGTCAATCAAATCATTGACGAGGTTATGCGACCATCCTGACACATCGTTGTGGAGTAGGATGTACAGCGCAGGGATATAAATATCATGTTGGACACAATATATGCGCCAGCGAAGCTGATTCAAGGCCTCATCCTCGCAGGGGAGCAACCCGCCCATGGGAAATTGCATAAGTGGGGGCAGGGAGTTGTAGTATGATGAGAGCTGGTATCTGAACTCCTGCAGTGCCTCGGTCATGCTCCGAAAGAAGACCTCAGGCGATCCTCCGGCGAAGTTATAAGCCTCTCTTCGCTTGTCTTGGCAGTAGTTGTCGATGCGCATCTCAAGCTTGCAAAGCATGATATCGGTGAGAAAATAGTACCATGACTTGTCTTGGTAAGCCTCCCTTATCGTCGAGGCCGTATTTGCCTCATTAGGGCTCACAGTTTGGTGTGCGGTGTAATCTTCCATTTCGGAGCTGAACCCGTTGGGTGGAGTTGGCAGTGATGTCGAATATGCAATGACATTCAGACCAGATGTCTCCATTCCAAACTCACATGCTACTTCACTTTGAGGGGCACAGGGTCAGTTCCTTGTCGTACTGGTACTGGGCTGATACCTTACCGTTCAGTTTTGAAGCAGCTCCAACAAAGACGCTGTTCCATGCTTCTTGATCTACTTACCTGTCCGTTCCTACTCTCTCGTGCCATTCTCTTTGAGATGTAGGTTCGACAGGCAATGGAAGCTACATTCAATAATCTCCAGCCTGCCACAGGCTTTTGCTGATGCATGAGAGAGATACCAGCCATAAATATGCACTGTACAGCAATTATCGATGACTGTGTCAACAGGGCACCCAGTCGCTTTTGACCAGCCGAGAAGTACTCATTGGCGAGCGACAATCGTTCTCTTGAAGGTTTTATTCTGTCGTAGTTTTCTAAATCGTCAACATCCCAAGGACATGAAATGGCGCCAAGAGCGCAGGCGAGTAGCTGTCCAATGTGTTATCTGTTAGTACTGTAATATGTAATACTCCGGCGGCAAGATCCATTTCTAAACTCACAACTTGACAGGTTTCTCCATCCCAGGCGAGGCCATTTTCCACGAGGTTCTCTCCTCGCTCTTTCAACTCTTGGGGTTCAAGAATGGGAAACTTGGTGTGGATATTTCTCAGAAAACTTTCGACCAATTCCGAGATGGTAGCACCATCATCCAGTCCAAGAGTAATTCCAGAAGACAAGGGCTGCTTCCGTCTTTCCTTCATGTATGAACCAGCATTGTCCTCAGCGTCATGGCCAGCGCCGGCGTTTTTATTTCCTGGTTCATCATCAAAATCTCCCAAAATGACATCCAGACAATTGTTTATATTGCCTTGATATTCCAAGATCGGCCATAAGAGCGTCTCTTCGACAGTGTACGTCCACCACGTACCAAATGGAGGGTTTTCTGGGTGAGATAGATCCCGCCTCAGTGAGAGTGACCCCATCACATCATCGTGAGTTTGGGTGTCTCGATGACTGTATAAAGGGGCGCTCTCGCCTGGGGAGAGGCTCATTTCGCCAGATGGGTCCCGGTCTCTAGGGCTCCCATGCATCCCTGGAGCGAGAAGTGAGCGAAGGGCTGCTAAGTCTGCGACTGCATCTCGACTACGGTGACCACGATGCTGAGATTCATTGATATCCAGGTTCAGGATGCGCTCTACATGAGACAGCCGAGCTAGAATATCCGGAATATGGTCTTGATGGTTGTTTGATGTCGAATGCCCCCTTGGCAACTGCGAATTTGAGCGTACCATGTGTCTTGTCGCTCTATTGCGTTAGCAGAGCGTTAGTTCTGGTCGATGAATCTATGAAAGATCCCTCTCTTGTGTTCGCAATAACATCACAACAAACACAGGGTAGAACATACCTAGGGTGGGATAGCAGGGGGCTTTCCGGCATCCCGGCACCAGACTCTGGTTCTGATTCACCATCAAGAGCCATGGTTTGATGCCCACGCTTAGCGGAGAAGGTCATTCCCTAGCTCGGAGCATCTACCTCATCAGCAGCTTGGGTGTGACGGCTCGATGGAATGTGAATGGCAGAGACATCCCTGTCAGTCTGGTGATATCCGAGAAATCAAGCCCCAGGTCAAAATTGCGGAGCGAAGCAACTCGTGCAAAAGAACCGAGTTACTGGCAGTCTTGGCATCGGGGGAGGCCCCCGAGTTCCACTTTGGCGTCATCTTGATTGGAGTGTAGGCCCATAGCGCATAAAATTCTCTCTCGAAACTGCATCCGGCAACGCTTGGAGGTGGGTGCGTGAGAGCATCGGACCCCAGCTTCCCCAGTCATGACAGCCAAGGCCATCCCCTTTCTCCGATCTGGGGTATTCTTCACCTGTGAGAATTGGAAGTCTGGGACTGCTGAAGAGTGACCCTCATTATTCGTCGTGTCATGTATTGGTCTAGACTCATGTCTCGGCTCAAAATACGCCGACAATAGTGTCTTCCACAGCGGTCCTAAACTGGCTGAGTATAAGTGATACCATCACGGTATATCAGGGCCTCCAAGCCCAGTCGATATCCTCGTACTTTCTTCCTACCACCTCAACCATCAACTCTAGGCATACGGGCTCTCCCTTTCCATTTCATATTATTCTTAACTCCAACGGCTGCCATTAACCATGTCGTCTGCATTGGACCAAGATGATGTCCGGCGCTTCATGCAAGACTTGCCACCATGGTACAAATCACCCGGCCTGATACGGCTGTACCTGCTCCTACTGTCGCCCATGGTCACGTCCGCGGCCTGGGGCTTCGACCTCAGCATGACCAACGGCCTACAGGCCGTCTCGGTCTTCATGGACAACTTCGGCAACCCCACGGGCGCAACACTGGGATTCTACGGCGCCTCCATGACCGTGGGCGGCATCGTGGCCTGCATCATCGGCGGACCCCTCAACGATCGCTTCGGCCGGAGGACTCTCGTCTTCGCCGGCGGCCTCATCGTCATCGGCATGGTCCTGATGGAGACGTTTGCGACTTCATTCAGCATGTTCTCTGGCGCGAAGCTGGTTCTCGGCTTCGGAAGCAACCTTCAGCAGATCGCCGCGCCCGTCCTCATCACCGAGCTCGTCCATCCGAAACAGCGCGAGACCCTCACCTCGATCTATAATACCTGTATCTTTGTCGGCCTGATCATCGGCTCTTGGGTCACGTTCGCCACCTTCAGCATGGAGACGCAGTGGGCGTGGAAGCTTCCCTGCATTCTGCAGCTGATGCTCCCGTGCTTTCAAGCCTTGACTATCTGGTTCTGTCCCGAGAGTCCTCGCTGGCTCTGTTCCAGGGGTCGCATCGACGAGGCGCAAGCAATCCTAGTCAAGTACCATGGTAATGGCGTTAGGACTCCCCTCGTTGAGGCTGAGCTTCAGGAGATCCTAGCCGGCCTGGAAGCGGACAAGACGCAGATCAAATTCAATAAGGAGGGGATCAAGACCGTGCTCGGCTCCAAGGGCAACCGTCATCGTCTCTGGCTTGGCTTTTGGACCGCCATTGGGTCTCAGTGCCTGGGCAGCAACTTTGTGTCCACCTACCTTCCACTCATTCTTGACCAGGTTGGCATGACCAGTTCCAAGGAAAAGACATTGATCAATGGCCTCGTCAACATCTGGCAGTGGGTTTGCGCCGTCGGTGCCGCCTTCGTCATCCCTCGCGTCGGACGCCGGACGATCTTCCTCACCTCCTCCATCGGCATGACCGTGACGTTTATCGTCTGGACGGCGCTGACGGCCACGTATCTACGCGACCCCAAGGATGGGTACGGCATAGGATTGATTGTTATCATATTCGTGTTCAGCTTCTTCACTGCGATCTGCTGGATCCCACTGGTCATCGCCTATCCGCTGGAAGTAGTGACCACGAAGCAAAGGGGTGTGTTCTTCTCTTGGACCATGTTCAGCATCAACGCTTCCGCCTTCGTGGCCAGTTATCTCAACCCAGTCGCACTTGAGAACATTGAATGGAGGTACTACATTGTCCAGTGCGTCTTCAACTCTGCGTTCGTGGTGCTCATCTACTTCACGTACGTTGAGACTCGCGGCTTCACGCTGGAGGAGATTGCCGGCATCTTTGATGGCACAGACGATTTCCAGCATGCTAAGGCGGTGGTCAGTGTGGGACTGGAGAAGGAGACTGAAATGACGGTTGCTACCCATGAAGACCATGTGGGCGACAAGCCAGCTGTAGAGTCAAAGGCAGTCTAGAAGACCTGAAGCTGCAACTGCAAACGCAGCAGAAGTCTATCATCCTTGGCTTCAGAGTAAATGGGGATTAATGACTAGAATAAGTTTAGGTTGATGTTTTAATATACTACTCTTCGATGACCCGTAATTATTCGTACAATTCCCTTTTCTCGCCGCACACATGACTTAAATGCCAATCACTCATCACTCAGTGCAGTAGCTGGTCTAAGATACAATCTGCGGCAAAGATATCATATCCAGAACCACCACTTCTAGGCCTTTTTTACTCTCCTTTCTTAGACTACCTAGACCCTTTTGTCTTCGCCGCAAATTATTCTTCGCTGTCAGCTCCAATATTGATATCAGGGCAGTCAGTGCTCTATAGCCTCGATCCTTGACCCCCTCAAACTAGGCTTGTAAAGCAAGAAATCTTCAAAGAAAAAAAAATAAAGTAATCAAATGTTTTGTTAAGTATTTAAACGTTATGATCTTTGCCGAACACTATGAATTCAGTTGGTTCATCCAAGGCTCGAGCTCGGTATCTGGTAACCCGATTCCCCGCACGATCCCCGTTTCCCCACGATGGAAATCCGTCACTTTCACCCGCACCACCTCCGCGTTTCCGTTTTTTCCTACCTCTTGGTTACTTTGAATCCCATCACACCTTCCAAGAAGTCACCTCAAACTCAAAGCAATCATGGCCAGTAAGAGACCTACCTTCGACGAGCTCCCGCTGCGCAAGGACGGGCCCAGGGGCAACGCATGGGGCCTCTGGGGCCCCGACGACCAGCTCGGCATGCTCAACCTCCTCACCCCAGAGGTCACCGCCGCCGCGGCCCGCGAGATTGTCGACGGCGGCCGCGTCTCCGTCAACCTGCCCCTCGGCCACCTGACCCCGCCTTGCTTCGGCCGCGCCCCCCTGGAGCACAAGGTCTGGCAGAAGACGCCGAGGATCGTCTTTGACGACTCGCTTAGCATCAACACGCAGAGCAGCTCGCAGTGGGACGGGTTCAGGCACTATGGGTTTCAGAAGGAGGGGCTTTTCTACAATGGGAAGACGCCGGATGATATACGGAATTCGAATGCTAACAGCATGCACGGTATATCACATATCAACCTATTTCAATGGCGAATGGCCTTTCACTAATATCTCGTATGTTAGCATGGGTTGAGAGCGGAGGCATAGTAGGCCGCGGTGTCCTCCTCGACTACGCCGCCTGGGCGGATTCACAAGGCCTCTCGCCTGCTATCTTCGCTCCTACTTCAATAACAGTCTCGACTCTGAAGCAGGTAGCAGAGTCGCAAAGAACTACTTTCCGCCGTGGAGACATCTTGTTCATCAGGAGCGGATACGTGCGCGCCTACAACAAGTTGCCCGCTCCGGAGCGGTTGGCCCTGACAGAGCCAGCTGTGCCCAGCGCCATCGGCGTGGAGAGTTCGGAGGAGACGCTGAGGTGGCTGTGGGAGAATGAGTTTTCCGCAGTCGTGGGGGATCACCCAAGTGTCGAGGCGTGGCCGGTGCAGAACCGCGAATACTGTCTTCACGAGTGGCTTCTGGCGGGATGGGGCGTCCCGCTAGGGGAGCTGTTCGACCTCGAGAGTCTGAGTGCCGAATGCAAGAAGAGAGGAAGATGGAGCTTCTTCTTTACGAGCATGCCGTTAAACGTGAGTGATGTTTTCGTCAAGTCGCTTGTCGAGGGCCATGCTAATTTGAGACGGTCGTAGGTTATCGGAGGTGTCGCAAGTCCGCCCAATGGAATAGCAATCTTTTAAATCAAATAAAGGGCAATAGTCTAGATTCCTGCTAACTCAATCTGTCACTTGTGTCAATTGATGGCTTTGGTCATTGAAATCGTCTTGGGGAACCGCTGCCATCATCACTCAGGCACCATGCAGGCTCTACTGTTCATTTTACTGGAATTTCTAGATCTCGTCTTATAATATGCATCAGTTAGAAATGTTCTCCTCCTTTTCAATCTGCTCCTTGCTAGGGCACCACTTATCCTGCAGCTCCTTATCCAGTGACCCAGCATACACATCCTTGGACCACCACTCTCCCCAGCTAGTGAGGAAGATCTGCTCCGGGTCCGATGGGAAATCCGTCCTCGTGAACGCTTCGAGAAGACTCTTGGCACCTAGGATCAAAGATTAAGTCAACGCAGTCACGAAAGAGAATGACCAATACAAGATTACCTTCAGGCACAGTCTTCGCGTCCGCCATGTTCACACTGAGGCCCAGACCAGCGGCAAGGTTGGTAGCGGGAATCAGACCGGGAGACACGGCGACGACGTGGCACTGGCCGGTGAGTTGACGGCGCCACCAGTGTGCGCCGAGCAGACCAACGAACTTGGTCTGCGGGTAGGTGGAGGACCGGGGGGCGCCAGAGGCTCCGAGGAGCTGCTTGTCTAGGACCGAAACGTCGGGGACATTGCGGACGGCGCCTGAGGAGACGAAGACGAGGCGGGACTTGGATTCGACGAGCTTGTCGCGGAGCAGGTGGACCAGATAGTGCTGGGCTGGTTCGGATTCCAAGTTAGGCTGAATCAATCTCCCAATAGAAAGGAACGAGGCGGAGACTGACAAAGATGGTTCACAATGAAAGGCTCGCACCACTTGGAGCCGTGTGGCCCTGGCTTGTCTGCGCCTTCGCTGATACCAGCACAGAGGAAGAGGTAGTCAATCTTGTTCGAGCCGACCTGGGTAAGGGATTCGGCGGCGAACGACTTGACGGTCTTGAGGTTGTTCAGCTCGAGCGGGAGGATGCTGAGCGAGTGCAGGGCGCGATCGTATTTAAGCGTGTCAAAGGCATCTTGAGTGCGCTTGAGGTTACGGGCACCAACAATGACCTTGTACGGCTGGGACTGCTCCAGAAGCTGCTTGATCACCTCAAAGCCCTGGGCTGGGCGTTAGTGGGGTGTTGGTTCCGTAGAATGGGGCAACGGCTAAAGATACCAGGCCAGAGGAGGATCCGGTCGCAATGACGGTCTTGGCGATGCTGGAGGCCATTTCTGCTGCTTCTTACGAGGTGGTCGTGAGGAAGAAAGAATCAATGTCTGGTGAGAGGGGTAAGATTGATTTCTTACTGGTGACGTAGCAAGAGGAAAGTTTAGCAGGTGCTCGATGCAGAGCTCTTTCCCAATCAATCAATCAATCACCATGAAGCCTGAGCCACCAACTGAGAAGCCTGTCTCAGCGGTTTCAGCGGTCTCAGTGGAGGCTCTTGCTGACTGGGCATGCAGCATGACAATCAGCGTATTAATGCACGACGCAGAGCAGAGAATCCAGAGTCGCTAATACAAGGCTGCTCGGATTGATGCGGCACGAGAAACAGAGAGATATTTGGGGCATTGGCCGTGGGTTGTTTGGGACAACACACGGCAGGCAAATACGAGTGAGCAGCGCCTTGGGCATTGGCATCACCGCTGCACAGAAGATGGTGTTGGTCCAGCGTCGCATCCAAAAGACCCTCGATGCAGCAGGTAAACGTCACTGATTGACCAAGAGAGACCTCCGCGGAGGCTATAGCACGACAAGGGGCTGCTTAAGTCCGGGAGATGAGAGAAGTCAATCTGATTTCTCCGTCAACTGGGGGTATTGGAAGCTCTCGGGAAAAAGGAGAAAACACGCCAAACCCCAGCAGGAAGTTATTGAGAGTCTAAAGAGACACGATCACTTGCTCTTGTGGGCCGGCTGGCTGGGTTCAATGTCAGGCAGTCCTGGTCTCTCCGGCCGGATCACGACGTCAAAATCGGCAGATCCACCGTTCCAGACGAATCGCTGGCTCGAGGCGAGGCAGGGCGAGGAAAGGGGCATCAGTCTGGCGCTCTGATCCAGCCTGACATGTGCTTGCTTGGCTGCGTTGTCGGCGCAAGAGTCGATCATTCCCCAAAGCCCGCCCAGGCCGTCAGCCTGTGCCATGAGACGAGATGGATGCCCCTCCTACCAATCCAGCACGAATTGGTTCATATCTCCGTTCACCGATGTGATCGTCTGGCACCAAGTCGTCAACAGCCCACCCACCCTGGCACTTGAGCCGTCAGTCACCTTGATCCTCCTGCTGTTCCCACCACCCCTGGCCTGGGCCCTGGCCGCCGTCGACAGGCGATCGAACCTCGAAAGGAAGAGAATCGAAGCCTGAAGGACTCGTAAAAGAAGATGAATCAATCGACCAACACGGCGGCGGGCGGGTAATTAATTAGAATCATCACCACGCGTAGCACTCGCTGGGGCCACCGCAACGTCATCGCGCAGGAGCCCCGGAAGAACTAATAATACTACTAATAATACTAAATTCTCGTCTACTTCCTTATTACGCTCTTATTTATTCACCCAGCCTGCCTTCCCGCCTCGAGACACCATCTAAGCCTTAGCCGGTCGTCCCCGACTCTCCCTCCCTCCCTCCCTCTCTCCTCCCGACCAACCACACCGCATCTCCCGTCCCTGTGTGTGGTTGAGTTGCTCTCTTTCTCTCTCTCTGTCTCTCTCTCCCTCGTCTCCATCATCCCTCTCTCGTTCCGGGGCCTCTGCTCTGCTCGGCTTCCCCCATCCTACACCGCGGACTCTTGGCCCCCTTCCCCCCACCACGAACCATACAGTCTGTCTTTTCCTCCGTCCGCTCGTGCTTCGACAACCGTTCCACTCGCTTCTTCCTACATCCGATAATACTCAAAAAGTTGATGGACTCTCTCCGTGCCTGATCGCCTGTCTAGATCCCTTCGGATGGCTCACCCCCAGAGCCAGTCACCGCCGTGACACATGATCACCTATCTCTCGCTCTCGGTCTCTCTCTCATCCCGGCATGAGCCTCAACCACCTCTCGGCCAAGTGGCGCCAGTGGCGCTGGCAGATGGAATTCTACCACACGCCCCTCGAGCTGCGCTACTCCTACCGCCTCCTCTCCCGCATCTCCGACCATCCCCTCCTCCGCCTCCTCCTCCTCTTCCTCCGCGTCCCGCGCTTCTTCCCCTGCCGCCTCCCGCCGCGGCCCCGCGACATCATGGCCTACCAACCGGAGGCCTACATGAACCAGCACCACCCGGACGTCTACGAGACCCGCCTCATCCCCGCCTGGCGCTGGCGCGACACCCCCCAGCGCGCCTTCTACCGCCTCTACGAGACCGTCTGCGCCTACGACGAGCCCTTGACGGGCTACGAGACCGAGTACCTCTGGCGGCGGAGCGACCGACCCGCGTGGAGG